AATTTAATTTAATTTAAATTTTTATTTTTAATTAAGTTAAGAAGTAATTCTCGATACGCTAGTTAGCCTATAGCGATCTATATAGTAATCCTCTCGTGATCCTCTCGTGATCTATAATACGTTATTTAGTCTATAAGTGATTCTCTAGTAGAATCGGATTAGGATCGGAGTAGGGTTAATATAGCATCGATATAGGATTAATATAGGATCAATTCTTTATAGGAGGGCATATATGTAATTAGAAAGGTATTTATAATAATAATTCTATTATAGTCTGATCTAGTTCCTATTTAGGACTACGTAGACTCTTCCACCTTCTCTAGAGAAAAGCTCGCTCTCGAGAAAACCGCCTTTATAAGGCGTATACTAGTAGTATACGTCTCGCCCTCGCTTAGAAGGCATATATATACTAGTAGATATAATCGAGACTTAGAATTTAAGTAGTATAGTCTTAATAGGCTTAAACCCGTGAACAGTTCCGAACCAAGTTCGAATCGATTCCGAATCGGTTTCGAATTAGTTTAGAATTATAGTAGAACGGTACTCGATTCTCTAAACGGTTTCGATATGTATTAATATAGTATTGATATATACTATATCGATCTAGGGTTTAGGGAGGGGGGAGGAGGGGGGGCCTATACTCTTAATCTAGTTTTGATTTACCTACTATAGCCTATATATTACTTCCTTAAACCCTCTAACCTAACTTATAAGGTTTCGAACCGCCCCCGAACCGGTTCCGAATCGAGTCGGGCCTATATTCTCGAACCCTAAACTATTTAGAAACCGTATTAATATAGTTTAATACTTAGTTAACCCTATAGGGGGCAAGCACCTACTACTATCTAAGTATGTAACTAGCCTACCAACAATACTAGTCGGCCTAAGTAGAATGTAGATGTGTATTCATTACCATTTGACTGTTTGAAGTTTTATATATTAGGGGCTTCGCGCTGTGTCGGCCTACATACGTCGAGGGAGGTAGGCTCTTTTATGGCTGAGTACAATAGTATTAGGTTCTCACCATTTGGCAAACTGTGCAGACCCATAATGGTTGTAAGGCTGCACAGGACCCGACAAGTTTAATTCCGGCTATTATGTAACGTGCCGGAAGTGCAATATACTATGTAGCCCGGCCTGACATCGGCCGTGCCTGTGAGAGACAACGTTGGTCCAGGAAGGTTCCGGGCTCCAGCCAATTGGGAAAGCGTAGTGGTCAGTATTTGTTATGGGTTCAATGAGATCTTACTGGCAATATTGGAGTGAAGCTGCTGGCGTGAGCTGCACTCCTAGGGATGTATGGCTTGCAGCTTGAGTCTCTCAATTGGTTCTGCCGGTTTGTCCTATCATAAGGCGTTAGAAAAGTAGAGAGAGCAAAGATTTCGCATGTTTATAATAATGCTGGGGCTCCGCCTGGTAGGCGCACCTGCCTTGTTACTACTGTTTAGCAACTTGACTATTGACTGGCATCCGGCATTTATCAGGGAACGGATAATCGTAGACCTCCCACAGCAGTAGCTACCTAGGTACCTAATAAGGGAGGTTTGATAGTACACCGACTCAAGGGACCGCTGGCAGCGGCGTGAAGAGCCACAGACCTGGATAGATCTGCTTGGGTTCGGTGAGCCGTTGTGCAAGGGGAGACCGCTTACACGTCTTTGCGATTTGCGAACTGGAATGCCTGACTCCAAATAGAACCGTATCGATTGTTAGCGGGTTGCACGATCAAGAACCGTCATGGAGGAACTTGAAGCAAGGCATTCAGATATCATGGATGGGATTATGTGAGCAAGGCTCCGGTGAGAGACGCGGCAGCGCCAGGATACCGCCGGGCCGGGACAGGAGGACTCGGAATGCTGTCTGAGAAGCTTCAAGTTAAGGCAGAGCCATCACCGCGATACGGCGTACTAGTCGCTTGGGACCGGTTATTCTGGGACGAACTTGAAGAATGCATTGACGGCTATGGACTATACGCGCATGCATTACTGAAAGTTTTCCTCAAAAGTGACTGGCCAGGCACACTTTTGGGGTCCCGCAAGAATCCAACACATATTTCGTGTGCTTGTACATAGCTAGTACGCAGCAGCTTCAACGAGCCGCTATCGGACAGGCTCTCATTCAAAGCGAAATGCACGCAATTTCCACCGACGCCGTAACCCGGCTGGCTTGACGATCAGACGATTCGTAGACAATGATTTGAAAGCACATGATGCATCACAGGGCACCTTTTCAACGATACTGGTCCATAAACTCCTTGTGGAACTTTGTCCACCTACTGACCCAATCCGTGCCCGGAGCAAGGAAGGTGGTCCGGAAGTGCAGAGTGCCAGGTTCCTGACCGAAACCCGATCCGGGTACAACGCAGATTCCCGTGGCGTCGAGGAGTCGGAGACAGTAGAACTCGTCAGGGTTGCGGTTTGCCTTCTTCGCTGCTTCGCATGCTTTGGGCGGTATATGGATCGTGGGGAAGAGATACATGGCACCCTGAAAAAGAGCGTTAGTTCGTCCACAGGTGAAGAACACCGCCAATTGCTGGACCTCAAGCAAAACTCACCTGTGGTTCACCGACTTCCACGCCTTCCATCTGTTTGAACGCCTCATACAGCGCGGTGGCTCTCTCCTTCAAGCCGTTCTTGATACCGTTGTACTCCTTATCGTAAAGTTCAAAACTCGGGTCGCCCGGCTTCGGCGGGTTTACCATGAGCTCCACAAGACACTGACCGATCACAGGCGGACAGAGTTGAATCGAGATGAATTTGTAGATCTCGTCTTCCACCTCCGGGTCAAACCCAACGAGCTCGAAATAGCCTCCACGATGTCCGCACTCTCCCACTACCCCTTTGGAGACCGAGTGCAGCGATGCAAGTTCGACAGTATCATATTTGCCTGGTTCTCTTTGTTGCATTGTCCGTAAAGCACGCTTGAACGAATGGAACTTGCCAATGAAGACATTGGTTTGGTAGACCTCATCCGCTATGATGACAAGGTTCTTTTCTGCGGCGAACTTGATGACGTCCTCGACATCGTCTTCCGACAGAGAAGCACCGGTAGGGTTTCCAGGGTTGATGATGACTATGGCACGGACATCGGTACCTTCGCTGACGGCTTGGTCGTATGCCTTCTTGATGATGGCAATATCTGTGCCCCATGCATGAGACTCTTTCAGGTAATATGGCACGCAGCGTGCGTTCATGATGGCGAGAGTCGCAGTATAAAGCGGGTACTGGGGTATAGGCACGAGCACGCCGGTCTTGGGACCCGCGCAGATAATGTTGAACAGGGTGTTGACTCCGGACGAGGCGCCAGCACATAGATAGATGTCGTCCTTGACAGCAGGGAAGCCATCCCTGCGTTCAATAAAATTCGCAACTGACTGTCGTATGCCAGGAACACCCGCAGACTGCGAATACGCTCCCACGGATCCCACCTGTTTTAGTAACCAGCGAGCACGGTCTATAGCATCTTGCTTGTAGCCGAAACTCGACTTCAGGGCCTCCTCATTCCCCAACAACGCCGGGTATTCAAGCAGCGCAAGAACTTCCCGGAAAAATGTAATGGGCTTCTGGTCAAGCTGTTGTGGGTTACCTATGTTGGCGGTAACAACACTGTCGAAAGGCAACGGAGACTCTGGTGGAGTGGGAGGGTCGCCATGCATCAACTGATGGCGGTATTCCTCTGACTTGATGGCGAGTTCTCCACGGACCGCATATCTGGCATTCTTCACGTAGGGGTTGATGTTGTCGACGTGAAGACTACGCAGGCGGGGAGTGGAAGACATATTGCGGCGGCCTGGAGGAAGATTGAGTCTGGTCGAGGAACGGGGTACTGCACATGATATTTTATGTCAGTCGTGAGTTTCATATCGGCCCCAGTCATGTCGGCAGAGAATAAGTCGGGGAAGAAGCAAACATGGGGGTCATTGAGTCACCAGGTCGCGTGCACCACCGCGGCACAGCAGTTGTCAGGCCACGGAACGACAGCGCCGCATTGCTTTTTCTTACCTCGAGAATGAGCCGGCAAGGAGGAGGAACAAGACGCAGTCGTCGTCACAGATTTGCAGGCTGTTGCCAGATCAGAAGAGAGGCGCTGGGCACGCAGCAATACCGCAGACGCCCTCAAGGGCTGAAATGGGCGCATTTCGTCGAGATGGTAGAGGACACCCGCGGTGGGGTTCTAGATCAGTTTGTCGGGGACTTGCGCGGAGGTCTCGACGGCGCTTCTCGGTGCGGGTGCTCAACCGACGAGGGCCAGAGCAAAAGCAGGCTGCACTGGCTTCTCGCTAGTCGGAAGGAGGATTGGACTGCGGTTAGCTGTGTGCCAGTGGGTGTTGGTCTGCCAGTGTTTGACGCAAACAAGAATAATTTGTGGGCGTGCCATGGCATCGCTCAGATCGCCAGTGGATACAGCTGAGAGGCACGGAGAGAAATGCTGGGCGGATCTGGGGCCGCGCCGATGATCCAAGCGCAGGGATTAATGACTCCGAGAGGGAATTTCGTGTTGTTCTTTTTCTCTATCTTATCGCTGATGGATTATTGCCTAGGTAGGTGTGGTGGGGGTTCCCTGCGCCTATGGAACCCCTGCGATTAACCACACCTACGACTTGATGTACTATTACAACACATCTAGAAACGACAAAAGGTACAGTATTACTAGGTAGTGCTGGTAGGCCTGTAGACTCTCTGCTACTTACGTCGCCCAAATGAAGACCATGCTTGCCTGGCAATTTGCATTCTCTACAGAGTCAACGTGTCAAGACGCAGCCTTTTCTGTACCAAAACCCTTCAACGCCAGACGCATCTTCGCCCGCCTGTATGCCGTCCGCTGAAATGAACACACGCCGATGAGATCCTGATTTATGCTTCGACTCTATGCTCGCTCGCTGCCTCGTAGTCTCACAGCCTGGCCATATTTCTGCAACTTGGTGATAAGCGCATCTCCCTGCTTTACCACGTCGGCATATTGTTTGTTCTTGTCATCGGGACGTGTCGTCTCAATTACCCCCTGCACTCGGTCAATGGTACAGCTCACTCGACCACCCGCGATAAACTTGGCCAGATCTCTGTCCAAGAAATCCACGCTGACCCCAAATGCTTGGGCCATGGTGGCCAAGCCCACTACACGATATGACTGCAGGAGTTGTTGGTAACCCCGCAGGCGCATCTCGCGGACAAACCAGGCCCGGTGCTCATACAGATATCGGTCCTGCGTCAAGAAGTTCTCTTCCACCGCCGCCAGGGCAAGGAAGAAGTTGCGGTAATTGCCACTGTACAAGCTGTTCACCAGTCCTGCCAGAGACGAGAAATCCATTGGTGCCTCGGTCTGCGATTCCACCGCCGAACCGGTCCCCAGAGTGTTCAAATTCACCAGTCCAGAAGCACGTTCGGCCGTGGCCGAAGACACATCTTTCATTTCTTCGTCTGCCCCCGGTGCTTTCTCTTCATTATTCCCCAGAATGGCTTTGATTTCGGGCGCGTCCACAACCTTAGCCTTGAAATCCACACGCTTGAGCGACAGTGAGCCCGCGAGAACTGCGTAGACGACCAGTGAAGAGTAGCTGCATAGTTCGTAACTCGTGAAAGTGGAGAGGCTGTCAAGCAGCAGAGGTGCAGCGAGATTGTAGGATCGGACGGTGAGGAGGTGCAGGCCTTTGTACGCCTTTAATCGATTCCTTCTGTCCCAGTCACCGCCACTCTCCACCAGTATGTCTGCACGCTCGACTTGCTTCTTCACAAACGCCTTGTCATTGAAGAATAGGCCGATCCGGATAATGGCAAGAACAATGTCGATCTTGGTTCCTAACGGGCCGGTTTTGTCGAAGACAGTCTCGTAGGCTGCAATTGCTTTATCCTGAAGCCTCAGTCAATATTTTTACTCCTGTCCATTTGAATGGGAAACTTGCCTTGTCACCAACACGGGCCCAAAACTCCGCGCGTTTGCTCCGAGCCGCCTGCACCTCAGTCTCGCCAGCCTTCTCTTCGGCCTCTTCTTCCTCCTTCTGATACTCTTCTAGCTCTTTCTCATTGTCTGCCTTGAGCTGCTCATACAGTGCCTCGTCCCAGGGTAGGATACCCGAAGACAGGAGCTTCTTAGATGGGAGTAGGTTACTGGAAACAAGAGAAGTCCGGCGGGATGGGGCCTTCAAGGGAGGGTTCGCAGGTTGCGCTGAGCTTTCTCCGACGGAGTTGAGAACACCTTCGATGGGGTGAGCGAGGTGCCTATATAACGGCGCCATCTTATGTTCCTTGATTGCATTCTGGATGTAGTTGATAGACGCTGTTTGCGGCGTCCGAGGCGTTATACCAAGAGAGAAGATGTGCTGGGCAAGGGTGAGATCCGGGTATTTTATGAACTGTGAATCGGAACCCATGATGAAGGCTAAGGCGCGTTAGAGGACGTGGTAGAGGTCAGGTAGCGAGGAATATGAGGCTTGGAGATGGTGAGGTGGTGTTAGGTTGTATGTACAGTACCACCGGCAAGAGGCAATGCGAGTACGCAGTCGAATACCAGCCTGCGCGCTTCGATGCCAAGCTTAGCAGATGTAATCGCGGTGCCAGTGATCCGCCCAAGAGAGACTACAGCGGATCATTGTACAACCGACGTCAAATATTGTGCATTCACTTTGGCTGGCAGGGACTTGAAATCAATCATCAAACCCATTCTCCTTTCTGCCTCCTTCGTGCCTCTTTCCACTCACTGCCTTACCAGTTTGCAGTATGCACGCCGCGACAGTTGATATCGCCTTGATGGTCTCGCGTACGACTGGACTCATAATAAACTTACTATTGACGCGACTGGTCTGTCCATTCCCTTAGAGGAGGATTACTCGACTCAAATCCCTCGTGCGACGTATGCTGGCGTGAACTTCTAGAGCAGGAACGCACGACAACTTGCACCAACAGCGTGAGAATGTGCGTATGTATTGCAGAGTGCTACAGCATAACCTCTTTTTTTGGTCCCTTAACAATAAGATCCTCATCTCGTCGCCTGTCTTTCACTGCCTGCTGCCTTGGCCCGATGGCAGACCCACGGTTAGTTTATACAGCTGTGCTGTGCCAGCGTTTCCTACCGCCTCATGCGTTATACTACGCTCTTTTCACTATTCCTGTTCACTGGAATATTCTATGTTCCCTGTTAAAATCCCTCTTCCAACCTTCAGCTTTCCCGCCAATTTGTTTTTCTATTGCTTCTGCCTTTCCATCTCTTGATTGATTCCGCAAATGGCTCCTTACAAGGTGGTTCTTCGCCCGCCAAACGGTGATACGCTTTCGCTGGTGGTTCCATTCGATGGCAGCCGCACTTTCGAGCACCTCTTCCAAGAGGTCCTTCGGCGTGCCTCAAAACGCTGCACCTTGCCGTCAAGTACCCAACCAGAGCACCTCAGACTCTGCTTGAACTCCGAGGATGGTTTCCTGATCGAACCGGACGATATCATCCAGGAGGTTCTCACTGGCTCTGAGATACTCTTCATCGTCTTCCCAGCTGCTCCTTGCGACAACGACAGTAGTCATACCGGCAGCGATATCGACAAAGCTGACACTGAACGTACAGTCCAGATTCGTGTCATCACACCCGAGCTGGCGCAGCGAACCCACGATCACGGGCAAATCCCGCTCCTTGATGGTGGCCGGCGCTATCCACTATCCGCAACCCTGGGGCAGATCGGAGAAGAAATCGCAGAGCACCTACAGACCTCACTGGTCGCACAAAATCCCCCAGCAGATGATGAATGCAACTGCCGCCTAGCCGAACTACTAGAAAAGAGAGGGATCTGGGAGAAGATTTCATGCCATGGCCACATCAACCAGGAGTGCACTTTCGAGTCGCCAGGTCTTCCTCTTCACCATGCCTGCGCACAGTGCTCTGAACAACTCATCGCCCACAAAATCCAGGACTCTTCTTCCCCTTGCGGCGCCTACCTTCTTCGCCGGGTAGACCTGCCCTGCGGGCATGTGGTACATTCTCAATGCCTGCATGGCGGAGTTGATTACGATTGTCCGACATCCTGCTACGCAATGGAATCCGTGAACCAGCTCTTCTCGCGACAGTTATTGGTTGTCTCTGGAACTGGGATTGTCGAACAGCTTAAACTGAAGTCGATGGCCCATTCTGATCTGATGGCTGCATTGTCAGATCGTTTTGAGGAATGTCTTCACCGGTCGAAAGTTGCGTCTTGCATAGGTGGTGCAGGAGGAAGCAGGGTATACACCCGGCTTCCAATAGTCGCGATCTGCGCCAGAAAGAGACACGGGAAGGATCACCCAACCTTGCCGGAGGTCGATAAGCCTTCTCTTCCACAACTTGACCTCCATACGGTCGAGAGTCCCCTCAACATGGGCAATCTTGACTTAACCCTCGAAAGCAGCCGACTGTGCGAGCTTGAGGTCGATGGAGTGGTCACCTTGTATGCCGTTAAGAGAAAATCTTCTGCTAGGGAAGGTAAAGCCATGGGGAAGAATGCAATGTTCGCAGCCGCCGAGCACTGGAATTTACCAGCAGGTCACTCTGATCGGGGCATGGCCGCTTTTCTGGCTTCGCTCCGCGTCTTTGCGCATGTCGTTGGCTCTGAAGAGTTCGATGATATACGCAAAAATGGGGTGTTGCAAATCGTTCACTATCTTACACAATTTCCCCCAGCAGTCCGTGCAACGCATATCCTGATGGATGGCAAGACTTTGCTACCCTTCGAAAGTGCTGCATTGGTGCAAAGCCTGGCTGCGGTGTGCGAAGAACTGATCCCCTTCAAACTTGTTGCTGGAGACTCACGCCGTTGCCTCGAGGGAGCGAGATTGGTTCTGGGCTTCATCCTTTATCAGGCGAAAAATCTCGCTTCCGAGCGACAGGGTACCGCCGAGGACCTGATGGGCTTGCAGGGTAGCATCCCTTACATCACAAACTACCATACTGTTGATATGAAAGATGTCAAAACCATGGAAATAGTTACACGCCCGGTTCTGACAAACGTGGGCTTGGTCGATCGAGCGGTCTTTGACGTCTTCAAAGTCTTCTCAGACTCTCAACTGCTCAAGCATAGCCCTTCCTGCAATCTCGAGGAATTAAGAGAGTCAAACTCATCAAAACTGCGCGTGGCCCTCTTGTATGGGGGTGGCCTACGCGAGGCGCCCTACTACCAAGGCCATCTTCTTGCGGCCAAGCTGCGAGACGCCCGTGGCTCACGTGGAAACCCTTTTGACATGAAAGAACTCGCTGCTGACATATCGTTTCTCGCTTCGCTGTGCGAAGGGACTCCGGCCGTTGTTGTGTCACCCAACCAGCTGCCACGTGCAAAGGCACCCAGCTTAACTCTTGACCGCAATGGAAACTTGGCAGTTTACACTGGGCATGCTCCGTGTGCTCGGCCTGGTCGCGAGCATGCAGTTTTTCATCCCCTCTCCGGACTGGAGGAGAATATAGACGTTACCATTGTGATGCAGCAATTGGGACCGATCATTGAGGGCCGAAAGCAGGATGGCACAAACGTTTTCGATTTGTTTAGTGCGACTTACCGCCGCAAGGAAACTTTTCCTACGGAAATGCTTATGTTCTGTGTTGACTGCAGCCAATCCATGAATCGTGGTACAACATTCTACGAGCTGAAGAATGAAGTTGAGTACCCGCGTCCCATCGATGAATCTTTGCTCGAGTATGACGATAGCGATATTACTTTTGAGGACATGAAGTCCTGGCTGTGTCACCATGAGTGCTTCAATGACATGTTGGGGACACTTCTCTATGATGCGTCCGAACATGGTGCCAACGCCCACGACATTCTTGCGTATTGGATCACCGTGACGCGTCGTCATATCGAGCACTTGATTAGAACTCAGCACAATGCAGTGCCGACAGCCCCATCTCTTCCTCATTTTCAGGCATCGGCCTCAGTTGATATCCAGTTGCTCAGGAGAATCCTGGCTGGACTGAAGCGCCATAGTCAAGCCTTGGCTGATTTTTTGGTGTTTAGCGCCTTTGAACCCGGCTACACTCCCACGGAAATCTCCTGGTCATACGGAGATCCTATCCCATCTGGTCCAGCAGCTGCTCAATCACAGACAACGACTGAGCTTGAAGACGTTTGTGATATCCCGCACGAATACCTTTGCCCCATCACCCGGGTCCTTTTCGAAGACCCTGTGGTGACAACAGATGGGACCATCTTCGAGAGAAAGGCCATTGAAAGATGGTATCGCATCAGCCAGACCTCGCCTCTCACCGGCCTTCCCGTTGCAGACACTCAGTTGAGCTACGACCACGGTTTAGCCGTGAAGATCGAGGCGTGGGTGAAGGCTGAAGATGTTGTCCAGTCCATTCCCCCTGCTCGAAAACGCCTAAGATCCTCGAGCGGGCGACCCACAGTTCGTGTACACTTCGTTGCACCGTCGGTCAGTTTTACTCGAGAGGTCAATACATCCGCAAGTCTTGTAGATTTGCACAAGATTGTCTTTCGTGGCCTCCGCGGTCTTTACACTAGGTTTCTTTTGCACTTGAGGGGTGCCTTGTTGCCCTGTTCTGATGATGACCTGTTGCAATGGGGAGTTTCTAGCGACGAAACCATCTCTGTCACACTTCTCAATGCCGAGGAGTATGGTGGCCCAGATGATCCTACGGGTAAAGGCGAGATGTGCCTAGTCCGAGTTTACGAAGGGTCTAATGAGAACAAAGAATTGTTCAAGTACTGGGTGCCGTTACACTCAGGATTGACTTTTGAGTCGATTTGCTTCCGGTACGCGCGCTTTCATACTCAAAATGTCGGTCGCTCCGTACCACCCCAGGATGTCAGCCCGTGGACAGTCCATCGTCTTCCTGGCGACGACACTTGGCAGAAAACTCCACACCAAGCGTGGGATTACCTTTCGCCTGTACTCCAAATGCGTTCTCGTTGCAAGATTCAGCAGTGTGAAAAATTGTACGCTAGCAGAAAGGATTCGAGGCACGGTCGATCAGCTGTCTCGGACGTGGGTGGCGACAGTGCAAGAAACTACCGAATTCTTAAGGTCAGTATGGAAGATTATATCCCTCCGGAGCAGGAAGAGTTGAACAAGAGACGAAAGCAAGGCAAGTACAGCAGGATGGCTGTAACCAAGCAGGTTTTCGATGCCCTCATCAATCGATTGATTGCGTACAGTTTTCCAACGCAAGTTGGTCTGGTGACATTTGGCACAAAAGCCAAGATGTCCCAGAAGCTGACCGATGTTGTTGAGAACTTCCGTCGCGCCGTCGAGAAGATGGAAGGTCGTGGTAAAACTGCACTTTGGGACGCTCTGGCCCTAGCTTCCGACCACATGGAAGAAGTGGCTCAACAGTATCCGGATGCTGCGAAGAGAATCATATGTTTGTCGGATGGCGAGGATACCGGCTCGAAGTTGACACATTCGGCCGTTTGCCAGATGTTTCGACAGCGACGGGTGGTGGTAGACTCGGTTTCCATAAGTAGCGATTCGTCTAGCACGCTAGACCTACGGCTATTGTCATATCTCACGGCTGGGTACAAGTTTTCCCCGAAGACAATCGAAGAGGCGGCTGCTCTGTGCGAGCTCGAGCCTGTTCTTTCCATTGACGAGAGACCACCGATCAATCAACCGTCGGACCACTATTCCTCTGCGGACCAAGTCGCCCAACCGGATCATGTCACCAACGACGAGTATCCTGCACGCAAAACTCACCCGAAAGTCAACGACAGCTTTGTACATATTGCTGCGCAGTCTCAGAGAACCGGTAGGTCTGATTCGGTCAACAATCAGCCCCATGCGACAAATCCTTCAGTCCGGTCACGCAGACTGTTGCAGGAGATCCAAGACATAGTCAGCCATCCACACCCCTCGTACGACGTTTATGTGTCGGAAAGCAACATGGCATTTTGGAAAATCGTGCTTGAAGGGCCTGATGAGTCGTCTTATGAAGGAGGGACGTTCGTCTTCTACCTCGACATGGGCGAGCATTATCCACTTCGAGCCCCGAGTGGGAGATTCCTCACTCGCATCTTTCACCCCAACATTAATCGCCACGGGCGTATCTGGTAAGTCTTTTCCATCTGCAACTGTTTTTACCCTTACAGGTTTGTGCCGTCGTTTTTGTCAAACCTTGGAGTCCATCGTACTAATATTTTGTTGTCTCCATCTCAGCCACTCCATCTTTGACCGAAATTGGACTGTCGACACCACCAACAAACAAGTGTTGGATACGGTGTTTGGTCTTCTTCTCGTCCCCGAGTTTACGGACCCGATCAACACCACTGTGACGCTGGACTACTATTGGGATGAAGTCGCGTTCAAGGAACAAGTGCAGCAGCATATTCGAAAATATGCGTCTGAATCCAGGCAGGAGGCTGGAAAGGCTATCATGGGCGGTTGAAATGAAAACCGAAAACTGAGGTCGATAGCCAATCTGCCCATGCAAGAATGGGTGATTGAATGGTAGGCTAGCCCAGAAATTTGTACTAGTACGGCCGGGGCAGTTGGCACGGGAGGGAAACACATTGTCAGGGAAAAGTTGTATGATTACTCGATGCCGGAGGCACGAAGGAACAGCCCTTACGCCAGTCCTGGCGCCATACTCCAGTAGAGTGCGCACGTTCAGCGTGTTTTTAATGCTGTCTGAATCTGAAGATCATGCCACGCATTCATCCATAGTATTCAACATCTGACAGGCGGCCTTTAAACTGGCCAGTACCTAGTAAGTAGCACAGCTGAACTTCGCTGGCTGCCTGCAGTGGTCCATGAAGCAAATGTAAATCCTCATTTTCTCTTCGCCATTGGTTTGGGTAGTTTTCCATTTACTGTAGTCCAACATACCTACCTACCTATTATAATACATAGTGTACACGCATAGATGACGAGGACAAAGACCGAGTGATTTTCATCGCCCGAAGCCAACGGCCCGTCCCATCCCGGAAAGCATATCACTCCCTTGCTTCACGGTCTCACTGGCGGCGTCGGTGGCGGCATGCTTGAGCATGTCTGCGCCAGGAACTGCGGGAAGAACATTGGCTGCACTGGCACCACCTCCTCTACCACCACCACTACCGCTTCCTCCTCCTTCAGTTCGACTTTGCTGCTGCTGCTGCTGATTCGAGCTCTGTCTTCGCGGCGGTAGTTTCGGCAGAGACGCAGACGCCGGTGAGCCGACACGCAATTTGTCGACTTGCGACTGCGCGTGGGACTGGGCCTGTGAAGCAAGACCGCCGCCTCGACCGGCCCCCAAGCTGGGTGATGGCACAGACGTGGGTGGAGTTTGAATGCCAGGTGATGGTGATGCAATTGCAGATGCAGATTTGTTAGGTCCAGCCGGAAGACGGTCGAGTTTGGGAGGTTGAGGAGGTTTCACACCTGATGGCAGACGCTCGAGATTGGCTGGCGGAGACTTGATGCCGGAGGGAAGACGGTCGAGCTTTGGAGGTGATTTGACTCCTGTTCCACTACCAGTACCACTGGAACGGGATGGAGGAGCTCTGTTAAGTTTCGGAAGAGGAGATTTGACTCCTCCTGTCCTTTGTGTCCGTGTGCCAGATGGTGTCTTGGTTAGATCTGGTCTTGAAGAAGATAGAACTGAAGCCGGACCTGACGGCCGCTTCTCGAGTTTCGGAGGCTTGACTCTGTTCTCCTTTAGGCCTGCCTGTGCGCCTGCGCCGCTTCCACCGAATCCAAGACTCGGCATGCTGACGTTCAGGTTGGGTAGATACGCCGCTGCTCGCAAGGTATAGCTCTGAGCGGCACCAGCACCCTTACCGGGATCTGCATTGCTGCTATCCTGCGCAGCTGCTCCTGTCACCGCCTGACCTGCTTCGCCTGCCTTGCCAGTTGCGGTATCAAGTCCCCTTTGCACCGTCTGACCTGCATTTTGCGCAGTTGTGCCCACGGCGTCAGAAACTTCTTCTGTTGTGTTCTTCACAGGTGCAGGTGTACGGTCTTTGGCTTGATGAATGATCGGTGTTTTGTCAGCGGCGCGGGTTGCCGATTTCACGGCCGGGTTGTCCTTCGGATCTAATGCGTTTCGTACCGTCGGTGTCACAGTGTCAGACACAATGCCCGCGGTGTCTTTGGCCGCAGCGGCAGCACTATTTGCTCCGCTTTTAGCAGAGTCAACAGCGGTGGTGGCGGGCCCCTGAGAAGGCGGCACAGGCGACTTTGCGGTTTGGCTTTTGGCCTTATTGCTGCTGCTGCCGCCTCTGGGAAACGACGGCATGCTGCTAGGCAACGACTGCAAATATGACGAGGCTTGCTTAACGTAGTTTCTGCTCTTGTCTTGACCCTCAGCGCCAACCCCGTCCGCGGCCTTGGTAGCTTGCCCAGCAGTGTCTCGTGCTTGGGTCCTTTGAGTCGGCCGATTCGCGTACGGCATGCTAGGCAAACTCTTGTATAATCTTGACGCATAGCTCTGAGTAGAGTCTTGAGCGGCTTGAGCTGTCTGGCCAGCGATGTTGCCTGCTTGACCCGGGTCTCGTCCGGCCTCTTTCAAATTTGCCACAGTCTTCTCTGTTTCCTTAGTGCTCGGAACACTGGGGACATAGAAGTACTCTATGGCTCTTGTCACCAAGCTCTTCTGTGTCTGGTCCTGAACCTGTTGCTCCAGTTCATCGGCTTCAGCCTCTGCTTCGGCGGCCTCGTCCTGCTTTCCGCCCGTCGACTCACGACGTTGCAAAGCTTTGCGCTGCGACAGGAGTGATTGCTTCTTTTCATCCTCCTCCAGCTTCAAGAGCGCCTGCTGTTCCTCCTCGACCGCAGCCATGTCGATATCTTCGAAGCCGATCTTTTTGAGGATTGCTCCGATCAGGTATCGATACCTTTGATGACTGTTGACATCTTCGGACACATCGAAATTCTCAACGCCGCTGAGCCCTTCGACTTTCTGCAGACCGGCGACACCAAACTGGATAGCTGATGTGCGGTACATGAACCCCAGGATATAGTCGTTGACAGAGAACACATTGACGAGCCTCCCAGCGACAACACTACGGAGGACTCTCCAGTCGCTGGTGTCACTGGGGGTGGGAGAGCCTATCAGGACAGCGTTCTCGACGATGCCGAATTCCTTCCTCTTGGCCAGGTTCATAAGACACGTATAAATGACCCTGGCACCTAGTGAATATCCGATCAAGGTGACTGGTCGCTCACCCTGAGCGCGGTTGACCAAGGCATCGGCCAACACTTCACCTGCCTTCTCGGCTCGGCTCTTTGCCACGCTGAACGGGTTATCGATCACTCTAGCAACCTTCAGTAGTCCAATGGGCCACAGTGCAGCTGCCAGCTCGGCGAAAATTGTCCTCTGGATAATTTCCTTTTGTGCATAGCCCCAGGCCGCCGATCGGACCATGCCGTTCATAGCGTTGCCCAAATTTAGCAGCGCTTCCAGTTCGTACTTCAGAGCAAACACCTCGGCGCCAGTGCCCAGTACCCGCCATGGTTTGACAACTTCTTCCTTTTCAGTCAACCAGCCTGAAATTCCAACGGTGACGCGAAGTTTGTGGTCATGCTCGCTGGCCTGCTTGGGGCCCTGGTTGTCATCTTCACTGGTCTTCTTGTTGCTGCTGCCATGGACAGGAAGGAACTGGAAGTCTTCGACTTCACGTGCATAATTATCCATCATTTGCCCGGTCATTCGCCCTCCGTAAGCACCGAACAACCCGCCAACGACGACACTGCTTCCAGCCACAGTGCCAAGGTAGGCAGCAGCAGTGGTGGCACCAAGTCCAAGACCTCCCATGACAGAGCCGACCCCTGCGGCAACAAGAGGCGCGGCGAGGCCACCCGTGACGCCGATAATGGCGGCACCAGCAGCAGTGGCCAAGCCAACCTTCCACTTTCTTGACTCCTTGTTCTCGTCTGCCTTTTTTCGCCTCTCTTCATCCGCCGTCATCTCCTTGGCTGCCTCTAGAAGACCCTTTGCCGTAGTATACTCATCCTGTTCAAAAGTCTTTAGAGGGAGTTTCAGAGACGACGTCAGATTCAACATGAGCACACGGGAATATGCATTGTAATGTTGCAAAGATAGCAAGAGCAAGAGCACTGAATGGAGTATTAGTGTCCGCTTGTCCATGGGCAGCTTGGTCAATGGCGTTTTAGTCGGTGGGAACAGATCCTTGAATTTCAGTGCCGCCGTCTTTGTCGGGGCATCCATGACCTTGCCTGTTGTGTCGGTCGCCTGGGGTCTTGCCATGTCGGCCTTGCCAGCGTTCTTCTGGACTTGTTCTTTGGCGGTTCGCTCACTGTTGACGACCTGCCCGACCCGTAGGATGACTTGCTCGCGCCATTCATCGTATGCTTTCAAAACATGCTTCTTGATGGTTTTCATCTTCAAGGTGGCCAGATCCTTCTCACTTTCTTCTTTGAGTTTGCGTTCTCTGTCGTAGGCCGAGACGTCGGCATTGGCTGGGTCAGCCACCATCATCTTCTGATCTTCGGTCATGCCTTCGCGCAGCAAGGACTTGTCCAGTCCGGCCTGCGAATCAAAATTGTCCAGTATCTGTTTCCGCATTGACTCGGTAATGTTGGCGACAAGAAGGGTGAGATCTGCACGTTGAGTTTCGTCGAGGATGGTAGCAAGGTCCACATCATCCTTGGGCCTGGCCTCGCCCTTGATGGCTTGTTGAGATGGTTTTCGTTCCGCCATATTGTCGGCACTATCCGTGGCTAGGTCACAAGGGTGGACCAGGACCGTTCATCAAGATCAAGCCCAGGGCTGGATGTGGCACGGGCGGCGGTGCAACTGTGGTATACCCTGGCAAGACAGACGGTAGCTCTAAAGTATGCTGTAAGAGGTATGAGGACCAAGGACAATGACAGTTGAGAGGCCTTTCTTCAACGTGCAGCTCACTTGAGGACAGAGGAGAGACAAGCAAAAGATTAAAATGAGTCTCGAACGTCGGAAGGTGATCAAGAGGAAGAAGTTGTGGCGGTGCAGGGAAAGGAAACAGAAACATGACTGTGAACTTGAACTTGAAGCTGAGCACTCGATGACGTAAGTCTCCCACACTCCTCTGGATCCCTGATCCCTGCGCCACTGCAAACACGAACTTGAAGCAAACCGGCGAACGTGGAGGAAACAAAATTGACTGCAGTTGAGACAACGATAAGGTAAGCTACACACTAGGAAAAAAGAGTTGCAGTGTTGCATGAATTCATTTCATTCATCCTCGCATGGGCTCATTTTGTGTTGACCAGGCTTGTCGTGGGACTCACCTCAGCCAACGGTCTAAATAGTACACATCAAGCCCTCTACCATTGCAATGCAAACCCTCGGTGGTTAATACGCGCAACTTTTAAGATCCAAGTCTTGCCCTTTCACCCGGAAATGCATCGCAAAATTGACTGATGGACAGACGGGCGTAGTCTAAAGAATGGTACCGAAGCTGGATGTCATGTTAGCAAGCCGCCCTCAACAATCCCCGAGCTGATCTCAACACTTACCCAAACGTCTGCTTGATGCTGCGCACGTAGTAGCCCTCCCAGTTCCGCTGCACCACGTCTTCCTGGCCGACGGGCACTCCGGTCCAGGTGACTCTCATGTTGGTCACACGGTCGACGTCGTTCTGGTCAAAGAAGATTTCCTGGGTGCTGTAGTGTCCTTCCGGCCACTGCGCCAGCCTCCACTTCTGCACAAGCTTCTTGGGCGGTTCTAAGCTGACAAACTCGCCCGAGACATTGCCATCGAAAATGGAGAACTTGCCGCCTGGTTTGGCCCCTTCAAAAACCCGAGGCGGTGCGCGGGTAAAGGCGGCTAGCCGCTGAGGGTCGGTGAATGTCTGGAACAGTTCGTCGGCTGTCGTCCGAAACTCATCGTTCGCAGTCACTGTGGTAGTGTTGACGGATGTCTTGCCGGTGCTGGAGGTTGTTGTGGTGGGAGCGGTAGAGGTTGGGGTTCGCTCCCTATGAGGATGCCAGGTAGGAGTGGCGAAACCACTAGATGGGTTGGAACCAGGGGCATGCTGAAGGTCTTTTCCATGCTCCTTGATCAATGCCGGTCCGAGGCTTGCGAAAACTTGGCGCAGTTGAGGGACCAGTTTCGACCGCACGAGGTCTTTAACCGGCTGCATCTCCTTCTTCTCCGAGTAAATGTCTATGTCAAACTGCGTGGGGGTCAAACGTTAGCAATTCGTTCAGACATAATGTTCAGGGGCCAAACATTGGGAACATACAACGTACTCGTCTGGCTCTGTGTCATATGCGCATTCCGGAACCTTGATGGTGCCGCTGACATCGGTGCCATCCTCTGTCTTGCCTGCGCTGACCGTCAGCCATGGAACCCGTCACATCGTGAGGACAGTATATGCATACCTTCATATTCTAGCTGTAGTGCCACATCGTATATCGTTATAACCTTGCCTTTTCTCTGGCTCACTTCCACATCGCCATCCATAGATATCAGTCGTGTGATCTTGGCTGTCACGCCATTCTCTTCGGCCGAGACTTTCTTGGACTCTTCCTCTAGATAATCCTTGGCCCAGCCGGCGGCATCTTTCATCACCCAGTGCCAGTTATTCGGGTTATGTAGAACCATGGTGGAAGGAGAGTATTAGTCGGGAGGTGGAGGGAGAGGGCGGGTTCGGAAAGGGATTCTACCACACACAAGTGTCAGCAAATGAATCGCAGTGTGCATATACGAGACGTGATAGTCATTGAAAAAAGAGTTCAGATGATCGGCTTATAAGCCTTGGAAAGCTGTTCCGCATGCAAAGAGTACAAGTCTTCTCAGCCTGGTGCCAGCTGTGTTTCTCATCACGACAAGGAGTAAGGTGCAGGGAAATACTGCGTGCACTTACCTTCGGCGAGCTTCAAACTGTTCGTGATGTATATCGTATGAATATCGAGGTCGTCAACTTCGTGAAATCGTCAGGAATAACAGCTTGCTTTAGGTAAATCTGGTGAGTGGATGCTTCTATCCGGAGAAACGTCTAGAATTCTGACTTTGTGATTTGGTGACAGTACAATATAGAACATAGGTAGAAAAGATGTTAGCATCTCCATACATACTAAATAGCTTCATAGAGCTAGCGCGTCGTGCTGATTGCCCTCTAGCCAACCTTTTATATCCAATGAGATGATGCAGTATCAGCGCTAAACTACTAGTATTGCCTATTCTTCGAGGAGGTTTAAATGGCTACCAAGATTCTACCATTAGCCTACTTTGGGTTAAGCCTGCCCATTGGCTAACATCACCGCACCGTTCATGTTGATTCCGTTGATCCAATGCCCCTTGAAGAGCTCCCATGAAGTCCAAAGACATTGCCACACTGGAGGGTGAAGGTCTGCTATTGTTCTAGAACGGTTGGACTTTCCTACACGTCGAGGAAGAGAAACCGAAGAGATACGGTTGCGACAGCACATCGCACCATTAGGTACAGCGTGAACGATGCAAAAGCAGGAGAGAAGTCGCGATAAATCGAACTGAGCGAGTAGCTATACTGAACGTTCTTACCAACAGATACGAAGCGTGGGCTACATGCGGGAAACGAGGGATCATTAGACTGAGAATCTGGTATTGGTCTCGCTATTTGTTCGGAGCGCTGGTCGCCGCGGAGCATTTCCCTCCCACCATCCTCGCTCGCGGGCTTGTGGTCGTACTCAAAACAATACACAATGTGCAGCCCTGCGGACATTAAACCTCTCCATGAGAGTGGCATTCCCGTGGCAGCGGTGTGCATGTGCGGACACGCACGCGCGCAAGCAAACCAATAACTTGGTGCAGCCAGGTCCACCATCATGTCTCCTCTTCAGCATCCTCAGTGTGGTTCTGTCTCTCCTGATGCGATTTTGCATGCTTGACTCGTGTGCCCCTCGTGTCGCTTAGCGAGCGCTCTCGATGTACTCGGCCGAGGGTTTCTCGTACTTGGCGCAGAAGAAGCGGGAGCTATTGCGGGACAACCAAGTGGTGAACTTGCTCAGCTCGAGCTTCAATCTAGTAACTGATTCGGCGTCCATGTTGGTCTGAGCAACGATCTCTGGAAGATTGACTGACATAAACTGTTAGAAGGCGCCGTGACCGCAGGCAGGCAAGTAAACATACCGATCATGCGAGTGAGATGCTCAGCACCATAGCAATCTCCTGGACCCTTGCCCTCCCAGTCCTTGTATTTGCCGGATTCCCACAGCTTACGAACCTGCAGTGACAAAGGAATCAGTATCAGACTGCAGATGCGGTTAATCATTGTTGTAACACATACCTCTTGCAACTGATTTCGTTCGAATCGGTACAGAAGGATTTTGCCCAGGGCCTTGTCAAAGTAGGTCTTCAAACCGGTGACGAATTCCTCGAGGATCTCGAGATCGGCGGAACCTACAAGTCGATTGTTTCTCTCCTCATTGTAGTAATCGTCCAGTATGTAGTTGGCAGGGGCTTGACTGGGCAATGGGACTAGAAGGAGAGACTTGGTGACATTCTCCCAGTCGTCGACGAGGAGGTTCTTGAGGTGATCGGGGACCGAGATGTGGATCGACGGGCGGGTGAGAAAGTTCTCCTCCTGTCCAAATGAACGAAAGTAAGTATTTGTCACATCAGTCTGATTCAAGGAAATGTCTCCTTGACGGTCAAACAATTTGGTGAAGTCCAGGCGCACGGGTTTCTGCAATTGGATGTTCTCCTTCGGGACGACTGAATCGATCATCTCGCTGTCGGACTCCGTTTTCATAGATAGGTCCATGTACGTGTTGCCAGTGTCAACGTCATCGCCAGCGTCAGCGTCAGCATCTTCATCTTTGTAGACCTCCGGTTCCATGTCCGTGTCGCCATCGTCGTCGCTAGCGTTCGCGTCAGAGTCATCGCCGGCGTCAGCACCTTCATCATCGTCGTCCTCCGCATCGCTGCCGCCCAGGGCCGCGAACTGGGCGGCGACTTGCTCTTTCAGCCACTCTTTGCGCAATCTCTCCAAGAACCAGCTGTTCTTGGGCAATTTCTGGAGAATGTTGGCTGGTTGGCTCTTCAGGACCGCAAAAGGAAGCTGCTCGAGGACACTCACGTCCAGTTGATCGACGACGTGTGGGGGAAGAAGCATCAGATGTTCTTGATTCCAGCCGCTCAGAGTGTCCTCGGTGTTCCGCTGAAGTGCCTTGACCAGGCGAGCTTCATGTTTGAGCGCGTCGAAAGGAGTGCCGGAGCCTGGTGGATCAAGGGGCTCAAAGGCGATGCCATGCGGAGGCACGACGGCGGGGCGGTATTCTCTGTCTCCTTCTCTGGCTTGGGACAGCTCAATTAGGATTGAAGCCGCCTCGTGATAAGTGGTTCCGCCAATGAGAGGAAAGTGCCAATTGACCGGGCCTGTTGCCGTAGAGCGGCTCAGGTACTCCGGCTCGTCGGCTGGAGCGGGCCTCGCAAGAACCTCGTCGATCGTCAACGGTGCCAATTCGTTGCGTGGATCGGGCAAAGCTTGACGGTATTTGTTCCAAGTAAGAGCTGGAACCTCAGTCTCGGTTGATGGCGCAGGACCTGGAGTACGAGCCGAAGGAGCACCAGAAGTGCCTAAAACACTGGGATTGGAATGCATTGTTGAAGAAGAATCACGGGATGTCTCATTCTTGAGTTGTTCGGTGGAAGATGTGGTAGCGTTGTGAGTGGCGGATCTGAGGTTGAATTTGATTTTGACGGGGACGTTCGAATTTGAGGTTGGTTGTTCTGCGACTGGTGATTCTTTTGCGACTGTCGAACGTGTGGCATACCGAGTGGCCTTTGCATCGGCGGCGGCATCATCATCGGCAGTGTGGCCTTTTGCGCTTCCCCCTACCACTGAGATAGTATCTTCTTCACTATCTGCCACTTCCTCCTCGTCATCCGACATCTTTGGTTTCAACTCAGATGCACTCTTCTTCTTATTAATGATCTGTTGGCGAATGGATGGAGCTCTTCCCGTTGCAGGACTGGCAGATGTGTTTGCAGCATTCTTCCCCTTGTTCCCAGTGCTTGTCTTTCTCTGCTTGGACGATTGTCCACCAAGGCCAGTGCCGGAGACGTCTGACTTCTTCTGCACAGCAGTCTTTGGCTTTTTCGGGGTTGGTTTGGTCGCAACAGTTGATGTTTGAGGCTTCTTGGTTGCGGAATCAGTGATTGCTTGGGCTGCTTTAAGCGCGGCTCTTCTGGGTTGATGCAGGAACTGCTGGAGATCGATGTCCGCGCCAGCTCCATTGTTGGTGTTTCCGTCTTCTTTCGCGATATTCCCACTCTTCTGGCCAGGGCCACTGGCGCTGCCTTGGTTGTCTATGCCGTCACTGACGCGCGCAGTCTGCTTCTTAGGTGGCATTATGGCGAGGTCTAAGCAGATCGAGGGTGCGGTGGAATTCTGGATACTGGGCGTATCGAACGCGGCAACACAGAGTCCAAGAGGTTTCAGATCGTACAGGCGAACACGTTGCTTGCCGGATGATTGCACAAAACAAAAGGCTTGAAGGGGCTTTCAAAGTGTGAACAGTGGATATGACCACGAACCTTTTCAACCTCGTTGTCCCGAGCACGCTTTGATCCTCTGCCTCCAGCAGCAGGAACAGAAGACGTACGCTCTTCACTTCCTCGTCCCGAACCGATCTCTGATCCGTGTCCACGGCGGGTTTTGCCAGTGGACTTGGGAGCGACTTTAGGTGCTGAGGCAGTGAGCTCTCGCTTCAGATTCGCAGCCAACTCCCGATTGTCGTCGGTAAGCTTGCGCAAGCGATCCTGAGGCACCCAGTCGTCCCAACTGGATGAACAAGAGTCAGTATCGGCCAACCAGGATGATTGAGAGAAGTTTAGGGATGGACGCGATGGTTAAGAAGGGTGGTGTTGGTGGAAGTGTGATCATGAGAATGTTGAGGAAAGCAAAGCGCGAGTGAAAGAAACCTGAGGTAGACATATTGACAACAATTCAACATGCGACAATATCTAACCTGCGCATGCTCCTTGGCGAAGCAGCCAAAACGAACATTGTGCTGGGCGGGCTCCTCGTCCTCTTCGATGCAAACAAAGCCAATGGGTGGAGGGAGATGGTACTCACGTATTCTTCCATCCTTTGTAATGGACCCGATATTCGTGGGGACTGGTCTTGTCCTTCGCATCTTGTCGTCGCACTTCAAGCACTTTGGCTTCATAGAGCAGCTCACCGTGAAAACACAGGGCTTTCTCGTCCTTCTGGTACATGGGCTTGCTCTCGTTCGAATGGGGTGCCATCTTGACAATGTGGGACTTGATGGTCTGAATTCCCTGTTCAATGGTGGCAAGGCAAGGTTTGAACGCAATTTTAGGCGAAAAGACCCCCAACACCTCCCAGATCACAGAAAGACTCCAGCGCCAATAAGATCACATGGGCAGACAGGAAGAAAGACAGAAAGAAGTTTTTAGGAGACAGAGAAGTCAAAGGGAGCATTCGATGGTCGAAGTTGGTCGTTGAAAGTGCAAAGGAGACTTGGAGCGGGTTGAACAGACACCTCCGATTGGTTGCCGGCGACGCGTCGTGACCCAGCCAAAGTAGACGACCGATAATTGAATCTATTCAACATTGGATAGCATCACTCTCCGTCACTGCATTCATCTTTCTGATTCTGACTTGACTGGAAAGCGAGTCACTGATTGTGATCTTCTGTGGTTAAGCATTTACTGGCAGTGAAGCAAAGAGACACGGACGCCGATCTACCAACTGCCCAGCGGCCAGATCCACCAGCCCATCTGTGTCTTGATTTGGAGCCTTACAAATCTGGCTATTTTCTGCTCTATCACACTCAAATAGACAATCAGTGGCATTCCATCTGTTGAACTATCTACACGGCCACCTGCTGCCCCATATACTCAGGTGGACTTCTTCCCGTGGCTCTCTTGGACACCATCACTCGCGACTGGGAGTAAGCAAGGCTGACAGGCTCGGCAAGGCTGGTCCTGTGCCAGTGCAGCGACAAAGCGAGAACGGTCCCAGCCTTACACATATTTCACAGCAACTAATGCAGGACGCCACTCGAGAATCAGGCATCATAGGGAACTGATCTTGCTGTGGTGAACTTCGTCACCCAGGACAACCCACAAAGACGACACAAGACCGGTATCGATTGTCCAAATAACCAGCAAGGCTGATCGACATTTGAGCACCAACCACAAGGCCAGATCGCGCCGACACCACAAATCGCTTGACATATAAGACAACCTCACAAACGACTGTTTTCTAGCGCCCTCCTTAACATACTCACCCCTTCCCCACATCAGACCAGAAGTCGGCACACCCTACGCCTCCTTCTTCCACCTACATCAGGATCCAGGCCACACAACAGCTCTAACTATCAACCGAGTCAACTATCTCTTCCAGCCTCCAGCCTCCATCCTCACTCATACTTCCTCCATTATCAGAACAATGTCTCAACCCACCGAGTCCGACATTCTCTACTCCTACCTTCTACAACCATCATCCCTATCGACAATCATCCCCTACACCAAATTCCAAAGCCTGAGCCCCCACAAATCTCCAACTATTACCCCCTCCTCTGGTCCGAACCTCATCAAACGACTCTACCGCGACCTCGAATTTCAGCGCTCCATCACAATCGACCATGTCCGCCGGCGCATTGACGAAGAATGCCGCCGGAGTGTAGGTCTAGTGTCTCGATTGAGAAGACAAGTTCGACGGGAACAGGGACAGCCATATTCTCTTCCCACAACCACTACAACCAGCACCAAACAAGTCCATCTGCAATCTTCGCAACGCCCTTCTGGGAAGAGGAAACGAAGTATTTCCGACACCAACCATGCACCACCACGAAGGCTGCCAACAGCAACTCCTTCAGAAGATGCCGACGACGCACAAATTGACAGCGACCCTGACACAGACACAGACACCGAGATCGAAAAGGACAAAGACTTCCTGGTCGACATACATTACGACGCACCTGGACCTGGACTCGGCGGGCAGAGTTTCCCCGGATCAAATTCAAATCACACAACCGACACGCTCATGCAAGCCATGGAAACCGCAAAGACACAGCTCGAAGCCGAACTCGCCGAATTAGAGACCAAACTCGATTCGTGCAGACGGGCCTGTGAGGAGCGCGTGGGCGCGTTGAGTGATTTGCGATATGGACGATTTAGGAGCAGTAACGTCAACAACGTTGACGCCATGGACGATGACGATGGTCATCATCATGGAACCGTCACAACAGGACAAGGAGCAGCAGCAGCAACACTGGAAATCAAGGTTGTGGATGCCTTGGCGGAGTTTACTGCTCGACTTCAAAGCTGACATTTGAATGCCCCCACTGCAGCGAGGGCAAAGATGGGGAGCAGAAACGGCAAAAGATAGAGAGTCCTTTTGCACCAACACTATTCTAGTTTACACCCTGCGTACTGTACGATATCGGCTTTACGAACAAGACGCAAAAGAAAAGTCATCATACTAGTAGTAGTACGAAATTCGTCCTGTCGGGTCTCTGACTTTCACATTGTCGAATAGGTCATTTCGTTACCAACCGCTTTTCAAGTTTTTGCTCCGTTCAAGTTGCATATATATGTGCCAAAGAGGATATATCCAAGGTAGGTAGGACATCAAGATGACGTGTCATGACATGACAGAACAGAAGACGGCGCCAGGTGACCCCACTGCCTGACTTGTTTACTTGTGCGCTTCAATCACCTTCTGCATCTCCTCCTCGCTACCCATAAAGATTCCGGAGCGATCATGGATATTCTTAGGCTGGACCTCAAGCATTCTGTTCATGTTGCTGTCGACAGCCTTACCGCCGGCGTTCTCCATGACCATGGCCATGGGGGCGCATTCGTACAAAATCCGGAGTTTGCCCTTTGGCGACTTCTTGTCGGCTGGATAGGCAAAGATGCCACCGTACAGAAGCGTGCGGTAGGCGTCGGCAACCATGGAACCAATGTACCGTGCGGAATAAGGTTTGCCTCCTTCCTTGGGGTACTTGAGGGATTCAAAGTACGCCTTGGTCTTGTCGGACCAGTACATGGAATTGCCTTCGTTGACGCTGTAGATCGCTCGTTTCTTGGGGATGCGCATGTTGGGGTGGGTGAGGATGAATTCGCCCAATGCGTTGTCCTGGAAAGGTAAAGAGATCAGCAATCATTGTCCACGTTTTTAACAGCGCCAAGGCATAACTTACCATAGTGAAGCCGTTGACGGTGCCTCCTTTCATGGTAATCACTAATTGCGTCGAAGCACCATACATGGTGAACCTGTGCAAAAGTCAGAACCTTGGACGAAGCTCTTCTTTCTCATCCCGACACACTTACCCAGCAGCAATCAGTTCAGTTCCAGGCATCAACAGGTCCTCTGGCTTGGGTTTGGACCCAACCACACTATCGGGCAGCTTCATGATACCGAAAATCGTACCGACACTGACGCCTGCGTCCAGATTGCTGGAGCCGTCAATGGGGTCGCAAGCCACGACGTAGCGGGCATTAGGGTGTTCGTCAAAGTAAATGATGTCCTCGACCTCCTCCGAGACCAGAGCTCTGCATCGGCCCGATCCTTTCATGGCAGCAACAAAAAGATCATTTCCAATCACATCCAGCTTCTTCTGGTCATCTCCCGTCGTGTTTGATGAGCCCGCCAGACCAGTCAGGTTGATCAGCGTCGCCCGTCGGATGTAGTAGGCAATGGACTTGAAGGAGAATTGGAGAGCGTGGCATAGCAATCTGGACAGCAACCTGCGTTAGCACCCGGAGAACAAAACACTTGAGACCGACCAGTCCAAACCTACGTGAAATCACCGGTGGCTTCCTTGTGTTTTGTTTGTTCTTCCGTCAGGAATCTGGTCAGAGTGATGATGTCGGTGTTGATTTTCTCCTGGCCCGTGCCGGTAGGAGGGTGGCCGTTGGAGTCTCCGTTGGAAGCCATGGTGTATGTACTTTGTCTTTTGCTTGTGTGGTATTATTCTCCGTGTAACGATTCAGGGTTCTTCAGAAGATGTCACAAAGAATAATAGTCCAACTAGTAGAATCGACAGAAACTGCGAGGATATCCTTAGCGGGGAGAATTCGGCACGCGATGGATAATCGAACGCTCGGCCTCGGGAGAATGGAGAACAGACGTCACTGGTGGGATCTCAGTGATTGCAGCCACAGGGACACAACTTGGAGTTCAGCCAGATATTTGAATGTCCAGGGACTGTACTGTGTACACAGGAAGTGATTCTTCACGAGCTCGTCACGAGAGAGGAGACACCCTTTACATATAATGAGATACGACAAAGTTGTCAGAAAAAGTGGGAAGGATGTTGATTGAGGCAGCTATATGCGTTCAAGCATGAACGTATCAAACAATCCGACTCCGCCCGTTTCGGGACGCTGAATGGCAGAGAAAAGTGAAGACCGGGGAGGATCATGGGATCGACCATCTGGCCAGGCTTCGGGAAATGAAGAAGATTGCACTGGAAGCAAGTGGTTAGCGGATGTACTCCGCATACCATCATGAGGCTATACCGCAGCATTGGCAGATGTACGCGACGAGGGACCAAGCGCAGGTGGATGGAGGGGCAGTCGACGAACTTGCCCGCACTGCAAGTGTTTCCGCCCAAGTTGCCCGCGCCCGACATTTTCCGGCTGCCTCGATTTGCTTCCATCGAGGACTCCGCCCGATGCACACTGCAGGATGCTACGGTACCGCACAGATGGGTGCCACGCAGCACAACATCCAGTCCGAGTATTATCTTGCCAGATTTACGACAGTGATAAATCGCGATCGCAATGGTGGCTACCTCATCTCCCGCAACGCTGGCATCCGGCAAGGGTGTTTGGGCATAAATATAAGGACAACAAATATCTTTGTCGTACTACGTTGTATAACTGTCCACCAATAAATCGTTTACTGCACCGTAGTTTCTGCCAGGACAACGGCACTCCGCAGCATTTCGAGCATCACGTGGCATGACCTCGGGGCCCTCGGGCTCATCAACCCGAGGATCCAACCGCTGGCAACGTCTTCCTCGGGTATTTACGGAATGGGGGGATCTCAACTGGCAGCCTTGACACACTGCAGGGCCGTGCCGCTTATGACCACGGTACAGATTATTGGGCAGTATACACGGTAGTATTGTTGAAGAGACAACACCCCTGAAGTTGGTATAACCTTTGGCCCTGCCCAATCCTCCCCCTGTTCAAGTGTCTCCCGAGCAAGACCTTTGAGTGTATTGCTGGGTATCCCAGACCGCACCCTACCAGTATTTCATTCAATATTGCATTCGTTAAGTCGTCCGTCAAGTCATGGGGTATCGTTTATATGATAGTAGTACCACTGTATATCCTCTCTCATCCTTCAACCTGCAGCGCCTCGTCCCATCCTCCGACACTCTCCAGACATGCCTTAACCTGTGCTTTCTTGGCTTGCAAGGCACTACCCAAGGCTTCGGCCCATTGTTCTTCAATCATCGTCACCTGTTGTTTCAACTCGGCAGTCGCCGTAGCATCTTGCTCATCCCGCCATCTGCCAGTGGCGTCTAGTAAACTTCCACTGTGCTTTTCATCTCCAGTCGAGCGAGCTTTCGTAGCTTCAGCCGCCCGATAGCGCGCGCCAATCAGAGCCCCCTTGACCTCATGTAGCAGGCAATGCAGGCTGATCTGCGACTCAATGAACTGGTAAGTTGATTTTTCGGCATGCTGTAGGAGTGAATACAGGTACTGCTGCGGGAATTCACGATAGCTGGGATTTTCCGCATATTCGGATTCCGGTATCTTGATGGCTCCCAGCTGCTCCGCTTCATCTGGCAGTCTTTGCACCAGTTCCGCCAGCCCCGGAGCGATGTCCCAAAAGGCGGATGATTGCAATTCCACCTCTCGAGCCACGTTCTCAGCCACCAGCTCAACAAACTTCTCGTATCGGACCGCGGCTGCGGCGAAGAATTCCTTGCGTCGCTCAAGGCGGTCCTCTGCGAAGAATCCTTCTGTGTCCCTGATCTTGTCCAGATTGTTGGCCTGGCGGTAGGGAAGCAGTACTATCGCCTTGTACTTCTCGTTGCGCTCGCTCAAGAGATCGAAGATCTCTCGGTGCATATGCTCCCGTGTCTCAATGAGCCATTTGAGTTGTGTAAGGTACTCCAAGATCTCCGGCATGGCATCTCCCTCCTGTTGAGGCCGGTCGACATTTTGCGCGTGCATTTCTTCCACCAACTCTTCCGTCAACTCATTGATCCTGGTGTTGAGTTGTGCAAGACGATCATTCAGCATCTCGTGCATTGGGTTGATCAGTACATCCTGCAGTGTGTCGGACTCCGCTTGCAAGCACTCTTTCTCACACTTGTGGTCTTCCATCCGCAAAGCTTGCTCCGCTTCAGCCGCCTCAGCATAGCTGATGCTCCCTTCCTTGATCTGCGCTTGGACATGGACCTGAAAAGACTGCTGTCTCTCTTTGGCTTTCCGCACATGCTCGGCCCGGAGCGCCTCAACAGCTACGTTGTGTCGGCCCCTGCGGCTCTGCAATTCGCTCAAGTCGCTCAGTGTCCGAACGGCATTTCGATAGGTTGATAGTCGCGGATGCCCGTTATTTATGGCAGGGTAATGTCTCGGATATGGTGGAGGTAAGGTAATGAATCGTGATATATCCAGGAGCGGCGACGCATACGGGTTAAAGGACGATCTCTTCGACGTCGACACTGGGGCGTTGTCGTCGTCGTAAATCCCCAGAGCTTCTGGGTTGCCCTTTTCCTCTGGATATGTGTCGTCCGCCTGGTATGTGTCATTGAAGTCCCGTGGCGTTGGCGCCTCCGAGAGGACTTCCTGTACCGAAAGCGTCGCCAGACCCATGTACTTGGACTCCCGCTTCGTTCGTTTCATCTTTTTGGCGTCCCCATCACCTTCGGATCCAGTTTGAGACTGCCACCATCGGCTGGCTGTACGCCCGCGAGAACTCAACTCGTCGTTGCTCATACTGGCAATTGGCGAGAGAGCCGGTCGATAGTCTTTCCACCACAACGCGTCCGGATGTGGAGACGCTGGCATCTCGTTTCTCTGCTGCCTCGACTGGCTGCTTTCACGCTTGGCATCAATCGTCCCGACATCAACGTCGTCATCAAACAGCAGCTTCCTAACTTCTTCCACATCGAAACTCCCTTCTACAAATGGTGCGGGATAACGTTGCCTTCGGATTCGAGCTTCTTCGAGCACGAATTCTGTGAACAGCTGCAACCGTTCTAGATCAGATGTTGCCTGTCTCTCCAGCAACAGAAACTCGTGATGCCTCCGCGATGCCTCGGCGATGAATGAGTCCACCTCGCCCCGGCCCAGCTCCGAAATCGACGATGCGTTCGATGGAATGATACTGTGGGCGGAGGCTGGGTTTTTCTGGCTCAGGGGAGGGGTTGGTAGCGCTTTGGAAGATGCTCGTGGAGGACCATTACCGCTGTTGGTTGCTGTGCTCAAAGGCGCACTCCGGCCGAATGTCGACAGAGAAAATTGATCCGTTTCTCCAAAGCGCTGCTCTGGGTTGATCGACCTGCTACGTCTGCGGACATCACGTCGACCGCTGTCTGATATGGCTGATACAGCCCCGGCAGACTCTGGCGTAGGCGAATGGTCATTGATGATGCCGGCAGGGCTCATGGTCTCTTCCCAGGGGTCCGTCTCGGCAGTCAGATCACTGCTCTCTGCTGCCTGTGCTTCATACAAGCTTCTTCTCTGTTTCCGTCGCTCCAACAATCCTCTCGCCGAGGTGACCCGGAGTGCAGTACTTCGATTCAACCCCACGGGCAGAGAAACAGGCCTGTCAAGGTTTTTTGTTTCTATATGTAGTGACATTGGCACTCTCCCTGAAGGCCGCTCGGAGGCGTCCTCGCTCCAATTCGCCGGGGTTGGAGGGAGTGGACTCAGGACCGACGGGCGCAGTGGCACACGATAACTATTGGGCCGGGAGCTGGATCCAGTACTCTGCACTTGAGGAAGGTTACGAGCTCCCGTGGCACTCTGGGATCTCGACGAAGAGGGAGGTGGCCCTGGAGGAGGGCCTGGCAATGGCATTCCAGGCTGCCAGCTCACTTGCCTGGAAGATAATTCTGGCCTGGTCGCGTCCTGGCTTTGGCTTGATTCTCCCTGAGATTGGATTGCTCCAGTAGAGGCTGCTCTTCTGGCTGCTGGCGGACCTGGAAAAAGGCCTGTGTGATCCTGCATGATCCCCGGGGCTACCGGAGCTAGTAACTGTTGCGCAGCAGCTGTATCAATTGAGAGATTTGCCATAGAAAGCGGTCTAGTAACACCCTGAGAGGAATCACGTCGTGATTCTATAAGCTGCGAGGTGACTCTTGCACGCGCCATCCGCGTTTCCAGCTTACTGGAGCGAGGAGGTTGTCTAAAGTTTGCCGCACTACCGGTACCTGTGGCGAGTTGGTCATTGCCGCTCATTGAAGCCGATGGATTATTGAAGGGGGGAACGACCCCTGCCGTACTTGTGGGCGTCGATATGCGTGAGTTGTCGCCGTCGACAAAATTCGAAATTGTAGGCGAGATCCCTGGACCAGCACAGGTGCATATGATGCTAGTTTGCGTCGATGGAGCCGTGTACGGAGGCGGTGGATTAGAAAGTCCGTCTACGCATCTATGAGATGCGTCCCTTGTGATGACGGGGAGCAGAACCTACCTTCGGCGCGAAGCCCATAGTCAGGACCATCTGCCACGAGTAATTCTTGCCGACTCCCACCAAACCATTCCCTGGGATCATAGGGCGCACCATAATTTCCTGCTGCTCTTGCAGACATTGGTAACACGTTTCTCGGACTCGGTCCGGGCGATGGAGAATAGCTCGGCGAGTATGGGCCATACAATGAAGTGGCCGATCTGGGAGTCTGCACTCCTAGACCACGAGCTGGTGTGGCACTGATCATCAATGGAGGTGGTACTGGAACTCCCCCATGCCGCACTGGAGAGCTTGAAAATTGTCCATCCCTCTGAATACGTCGCGGAGGAGGGGGAGGGGGAAGGTAGGCTATAGAGTGCCTTGATGAGGACTGAGCCTGATCGGATGAAGACGCGGACCGCCTTTTGAAACATGAGCACTGTCTCCATCTTCGGGGGAAACAACATAAACATACATATCCATAGTAGATCGTTCTTGCTAGAGGTGAAAGCTCGGCCAACACTGGTTGCAAGATTGGCGGGTTAAGCGCCCATAGAGGCCATGTCACATCTTTCCATTGCTGAAACGAGACCTATGCACTGTGATTGCCATGTGCCGGCCGAAACTGACATATGTAGGGACACCCGTATCACAGTATCAGCAAACAATAAACAACAGATGCGAACCAGCAACGCAAGAAACGAAGACGAGGACGGTAAATGATGGTCGACAACAAAAATCTTCGGGTAGCAACACCAGATGTTCTATTCTTGCTATCGGAGCTGCAGCTAGAGTGGCATTTCGCTAAGCCAGAAAAAGCCGAAGCAAAGGCGATTCCTTTTGTTGGAGAATATATTCTTCGAATTTGCAAACCCTACTAGTAGGATTCATCTGGAATGGTTGCGGGACCGGGCGCCGAGTAGGCAGGGGAGAGCCAGAGATGCAGAGAGGCCTGATGGGAAGAAGCATAGTCTCGAGCGGCCTGGATGCCTGAGACCAACAAGTACATGTCCGGGGAGGATGCCAGTAGTAGTGGTGGTAGATTTTGTGATAAGAGAACAATCAAGAGAACTCGGGCGGTTAGAGGAATGGCGCAGCCAATAAAAGCAGCGAAACCGTCGCTGCCAATGCAATCGGCGCTGCAGCATGATCCAAATACAGCAGCAGGAGCTTGTCCTAGGTAGGAATGGCGGTGCACTAGTCGACACTAAGTGGCATCAAGCAGCCCAGTCTTACCAACAGCGGATTGGGGCGACGCTAGGTCGACGGCACTCTGAAGATCACGTGCCGTCGGAATGAAATGAACCGCAGCCCCGTTGAACATCAGGCTCATTGCTTTGAGCTGAGGCGGTAAGAAGTAAGAAGGACCTTGAGATCAAGCATTGGCTTCCAGGGAAGCAATATACCTACGGTGGCTGCTTTTCGGTGGTGCAACGTCTTCCGTTCTGAGATCTTGTTCGGAAGAGCGGGCATGATATTGGATATAAATATTGATACGATGCGGAGATCATTTGAGGACAGAATAAGAATTGTATCATTCTTGTTCGCCAGTATTTTGTTTGATGGCCGATTTTGAAGCATCCGAGATTGCGTGCTTACCTACTAGGTAGCTACCTTATACCCCCTATTTGATCTTGGGCGAGATCAGAATCTTGATATGGTCATCCCTATTGTTGACCAGCTCCTCAAACCCTTTCGAAACGACCTCTTCAAGTGGGATTCGAGAAGTGACCATCTGTTCGTATCCCTTGAACTCGTCTGCCATGCATCAGTACAAGAAGGGTCTTCTCATTTGGCACATATCGACCACTTACTTTTGCTCATCAACTCCATGACTTCGGCGAAGTCCTGTTTATTGTAGCAACAAGAGCTCATGATTTTGATTTCCTTGAGGAAGAACGGCCAGAACTGAATCTGCAGCTACACATTCACAGCAGAGAACCCAAAGGGCCAAAGGTCAATCGTGCGACTTCAAGAGGGCTAGAAGAGACAGGTGAATGAAACTTACCGGCTTCTCCCAAACCGCGACGTTGACCAGAGTGCCTCCATGTTTGATGGCATCCATGCCGGACTCCAAGCCTGGCTGAACACCCGCACAGTCAAAGACCACATCTGCGCCTTTGCCACCAGTTAACTCTCGACAGATATCGCCAACACTCTCGTTCTTAGGATCAATGACTCTCTCAACGACATCCTTTGCATGCTGCCACCTCTTGGCGGTTGGTTCACTCAGAAAGATCTTGCCCACCCGATGTGCTCTGAGGACCGATATCATAGCGACCCCAATCGGCCCGCCACCCACGATCAGGATGTCTTGTCCTTCGAGCTTGGTCCCGGCCGCTTTTGCGGCATGTTGTCCTACGACCAGGGGTTCGATCACAGCGGCGAAATCCATGCTGACGTTTTCTGGAAGGGGATACAAATGGCTTTCCTCGACCGCGACATATTCCGACAACCCTCCTCCAAGTTTGCCCCCGCTGTATCCCATGAAGGACAGCATATGGCATACATGGTCCATTCCAGAAGTGCAAGATGGGCAAGACCGGCATCCCACGTGCGGATCTACCATCACAGGCTGTCCGATCTGGAACTTTGCTCCTTCGCCGACAGCCTTGATGCGTCCGCAGAACTCATGTCCCAGTGTGACGGGGAGCGTGCCGCCGGTTAATGGATTGGGCCGCTCAGCCGTTGGTATGGCGGTAGGACCTGCAGTGTATTTTGCATCTCAGTCATTCATGTTCATGTCCAGCCCAGCTCTAGCACACACGTCTCTGCCTAGAGATGGGGTTTTTATTGATGATAGCCAGAGAGGGGGGTTTGATTTATTGGTTCCTGGTAAGCCCAATCATAGAATCCTGTAAACCATACCTGCGGTGTATTCATGTAGGTCACTACCACAGATACCACACCATTCAATTTCCACCAGACATTCCCCTGGCCCAGGCTGAGGAATTGGGATCTCTTCCACGCGGATGTCCCGCTGGCCGTGGTAACGCGCTGCTCTCATGGTCGACATCTTGACGGCTCGAGGCTCGTTCAGGTTGTCAGGGCTTGTAGCCACACGGTCGCGGACTACGATGTCTTGAGTGTAAGTGACACGACACGAGTCCTTTTAATTCAAACCGTCTCCCTGGTCCAGCAGGACTCGGTAGGAATGTATATCTACGGCTGACGTATCCACGAGTAGCCTCGGTTATGGGCCACGGGTCCGTCGGATAGTAGTGCTGATGTATACTCCCTCCAATGCGCATAACTGAGGGGATCTTTCTCAAGCGACCCAGACGGGCAGACTCCGCTGCATTCTTATTATTAATGGCCATAGATTGACTTGCCTATCCGAATACAGTTGGAGCTGACAAAGGTAGGTGGTGCCTAGCTACGTACGTACTGTACGTGTCTAATAGTCTGGGCAGACATTGACCACGATAAACGCGGGGTATGCTCTTCAGCCTTGTGCAGGATATCCAAGCCTTGGTGAAGGCTGGACTCTCGGGGAATACTTGACTTCAATATGACACCAAAAAAACAGAGCAATGTCTGCGGTGGGCTCAGATTTAGACAAGGAAACAAGTTTACGCGAACTTCAAATTGCGACCAGCTCAAGACTGCAGGTATGGCTGCACTGTGACCTTTGCTAGAGAGAACAGAGGTCGCAAGGTCGCAGCCTGTAATTGAAGGATGCAGAGTCTTGCACGCCCGGCGATGACACAAAAGTTGGGCATCATCTGTCATAATAGAATAGAGGAAGGAATTCAATCCCCTCGAACAATCCTGCTTCCGATACTCAAAACAACCGCGATTGACCCCAAAGTACCTGGTATCTGATACTTCTGTAAGAGTTATGGCGTTCCAGGTCAGCCTTGTACTTCAGCCTGGCCATTATCGTCATCACCCTTGGCCCCCATTACTTCCCTTGCCTTCAGCCAGGCGCTATGCCTGAGGTCATCTAGCATCTTTTCTTGGTCCATGATTTCCCTCTGCAGCTCTCTCAGGTCGACGCTGGTGTCCATTTTCTGCTCCAAGCTGGCAATCTGTCTTCTTGCAATTTCGTGGACCTCCTTGGACTTTGTTGCCACCATCTTCAGGACTGCGCCGCACCAAAGACATTGAGCACCGCGGGGTCTAAGGTTGCCTGCGCCACTGGGAACGATAGTACCTTCGGTTGAGGAGCGTTGCCGACGAACATGATGGGCGTTTAGCGGCTGGTTCTCCACATCGACCGGGAGATTGGAGCGGCTGGCAAGGATGTGTTCGAAGGTAGCCGATACTTCTGACTTGAGAGAATCTTTTGAATGCTCGACGATGAGGTTCCCACAGCTCAGTCGACCCCAGGGCTGCGGCTTATCACAGTGCTCCCACTGAGATGCATTGCTGGGATCGAAGATCAGAGCGGAAATCGGTTCTCGATGAGGATAAGGACACACGTCCAGCTTGTACCAGCACATGATGGAGAGTGATGTTGAAGTACACTCTGGCGCGATGGTAGAGCTATGTGGAGGAGAAGAAAAATTGATACAAGCTCCAGTGGTCAGAAGGCGAATTATATTCTGGTTGCGCTCCTGAGTCAAGTGGTTGATTGATGCTGTGAATGATTGATCATGCGATACAATGATTGCCGCGAATGCTAACAGCGATTGTGCAGTGAATACCTTGTCGCTGAAGCTGACGCTGACGTTGAGAAAAAAGGCAGAGCTTGTGGTGCGTGGCCGCAGCAAAGTCTGCTTCCTTCACTTCGCGGAAAGTGCGACTTCTCACCGACCAAGATTTTCATTCGCACACAACTTGATGGGCTTCTTCACATGTTCCCGGTGTGAGCACCAGCGAAGTGATAGCTGGCATACTCATCCTTTGTGTCGTTGATATACTTTGTTATTCATCAAACCCAGCCCTTCATCCAGCAGCCGCAGAGACAGGCAAGTCCATCCAAAGATGAGAAGACCGTGTTCATGAACAAGCATTCCACTCTACGCAACAGTCACTCAATGGGCTGGGAAACGGGACATTGATTACTCAATCTCCGATTGACATCCTGCGGCAAGATACAAGTTCGGCAGATTCAGAACCTCTTGGGAAGACAACCGGGAGCCTGCAGCATCACCAATTTCCCAGACAAATACCGTCAAGGGGCGAACAGTTTGATGCTCTTTGACGGGGAGCCATCAGACCATAGCCTGTCGAAAGCCACTTCAGCTTCCTTAGACCGTCCAATCTCCCAACCTGGTTCCACGACATAACTCTTCCTCCGGACAAGTTCCACCATGTGTCGCCTTATCAAGGTCGTCCACTTTGGTTGTGAGGAGAGCCATTCAGAGCAGACATTGGTTCGTTGCCAAGGAGGACTAGAATACATCTTGGGCTTACCCACCAAAAATGAATGTAAAGGGATGATGGAGATGGAGACTTGGGTCATGAGTGCATGCCGATTCTGCACAGAGTACAGTGAGACCAGGAGGATGCAGAGCGTAAGCCGTGGCCATGGAAGGTCGTTGTCTCTGCAGGAAACGGGACTCCCAAAGGCGGAGGTTGCGACACGCGCCGAGACCTCTTCAACACTCCACAGAATACCCATGGAAGCAGCCCTGCCAGAAGACAGCTAGCAGAATGCATGAGTGGTCAGAGAACGTCATTGCGATAGCGCCATATCACCTGTCGAGCGGCGTTCGTTTCAAGGTGGGCTGGAGTGCGTGCTCGTGGCACATCGACTTTGGAAATTCTTGATCGTATGGCACGGCCACGGGGGTACGAGGCCTCAACACGATTGCTGATGGTGAATGCGTGGAACATACCGACGATGGCTTGCGTTGATTCCAAGATGCATGCCTTCTTCAAACTCCTCATACCCGCTCACTGATCCAAATCGCCCCTCTGCAGCCATATCGAATGACATCCACCAAAGGCTGATATGGTTGTGCCTCTTTGGCATCATTTTCCACGGCATGGTCCAGATGCTCCAGCTCTTCGTCACGAATCCGTTTGATGTCATCAACCAACACCTTCAGCTCAGGGTCAAGCTGATCGCCCTTTGCTTTTAGCTCTTGCATCCATTTAAACAATTCTCGCACTTGATCGTTGTAGTGGTTACCAATTTCTGTCTCCACAGCTTCGGTGCAAGCCATGGCGGCTTCTCGGCCCATTACACCTGTTGTCCACCCGAGTGCGGTGGCTGCCAGTTGCCAAATTGGATACATCACCGTAGGTCGGATGCGGTGTTTTGCGAGGAGCTCATTGAAGGTTTTGAAGTGGCCGGCTTCTTGGTCGTACATATGCTTCATGAGCGGTTGAAGGTGTGGGTGGGCTTTGACGACCGGAGGCGTCTGCGCCGCGTAGATGAGAACTGCTGCGAGCTCGCCGGCATGATTCACGCGTAGCGCGCTGTCGAGGAATTTTCGCTGCTCTTCAGATAGGATGGTCCTGCCTCCTACAGGGTCCTGCGGCAGCTCGGCGGTCGTGCTGCCCTGGGAGGACATGACACGAACTTGGAGAGGGACAGACCGCGGCAGTACCGGCCGCCATGAATATCTCGCCAGGCCGAGCGAGCTTCTTACAGCTCGCATAGTGGTGTTTTGCCTAGAGAAGATCGTTTGACAGGAAGATGGAGAAATACTGTAGTAACATAGTAGGTAGGTAAAGCACTGAGCGCCGAATGACAACTTCAAGTTGAAGGCATTGCACGCATGGGCTGGTCACATGATCATTTGTGTTCTGCGCGGGTCCAACGTCCATTTTGTTCTGGCGACTGTACAACGTACTGTATGCCCTGCTCTACTGGGTATACATGAATCAATCCAGGCAGTCCCAGTTTCGGGTTTAGGTGGGCTGACATGGGGAATGAGATGCTCGGGCAACCAGGGCATTCCGGCGACGTAGCCTTTATGTACTACAATGTTCAAGTTGTACAGTGTCCAATGCCGTCTTCGGTAGGCTCTACCACCAGTCGTGGTGCTACTGGCTAGTCGTGGCTCCGTACCTACAACGATAGTCATACAGGTCCCAATAGATACGGGCTATTCTCCTTCGACAAACACATTGGCCGAGTTTATATCACCCACGGGCTAGGTGAACACCGACAATAGTACTGGTACCTACCTTACTGTAGTATTGAAGGGAACAAGACGAATGAGATGCCGTCCCAACAAACATGGCAGCCAAGACTGCTTAGTCACCCTTGATCAGATATCGCGATCCCTGCTGCGAGTGTCTGGGAGTTTCATTCATTCAGCACTTGAACACCACGGCAACTCTATTCACTGCTCCTTCACACATTTCTCTTCACAGTTTCCCATTTTTGAGGCTGGTGCTCAAACCAAGCCTAATCTATAGAGAATCTCGGCTGGTCTTGGCCGTGGCTTTATTTCCAAGTCGCACCGGCCTTACCTGAGTTTAACTGCAACCTCGAACGTCTGGAGCTTCCTTGCCACGTCCTCCAGGAGAGGCCCGATACGGACAGATTTACCTTGGTCGCAGTGTCCTACATTATACCTGTCACGTTACTTTTATTTCACTTCACACCCATCTCAGTGTGAACGCAATACCTGCTTGTCACTCTTACATCAAAAGGACGCTAGGCATCCATCAGTCACTATGGCCGATCTCGACGCTGAGCTTCTGGCGCTTGCGGGCGGCGACTCTTCTGGTGAAGAGGAGAGCCTGCCACCTTCTCCAAAAGAAAAGTCACCATCACCACCTCGATCGAGAAAGCAAACTCGACAATCTCCACAACCAGAGATGGCTCGCAAGGGCGTTGCGAAGACGGTCAAGCGGGCTAAACGACGCAAGACGTACTCAGATGATGAAGACGAAGCGTAAGAGATACCCTCGTCTGCATGGCAGGCCGTTAACATGATCTCGCCCGTTAGATCCTCGATTTCGCAACGTTCAGACTCTGCCTCCATGTCGCAATCCGACTCCGAAGCCGACTTCAGCCCTGGGGCGGACAAACCGATCTTCCCCTACGAGAAACTCTATTATGACGCTGAAGACAAGGCACGCATAGAAGCGAAACCTGAAATTGAACGAGAAGAGATCCTGGCGCAACGAAGTGAACAAGTGGAACGTCATGAGCAAGACCTAACCCTTCGGCGACTGGTGGCGGCCCGGGCAAGGGAAGAGGCCAAAAATGCCGCAAAGAACAAACGAAAGGCCAGCGCAGCTGATCTGGAGGAGACTCAGCGAAAGAGCACGCGCCAACGTACGAAGGTAGGAGGCGGACGAGCGGGCGAAGCAAGCAGTGCAATCGAAGCCTACAAACAGCAGCGAGCCGAAAAGGTTCTACGGGAGGAGCAGAGGAAAAAGGAAGGCCTGAACCGGAGACCTGCATCTCCTCGAGACGACTACAGCGATGCAGATGCTGAAGGGGAGAGTGACAACGACTATGATGACCATAAGTACAAGAAGCGATCTCCAAGCCCACCCAAAGACGAGCCGATTGTCGAACTTGCCGATATTCAAAGAGCACGGGTTGGTCGTGATAACTTTGCACAAGTATGCTACACGCCGGGGTTCCAGGAGGCCATTACAGATTGTTACGCTCGAGTGTGCATTGGGCCGGGCAGCAATGGTGTCAACGATTACCGACTTTGTCTGATCAAGGGATTTACGAAGGGTAGGCCGTATGCCATGATTGGTACTAACGGCCGACCTTTTCCTGTTGACATGTATGTCATTGCGGCGCATGGCAAGTCTGAGAGACCGTGGTCTTTTCTGGAATGCTCGATGTCCAAGTTCACTGATGACGAATGGCGCCGATACCGGACGGTCATGGCTAATGAAGACCTGAAACTGCCCACCAAGCGGTTCATCAACCAGAAACTCGAGCAAATCAACCGGCTGCTGGCACATCGTTTCACCGAGGCCGAGATTTCGGAAAAGATCAAGATACAGAATGACCTGCTCGAGAAGATCACTAGGTCCCAAGAGAAGGAAGATCTCAAGTCGAAGATCAAACAAGCTCTGGAGGATGGAAACGAAGAACTCGCCCAGGAGCTTGAACATCAACTCGCCAACATTGTTCCAATGAAGTTGGCATTCGGTACCAGTCTATCTCGCTCGGACACGGGACATGTCAACCCGGATCAAGAACGTCTTGCGGAGCTGAACCGAAGAAATCAAAGACTGAACGCGGAGAATGTTCGTAAGGCTCAGCTTGCGGAAATCAGAGCAAGAAAGGTCAAAAAGCACCTCGCTCCAGGTGTAGATGAACTCTTCGAAGGAGGCAGTGACATCAGTCGGACTGGTACGCCCATCAATGGTGCTGGGACTCCAAAGGTTGCTGCGAGCATCTCACGAACTGGTACCCCAAATCCCATTAGTCTATCGAATGGTACTACGAAGAGCTCGACCCCGGTCCCTACCACTGTACTCAAGCCGGTTGACAAGAAGAAAGGCCTGCCTGTTATTCGGAAGGCGGCATTGGACGATGAAATATTGGCCAACATGGATTTGGGCATCGATATTGAAATCTAACTGAACGACGATCCTTGGGGCTTCGTCTGGGAGTGGAGTCTGTCAGTCGGAAGTACTTGCATAGTATTCTTCCTCCTTTCCTGGCTCGTTTCAACATCGAGAGTCTTTTTCATCAGGGCCGACCTGGCTTAGATAATCCCGACCGAGCGTGGATCAGGATCTCATCAACAAGCATTGATGACATTGGGGACAGCCTTTTCTTCCATAGGTGTCGAGTTCTCTCTCGTCAAACTCTTCACGTCTATCACACTTGCCTGTCATTGTTTGCACACATTGAGTGTCTCTGTTCTACTTGTTCATCTCTCGTGTGCGGCCATGTTAGCGTTGGGTATCAGTAATGTTTGTGTGCCTGATCAAACCATCTGTCTTTCACGGTTTGCATTCCTTTAGAGTTTTGTATTTAAGACACACACATGTTTTTATGCCAGACGCCTCTCCCATGCCTTTTCTGCACCATCACCGCGTCTTGTTCCTGTCAGCATACACATGCAGCGTCGTCAAGTGACTCAGGAGGGCTGCACATTCCCTGCCTCACTTTCTCTGAGACGGATTACATTCAAAGACGGCCGCCTCATACTCCTGTGGATCTCCATACCCCTTACCAACTCAAGTGACCAAAACATCTCCTCACATATCGACCGGACGTACTCGAATCAAGAAAGAGCAGGAAGACGATATGGTTCAACCGAGCAGCGTCAAAGCCGGATCGCCAGTCCGATCTCGATACCGATTTCGAAGTTGGACACGGACACACCAGCACGAACCACATCAGGTGCGCAGGCTCCTAATGCTGTCGCCGGTCATGGAGTAGTGTTTGACGACTCCTGCCAGTGTTGACCGTGGTGGTCTTCCAGCAAACCCTTTTCAAACACCCACCAATTCCAGTTCAGATCAAAGGGGCCCCGAGCGCGAGTGCAAACGCATCCGCATCCACAGCCCCGGTAGAGCGACAACACGCAATACGGAGTAATCATACTCATACACCAACCAAGTTTAAGTTTTCCTCCCGAAATTGAAGTTGCCGCTGAACAAGTACGATCTTGCCTTTGCCCCGACCAAGCTTCTCCGGACTGTGTCAGAGAATCATTCGACCACATCGCGGCCGCAGCTAGTATTAAAACTTGAAAAAGCTCAGAGGGAGGATAAGGCTAACCGAGATGACCCTTCCGTCTTTTGACCGGGCTTTTAATGCCTTTGAGGGTATTAAGGAACCACGAAAGCAGGAAAAGAAAAGGATGAAGTATGAAAAAATCCCTCGAGAACCTCTGTCTGCTAGGTATTGTCGATGGGTCCTATGAGCGTGCTGTTTGCGAGTCGAGGACGTGGAGGTCGAGAGGGATAAGGTGGGGTTCAGGTCGGCTCCACGGCCGCTTCAACTTGTGCCGAAGGGTGGTGATGTTACTGCTTGCTGCTCTTGCGTTGATTGTGGCGGGGCCATTTGTTTGGTGTGAAAGGGGGTCTGGTCGAAGGATTGAATCCCGAATCTTGAGTTTTACAGATTAGAGAACCTAAGAGAACCACTGGCAGGATGGGTGAATGAGAGTTTGCCTTTTCGAGGGGAGGCAGAAGACCCTCCACTAAGGTAGCTGAGGGATCGGATCGCTGGCGGACTCAATGGCAGATAGGCGGCGCATGCGGAAACAGCAAGGAGGCAGAGCTGAAGAAGCGGATGAAGACGAGCGCGGCGCGGTGCCTACCGCTAGAATTATGTTTGCTCAGAACGATCGGAGAGCGCTCTCCTCAGCTTGCTGGCCATGAGACCTATATACCATAGTTTGTCGATTGACTAATGCAGGCCGTGCTGGAGAATGGAGACAGGGAACAATCAATGCATGAGGTCGAATTCACCCAAGATCAAGATAGCTCGAGATAGATCAAGATCTCTCTGCCTGTCTTCTCTCTCTTTCTCCCTCTCTTTTTGCCCTATCCAGCCCAGCTCTGTTAAGATTTGGTATGTGAGTGGTCGTAGGCTATGGCTCCTCGATTGTAAGTACTAGTGCTGCGGAACCCAGGAGGAGCGGTTGCTGGTAGGGATGCCTCGGGGGCCCCTCTTCACCTGTGAGTCGAGGACGACAGGATAACTATGTTGGAGTGGGACATTTTCAATATCGTTGTAGGCTTGGGTTGATTATTTAAGAAGAAATAAAGTACTATGTGCATGGAGATCGGAAAGTGGTCTGGGATTTCCTTGGCTACAATGCACTGAATGCAATCGCTCAAATCTTGACAACTCGGTGGAAGTATCACTGCTACCGTATCTTTCGCCAAGGTGTGCCACTGGATGTGGCGCCACTAGGATTAGTTGTTCGATGGGTTGTCGAGAGGCAATGGGTAAAAGACTGGCACGATTCACAAGGTCCATCGATCTCTAAGACCAGCTCGCCTTACTTACTGTAACAACATGGCTAGCCGTGCGTAGATAGGGTGTGTAGCCTTGCGAGTACGGTGCTAGTATCAATCACCTCATGAGCAGTGCAGCATGCAGCCTCGCACAACCTTGCTCAATGGGGTCAGGCGATACGACAAGCTATGACTGCGGTGCAGCTGGCTTGCTGACGATGCGGGTAGCTAGTGCGCCAAACAGCCCGCTGGAAGCAAGTAGAATGGTGGTTTGTTTCGGGGCCAAGAGAAGGAAGATGCCAATGGACCAGTGCGCGCTTGGAGAGAATACCATACTTCGAACGTTGACAACGTACATGACGGAACAAAATGGGGATGTTCTGTATCCGAACTTGCTGTTCGGAGCAACGAAAAGTTCTGTAGCAAGGACTGTGACCTACCGTATGGTAAATGCATCTGTAGGATTAGTATCACATGTGGTGGCTCTGAAAACTGACAGGCTCAAAGCCAGTCACAACCAGCAGATTTGAATGCCTACCAGGTAGCCTTCCCCCTGACAGTTCCCTGTTACACTGTAACATGGCACAAGGACGGGTGTTCTGTCCCACGTTCCTCTGCTGCTGGCCGTTGAATCACTGCATCTGGGGTAGTTTTGAAAGTCATGTAGATTGCAATGGCCCGGCTGACCGACCGTTGTGCTGCCTCCTTCTCGTGCCGAAAGTATCCCGTCTGGAAAAGCGAGGCGAACGAGGTAAGCACTATCATCAGCAGCACATCCACTACTGCAGTGGCTTGCGTGCATTGGTCCACGAGGGCTGGTAGAACGAGGGGATCGAAAATCAAAGGACGTGGATCGTTGTCATGCTGCCAGCCTTAGCACGCACTGCGCGGTGTCTGCCCTGCATTGCTCGTTTAAGGGTGGCTGGATATAAGGCCAGTACGAGTAGCACTGATGCTGGACTTGCAGTCATCCGTCGTCACTTGTGTGACAATGCCACGCGTGGTCAGGCAATCGTCAGGCCGGCAGTGGAATTTGCGTCATCCATGCCCAGGGCGCAAAGAGGCCGAACGACAAAATGCCGTTCACATCGAACGTGTCGTCCTACGGTGGCGAAGACTTGACTTGAGTTGTGAATGTTCGCACCGCTGAGGATCAGGCGTCCTGCACAAGGGGTCATGGTAGAAGTAGACGCTGCGGAATCCTGCAACCGGCATTTTCGTAGGGGCCCTGGCAGGGATCAAACAGGGACCCGTAGATCGAACAAATCACTGTGAGGCCGTAACGACGATGCATACCGGCGAAAGAGCCTACCGAGCGAAGCGGAGGCAGAACGTGAAAGAGAAGAATGTGAGGTCCTGGGAGGTAATTGAGTACATTCCAGTACTACCACCACGAGCATGATCCTACTGGCCACACTTGGACTTGCATGGTGCGCCTATCGATAAGAGGTGGATCCGCTCCACAACGGCTCCTGAAACGTCGCATCCGTCGCTGGCTGATTGGACCATAGCCCTTCTTGCGTTGTGACTTGAAACACAGCAGTGGGTCCAGGGGCTCGACTAGTACGTTTCAAGACTGGGGTCGACGGCGGAGGGAAATGCCACTGCGCGCATCTTTGCTTCCTGCGATACTCGGGACCGGATCAACTCGAACTACCAAGATAACAAGAGGTCCGAGTCGGAGTCGTGCATGCCAGCATTCTTCCCTACAACATCCAGCCTGTTGCAGTCTCGAGAAATGATATTCGTCCAGAGCGAGAAATATATCCGACATCTCCCGGGACAAACCGAAGCTTTCCCCACTAGGAGTACCGATCATCTACAGTACTTCGCATCTAGTCCTCGGGAAAACACCACTTGTCTTCAAAATTTTAGGCTCTTTCTCAGTTGTGCGAAGGTCATCGAATCATCAAGATCCAGCGACCCGATGAAGCACCAGGTCATTCTTGAATAGAACGGAAAAAGGTTGATACTGCGCATACTGATACGGCAAACCGACAATTTCAGGGTTCTTGTTGACGCGCTATAAACCGGCAAGGCTTGCGACGATGGTTCATACCAAGGACGTTGCGCCGACCTCTGCTTGCGAGTCTGTTATTGCATGGCGAGGTTCCAAGATTGTTGTTTTGGAGATCCTGAAAAACATTAGTTGAATTAGCATTGTTGTGTTCCGATCCACCAAATCAATAACCAAAACGGAACTAAATCCTGCTTGGATGGCAATTGTGTGGTGGCGCGATCCAACTTCCCCAGAGTTTCTGACGCGAAGCGCCATCTGGACGGCGGCGCTAAAGAACGGTTTGACGGTTGACATTCGATGGTGTCGGCGGATTTACCGCCGTTGTCGCCGACGCCAGGCCAGTTTTTGTCCCTAGTTGTGGGCACGAGGATCTGTGCTTCTATCCAGCGTGCGTAGTTGACACGATCCTAGGAGACCACGATTTATTGATCTCCGGCAGGACTTTGGAAAAGAGGAACGTTTGCCGTCGCGTCATAGTCTCCTGCATCAATTCGGCTTAGCAGTCCGGCGGATAGTCCAACCCCTTGACTCATATTTCGCCGCCAATGTGATCACGGCCGTTCAAGTTGTAAACTTGAATGAAGCATGTTGTGTGGCATAAACGGATCCGTGCCGGTGACGTAAACCTATCTAGGTACCGTCGCCCTGTCTAAGTTTGGATGGTTGCAGACGCGCGCCGCAGGTAGTACCCAGACATAGTGTGTAGTGAGGCACTGCATTTCATGGTCGTGTTGACGACACAGTCATTGCGCGGCCATCATGGATTGCGCCAGCACAGCTCAATTACACTCTGTCAAAGCCACAATGCTCGTAGCCTAGTTTCCAGAAATGAGACAGCAGGATGTTGTTGTGCCAGGCTTGGTGGACGAGGAGATCATTTTTGCTGGATTTGCCAGAGGCTGGTAAACAGGTTCGAAAAGTTTGATGGAGAGACATCGGCGTCGGGGATTCCGACGCCGACTCGCCGATAACCAATCTCCACCAACCAGCCAATGACAGCATCCACACACTAGTAGTATTCGGTGACCTGTGCTCGTAGTAGTTGTACTAGTAGAACGGCAGTATGTCGTCCTCAGCCTGAGAAAATCTAACACCAGCGCAGGAACAACATCGGAGTCCACAATCGATTCATGGTACACTCCTTCGAAGATCAACGCCTCCATGTCTCGCACCAGTCTCACCTCTGCTTTGAGCACGACCAACCTCTCCGGAGGCGCGTCGCGCACGGTTGATGTTCCTTACTCCATCGGGGAAGTAGGTGTTCTTAGTTATCGCCGTCGGGATGACCTGGCTCGAAGCCAGTCAAGGGACGAAAAACGACATCGGTACAAACGCCATCGTAGAACCTTGATCGTTGCTGGTCGAGACTACATATTGGACGCCATCAAAGGTACTTCGAAGTATAGAAACCCGAAAGTAACTTATCTAGAACGTGGTTCGTCATTATCCTGCCAGCAAATGGCAATGGCAAGTCGAGTTGTGTCCCACCGCTCGGGAGTAGGCGGTTTTTACTTTGGTGATCGAAGCTTGCGATCGGCGCGGAACTGACAGTAAAGGGAAAGCCACGAGCGTGATCATCAGGTCCGAAGAAAAACGGCCTCCTCAAGTCCCAAAGAGGCGCGTTCAGCTGGGCATGCGTCTGGGCAATGATAATCGATTGGCGCGTTGATGACGAGTCCATCCGAAGACCATCACCAGCTACTGAGGGCCGAACTTGTATGTAGGATCGAAGGCGAAGGAAGGGCACGGTTTTTCTCAATCCATCGACTAATACCTATGTGTGCATCTCAGGCTGTCGGTAGCTGAGGCGTGACTTGGCAAACGCGCTTCCAGAACCGTGATTGGATCATAGTAGTGGTTAGAGAGCCGTCTACATCCTTGTAGAGAGGCAGGAGTGCCACGACAGCCGACAACGAGGGCTCAGGCTACCGTACTGGCACGACAGCATAGTGGAACCACGGCGACTGCAGGCGCCGTGTGACCATGGGGAAGCTGATGGATGAATTGAACACTGACCTTGAACAACAGGTAACGGGGACCGCGTGACTTGCTGAGAAGCTTTTTACTCTTCAGCCTCAACATGACGAGTATTCGAGCAAGGAAGTAAAGGGCGCGGGCAGTGAGCAAGGGACGTACTTTCGGGCGCGGAGGAGGGCAGCTGAAGGAATGCTCCAGACTGGGCGATGGCGCTGCGGTTGTCGTGGTTGTATGGCCGTCGCCACGATGCAGCTCAACTGGAACACGGCTGCCGTCCCTCGCATACCTTACTTCGCAGTGGCTTGCCTCCAGACTCGTCAGATACGGCAGACAGGCAATATTACGCACGGCACTGGGCAGCGATAGAGCAGTGTAGTGCAGCGGCAGCGTAGCGAGTATACCGTTGTAGAGCGGGATGGTGAAGCTGAGAGGTGTGCCCACTCGCGACTCAGTAGTCTAGCCTCCCTAGCCCAGGGCAGTGCCCACCAAGACCGTGCGCCGAGTGTCCACGCACGCCCGGAAAGAGTGGCGACCGTCTAGACGACTTAAGCGTGGAGGCGTTGAGGAGGATCCTGCCCGCGCCCAAAGTTCCTAGCCGAAGGCCTAGTGCCTAGGATGCCCCCTTCTCCATACGCGTCCACTGCATCCTCCCACTGCAAGTCGGGCCGGCCGCCGCCCCTACCCTTGTCCTCTTGTGTACCTCTGGCGGCGCCCGGGCGTGTGTGTCCATGCGTAAGGTAGGTACCTGCCCAGGCGGTACTAGTCCTTGTGTACTGTAAACTCTACACGCTGGAACCGGGCGTCTGCACGCCTCAGGCCCTTGTCCTGGTCGGAAAAACCCTTCCTCATCTCTCCATTATTATTCAAGTTATGATCGTACCCAGTCTCGTTCACGTTGGTTTCAGGGCTGTTCGGATCCAGTGCACGCAAGCCCTTTGACATTCGCCTATTCGATGGCTTGACGGGGCACTCTGTCGCAGATGATACTAATATCTCCGTCACCCGCCCTCCACCTGGTCCAAAGATCCCTTATCCCCCCAGTGCATGTTCACATCAACACCACGAACATTCAACAACATCCAAGTCACATCGCACTCCTTCACTTCTACTACGTTGATGAGTGTCCCTGAGAAGACAACCTAAACACACGAGATCTTCCTTCTCGCTGGTCAGCACATCATCACAGCGTTGCTGACCGATCTCTGCGAGTGATTTGTCACGAGTCCCGGCAACCAGGACCCTGAGCCTCGCCTGGCCTCGCCTACTGTTCAAGCCACTATAAACCCCCCTCCTGCTTCTTCCCGTCACAATCACCATGACGGACGACGCCTATCCTCAACCTCCCCCAGTCTCACGGGACGGTCAAATGGGCTCCATGGCCGCTGCTCTCAGAATGAAATTGGAAAACCTTCCCCAACTCAATATTCACAATCTCAACCTCCACCGCAGCCAAAGTAACCGACGATTCCATGAAATCAACTCTGCCTCCTCATCTCGATCCGCACACTCCTTTAGTGACCAGCAATCGGACGACACCGATGCCACAGACCTCACATTGACGCCGAATCGGTCGCGCGCTAGTACTTTTGACAACGCAGAAAGAATCACATCGCCTCTCGTGCAGTCTCGATGCAAGCCTCCGCTCAGGGTGGTATTGGGCACGGCTTCGATGGGTTCGGAGGCATCGCCTCTAGCCAAAGTCAACACGGTGGAAGACGCCCAGAAATTCGTCAACCTCTTCCGCTCTAGAGGCTATGCCGATATTGACACTGCTCGAGCCTATCCTGTAGGGAAAGGCGGCACATGTGAGGAGCTTTTGGGTAGAGAAGACCTCCGACTGTCCAAGTGGGCCAACGTGTCGACCAAGGTGGCCAGTTTCATGCCTGGTTCTCACCGGGCCAGCAGGATTGCCATGAGCATTGACCGATCCCTTGATGCCCTCAACATGGAAAGCGTCGACATCATGTACCTCCATGCCCCAGACAGATTCACTCCCTTCAAGGAGACCTGCGAGGCCATGAACAAGGCGTATCAACAGGGCAAGTTCGAACGCTTCGGCCTCTCCAACTACTCGGTCGAGGAAGTCGAGGAGATTGTCCGCATCTGCGAAGAAAACGGCTATGTCAAGCCCTCGGTGTACCAGGGCCAGTACAATCCTATCTGCCGAGGTGGTGAAGAACGACTCTTCTCGGTCTTGCGAGAACACAATATTGCTTTCTACGCGTACAGCCCTTCGGCTTGTGGCTTCTTCTCCAACAAGGTGTCGCGTGCATCTACCAAGGACAAGAACAGCCGGTGGAACATTGCCTCCCCATTGGGGGCCAAGTATGCCGGCGACTACTTCCACGACCCGCTGTTTGCGGCCGCCGAGATTGTCCGTCAACAAGCCCTCAAACATGGCATCTCTGGTCACGCAGCTGCTCTACGCTGGACCACCTGGCACTCTCAACTTGGTGCCGAATACGGTGACGCCGTCATTGTAGGTGCATCCAAACTTTCTCAACTCGAGGAGAACATGCGCATCCTCGAGGAAGGGCCTCTTCCGGAAGATCTTGTGGACACCTTGAATGGGGTCTGGGAAGACGTCAAATCCCTGGATAAAGGACCTCGTTTCTCCTTTGTCTAAATGTATTACGATGTGGGTGGGCACAAATGAGAAGAAACGATGGCCTAGGGTTTCGGGACATGTATTCTTTTCGTGGCGTTTACGGTGGCTTCAACGCTGCAATGAAGAACATCAAGGGCGCCAGATATGTGGGGCATGAAACTTCTTTTTTCGCTTCGATCCCTCAAGTGCTGAGCTGGATCTGTTTTGTGGCTTACATTGACGTTCGCTGAGAACGTGTTGGTATGGATTATGCTTTTCTTTTGTGGCACTAAGTCATGTCATGTATAACGATACCCATTCAACTTGCGGCTGTATGTTACTGGTGGGGGGATACCAAAACAGCATGGACTAAAGCATGGACACGTCTCTGGAAGACGCAGGAATGAATCAGCCTGATGCCTCACGAAACCCTAGGGGGTTGAGGGATAGGGATTGATTGTACGAGCATCACTGGCATATCATACACCATCAGCGCTGGTCAGGTCAGCACCCGATTTGGAGGTGCCTGCAGTGCAGTGTGCTGCTCTTTTCCCAATATACAATTGGACCAATGCCATGCGTCAAGTTCTTCGGCCTCGTGAATGTTCTCATCTTACTTCTCGTGTTCTACAGATTCTCGACTTCGTGCAACTCGCAGCTATTGGACTGGCCCAAGTGCTTACGCGCTCTGACCTCAGGTCACTCCGTCCACCTGTGGATGATTTGTTGCCAATCGCAGCCACCGGGTTGAACAAGCCAGATCCCTTGCTATAGTCGATCGAGCGTCGTCCAAGCGCCTGGTGTCCCTGCGCTGCCCTGCCTTTCCACTCGTCCTCGTGTACTCAAGCATCCAGCCGGGCACAGAACCCCACAGGTACGACCTTCGTTGCATGGAGTTGTAGGTCGTGGAGGCTGACTCGCAGTTTCGTTGCTAATACATCTGAGTAACGGCACCCTCAAGACACCCCTTATGCGAGCTCGATGCAACGTTCTGCCGCACTGCACTAATACGGGCACACCACAAACGGTCGTAGTGTACTCAACAAGGCCTTTTCCTACTGGGCCAACCGCGACCGCAGGCTAGAAAAACCGCGGAATGCGCCAGCACCGAGCCCATAGCCGAGCGTAAGTAGTGGAGGGGGCTAGGAAAAAACCAACGATACCAGCGGATGGCTGAACGCTCAACCTGAGAGCCAGAGAGAGCAGCCAGACCCAGAGCTGAAAAGCAGCCCACAGAAGCGGAATTCTCAAGCACGGGCAGACCACAATACGAACGCACCCCAGTGAATGAACATGATGAGCAATACTGCCAGCACAAAAACACCCCTGCCATGCAGTGGGATCAAACCGCCAAACCATGAACATGTGTTGAGCGAATTTTGTCTGGTACCAAATCAAAACCATGGTCCCGGGTCCAAATGCCGCGCCACCTGCAAGCCAGGAGGAGACTCGATCCTTGCGAAACCGGCACCACCATCTGTTTTAAAGCGGGGGATCTCTTGATTCCGCAAGGACGAACCCGCCCAGGACCTCATGACCAGGGCCTTGAGAGAACGGGTGCAATCCATGAAGCCTGGCGGCCCTGAGCATTATTACTCGTCTACTACCGATCCGTTGTAGAGTACCTGCTAAGGGATAGTGGTAAGTGGCTACAATGCTCGTTACTCTCCGGTCGTTCCGCTCACGCAACTGGCAGTGTCGCCGAGCTGCTAGTACTACTGAGTAATCCCAGCATTTGGCCAAACCAACGTGAGTCAAGTGTCTGGGTGCCCTCGGATGCTTCTCCGGGAGAAATCCGGTCCTCGTCAAGTGTGGGAATCCTTCCTCGTCTCGAAGCACTCGGGCTGCACCAACGAATCCTTCAGTGCCACCCTGCTGCCGTGACTTCGGTAGTGATAACGTGACCTCTTGCTTCATCATGATGATGGATAGCTCAAGGCTACTGGATACCTAGGTTCCCATCCCGATTAACAGCACCCCGGCCTCTGGCCTAAGCGACCCCTTACCCCAGGCCCACTGGTGCTTGACCTCACTTGTAAGGCCACCCAAGAAAATGCAAACTCCTTTGACTCGATGTGTGACCAGATCGCAAGATTCGCGCATGGGCTGAGGTGAGCAATGAGGAGCAAGGGCAGCACTCAGTATGATGATAATGACGTGGGAATGCAATCCATCTGATGCATCTCCTGAGCGGAATTGACCATTACAGGCTCAACTTTTCTCAAGAAACCCATGTCACCAGACACTGCGCCATCAAATGCACCCCTGCTACAGTACTGTACATACAGTACCATGGATGCGGCTAGCTGGCCAGTATACGTTGCACGTGAAGGTTTGGTGGGCTGGCGAGTCGTGCGAGGCTCGCGTGCAGTTGACAGTACCGCTCGCTGCCACCACGCCCATTACTAACCTATAACATGGCCGTTGGACAGAACATCCCTGCCGCCTCGCTGTCGGTTAAGCGAGAGAATTCGAGACCAGAAACGAGATATCGTGCGGGCAAGCACGACGGGACAAGACAACGGCACATTGAAAGCCATGTCTCATGTTGGTCGCTGTCCCGCTTCCACGTTGAGAAATCGCTCTCTGCCCATCAATCGCGACCCTCCTCCCTCTCTCTGCACTGTACGATGAATGATCTATACCCAATGCGGTCCAAACGAGAGGACGAACATGGCTGGAGTTGCCGGGAACCTGTCCAGACCAATATGGCGATCCGGATAGGCCATGGTCTTGCCGCGCGTGGTTTGCCTCGACCACCTCTATCGTCGATCCTAGTCTGTGGCTGAAACCCTCGATCGGGATAGGAAGCCATCTAGAGAGTACAGTAGTACATGCGCCGATCCGTCTTGGTTGTCCGATCTTCACCCCGCGCGGAGCCCACGCTGTTGGTACCTACCATGAACATAGGTACACACCATCGGAACAGCTGAACCTGTCAACATCAACAGGGAAACTGGAGCGATGGATAGCTGCAAAATAGACTTTCCTCTGTCACTACATTTATAAACAACAAATGGAAAACTGTTCCGTTCGCCATTTCGGTGTCTTCTGCCGCCCCTCACATCCAGAGGCAGATTCCAGCCCACCGAAAAAGCCAACCAAAGCTGAACAGCGGGTAATAGCTATCATAATGCTACTGACCAGGAGCCGTTGCAAGCCAATTTACTGCAACCTTGATCTCCTAGACCTTCTGGACGGTTATCTCTGCAACTATTTTTACTGTCAACCTGTAAGGGGAAAAGTTTATTACCCGTCCATGGCACACTGTGGCTTTTTCAATGCACCCTGCAACGGGTTGAGTCCCTAGAGCGGTACGAGGCCTTCAACAAGGGCATGTGCAAGGCTGCTTGCCCGGCCCTTGCAAGTTGCTACAGTACTGCTGCATCAACTCGCTTGACAGCCCGTCCCAAGCCACCTGTGTTCCGGAAACAACGTCTATCGTTAACCGAAGTAGTCAATGCGAAAGCGCACGTTTCAGATTTTCAGCACTATCACCTACACGCGAGTTCCAACGGATGCCCCTTGCGATCTGTGGTCGATCGCAGGCTAGTATGGATTTTCCATTGAGGCGCGATGCTGGAGAAGCAGCTACAATGTACAGTACAGGATGCGTGCCCTAGGCGGCCTGGCACGCCTCGCCTAGAGCACGTCAAAAGTGGGAACTTTCGAGATCTAGAACCATCGCTAAGCGATCGCAAGATGTTTCCTCCTCTGTAACAGCTAGCTGTTGCTTGGACCCAACATGCCACGTGCACCACATTCCGCCAACTTTACTACTATTAGCGAACCTACAAAAGTCCCAATTCTGGATGTTTATTCCTCGCTTGAGGCAGCTGCAGCGTTCCAATGGAGCCGGGGGTATTGTTTTGTTCTTGGGACGTACTACTTCCCACCACACTCTTGGGCTGGCTGGCGATATACGCGTACAACTCTAACCTCTTACGTGGAATACGGGATATCCAGTCCCACAATCACGGTATGAGTTTGCTACTTTCTGGCTGAACTGGCAATCAGTCAGTCAGCCAGCCACAGAACCAGGAAGCTTTTTTCTTCTTATTCTGCACCTGGTACGCCAGAACCTTTAGGTTGTAGTTTCAACCATGTGCCTACGCAACGGATAAGGCTGAGACTTGTCCTGGTGAGGAAACAGTGCTAACTGACACTATTCGCTCTGTTCATCCGGAATGAAAAGAATACGTCAAATGCAGTGGATCTTTGTGGAGGCCTCCCTCCCCCGGGCCGATCTAACTCAGCTCAGCCAGCACGCAGCACTGGCACGTCCAATTCCAGCCCAGAGTTTTTGTTTTTCCGTTTTCGGCCTTGTCTGTCACTCAGCTACAGTCTAACACTTGGATTGAGTTTGCTGTGTCAACCTCGGAGCGGCCGACTGCCACTACAGTGACTGACCGTCATGTTCAGAATTAGACCTGGCTGAGGCTCCGCAAAAGGCTTATTTCCGCCATAATGCGCGCGGATCAAACACCGCATGCCAGTAGAACCCAAGTGCACTGAAGGTTTTCTGGAAAGCTTATACCCGATACAGTCACAATAAAGAATGCTCGATGCCTTGGATACTTGGGAACGTCCCCTTTTTTCGGCATGGCCGCATGGGGTGTGTGCGTGCTTTGACACGCGGCTCTGCGCAACACGATTGAAGACTCTTGAGTAGAGGTGAGATTTACCGGATCGAGCCTTGAGGCCGGTGCGCTCGGAGGCAGCAAAGGGACAAAATTAGAGAGGCTTGAAGGTTGAAGTCAAGTTCAGGCCCAGCCCAGCCCAGCCCAGCGGAGCTAACACGCTTCCCCGGTCGCGCAAGAAGCATTGAGCCCAAGCCCTGATCTTCTGGCAACTAGTACTCGGAACCCACTACTAGGGAACCAACGAGCACTAGGATCAGTATGGCACTATGGACTCTGGAGGGATAGGTAGGTGCCACAACGGCTAGACAGGATCGCCCAAGCCACCCTCTTTCCCACATGTGATCTCCCAACTACAACTGCAGCGGTTTGAGATTGTTATTTTGTTCATTTCCACATGTTCCCAATCTGGAAGCTTTCTCACGTTTGACCTTTTCGGGGCTGGGAGATGGACTGCAGCTGCTGCGCGATGATGATCTGTTCTCGTCTGGCCATGACCACACAGACCTGATTTGATACCAAATCCAGACGCGACGCAAGCCAGGCCCTCGGTGTCGCCGACGTCGTCGTTGTCGTCGAGATGCCCGTTCCACGGGCTCGTCGGTTCCATCGTGCTGGATCTGGCGTTCCTGTTCCGGGACTTCCATGGCTGCAGCCCGGCTGTTTCTTCTGGACCGTACACGGTACCACCGTGGCCCCTGGTTGAAGGTTCTCGTTTCTGCGTGAGTGCGGCTAGGCGGATCGCTGAGTACAGTACACTGTATCTACGGACGAACAGACAAACGAAGGTATGAGCATCGGATGCATGAAGCATACCTTAGTAACTACTTAGACACGTAGTTTGTTCGGTGCTTGGATCTCTTCTTTTTACAATATATATTCGATGTAGTCCGCGCAAACAGTGCCCTCTCTTCTGGATAAGAGTTAGTCATGGCTACAGGATTTTTCAACGGTTAATCCTCAACTCATATAGCCACCAGCCTCTCACCTCACCCTGCAACTCGAACCCGAACCGACGAACTCGAATCTTGCCTCATCACATTGATTGCCTTCAGTTATGTGCTAGAACCGTAATTTCGCCGTAGCCCTCATAATCCATCCGTGCCGTACTATAGTAACTGGTTTGGCAAAGATGTTGGCCGTAAGAAAATCAATATCTAGATATAGCTATATCTTTAATGTAAACTTGTACAAGTAAGTGTAAGAGACATCTGAGGTAGGCCAGCAGCTCCAGCATATAAGTTCAACTAGTACCTACCTACCGCTGTACTATACTGTATGTACTCTGTCGTAGTAGTAGGTCGAAGTTCGAAGTTGGCTGATGTGACGAGGCTGAGAATTTTCAGGGAGGTGAGGGCATTTACAGTACGACAAGGCTGTATAGCAAGTCTAACCATTCCTGACACTAGTAACCACTTCCCTTTCTTCGGCTCTCATTTGGTGATTTTGATTCAACGGTCTGGTGAGTCTGAGTCTCTAGTGCTTCAATGAACCACTATATAATGTTCCGTGGCAGAGGAGCAGTTGAACTTGAAAGATATGTCTCATGCTACAGTAAATGCAGATTGTCAATTGCCAACGCTGATGCCAATGTGCGCGCGGGTTTGCTGCTGTTGCTGCTGCTACTGCTGTATCACGGCAAAGACCCTGTGGCACAACTGACACGCAGGGCAGCAAGGGAACCACAGACAGTGCAGCGCAGTGTTGTTCAATGCATTGCATTGACTTGCATTCATTCTACTTCTACCCTTCCCTCCTCACCTGCTCTGGGCATGGCCAAGAAACAGCTTTTTCGCACTGAATGACACCGTCAGCCCAGACCAGACCAGGGCAGCATGTTTATTTTCCATCTGCACAGTCACTTGAAGGCTATATTATACCAGCATCCACAGAAGATTAGGGGATCAAGGATGTGGCAAGGATATGATATCCCGCAAATCAGAAACATGTCAAGCTCTCTGCTAGGATTTGGCCTGTCCTACGTCCCTTACCTTGATACGAGGAGACTGGGAATGCAGGGACCTGGTCAAGTCTGAAACCCCAACCCCGTGAAAAGTCCGCCCAGACAAGAACGATGTACTAGCACGCATCATTCCAGATTCCAAAAACCAGTCACTCAAATCAGTTCCCGTCCAGCCCAAGGTAGGTCTAGACCAATCTCCAGAGCGAGAAAGATGCCTAGCAGACGACCAATGCGACAGAGAGATTCAAAAGTCCAGTCTCGTTTGTTTTCCCTTTTCTCGTCCCACTGCGCCTCCTGCACAAATGTGGCATTCGTTGGGTAGTAGATACGTAGGTACCTAAGGTTCGAAAAAGGGGTTTGGGGAAATGAAAACAAAACTGGGAAATGGTGCCTTACTCCTCCTTTCCACAGGTGTCACTGTGTGATGGTGTCCGCTGTCCCAGGGTCCAGGTCACACAGTGCGACCGACCCGGGCTGTGCGATACAGACATACAAACAAGTACCAGCCTCCCAGGCAGCAAAGATACCTATACCAGGGTGACACAAACCGACTTTTGTCCTCCAGAGACCGTCCTCCCTTGCCCTTGCCAGCCACCTACACCTGCGTCAGTCACGGCCGCGCCAAAGTCACACGACATAATATGGGATATCCCGTCCACCCGTTGGTGGAGGTTCTGGGAGTACTGAATTCAAGCCGAGTCCGACTCAACCAACCCCTTGTGATCTCCATGCCCTGCTCTTCAAGGACTAGGCTTCCCTGTCGGCGTCAGTGTCCTGTCCTCGCATTATCAAGGGGTTCATGTTCCTTTCTCGCCTGCATCCCAGCCGCGCATCTTCAAGACCCTGCAGGTACATACATGGCCTACTGCTGACGCCTGTCTACCTGACTTGGGTGATGTGAAAGTCGTACGGTCGAGACCGTAACAGTCACCTGAAAGCTCCAGAGAAGGCGTATGAAACACATGGGAAGCAACGCATGGTTTAACAGACACGTGTTCGACGGCAAGGGGGGCTTCATATTCCAGCCTCGTCTGGCTCACCTCACCGTTTATCACTACCGGCCTTCCACGCACAACCCCGGACTGGACACATATCGAATCGTCCCGGTTGGTTTGCTGTGCTGGCTCGCTGGACAGGTAGTGGACATTTCGAACGGCTCAATTTCTGCCTTGTAACAAACTTCTAAGGTCTAGAACTCGAATGCAGATATGCGAGGGCTACATACCTGTGATGGTCCAGATACCGACTGTGGCCTACTCATGGCTGCAATATCGTGACAGGGAGTCTGTGAGTGTCATTCGTTGCTCTGCGGATGATCCCTGGTATTAGAATTGCCCCTGTCAGGTACATGGGGGATACTGTCGCACAGAGCTGAGACATGTGACTTCCGATGTATGCCTTGCGGCTGGCCGGAGGGCAGTCGTGGGGGAGAATGGATGGGTCTCGAATCGTTCATGACCTTTCAATTCAAGCCCTAAGATGGGTGCCTGGAAGCCAAGTAGCGGATAGAGTAGGCAAGACCACATTAAAGCTTCACCAAAAGCGGTTATCAGTGAGCAGTGTAGACGAAAGGGATTTCTGCCGCTCCGATGAAGAAGTTCAATGCTGTTGCTATCTTTCCTAGCAGGTACAAACGCAGCAAACCGCAATATTGGCACACCAAGAACGAACGAAATCCAATCCAAGAACAATCTGACCCTTCCTACTTTGTTTCAGTCAACCTGCACATCACAGGCTCAAGTTGCTTGATAACCCAGAGTTATCCGACCACGCATACTTGACTTGTTGGCTATTCCCCGTTGACTCCGTTGACTCCGTTGACTTCATTCTCCACATTTTGAAGATTCCGACCTGTTCGGAAGCTGATGCCGTTCAGGTGGGGTAGACGGCGGTTCATGTACAAGTAGTCATCCTCCTCCTCATGTAGCGTTTCGACAATGCCATTTCGGACAACTTCGTCACTGAGGCGAACACGGGGATCTTCCACACAAATGACACATGAGTCGGAGGGAGTGAGGTCGCCCAGGTCCTGCACCACGTAACCTGATGCGAGCTGATCGTGAAGGAGGCAATCCCAACTTGATGCGGCCCATGGGAATAAATGTGGGACTTCACCATTGGAGAACGCCAACTGGAGTGTACGATGGCAGTCACCCCATACTGCCTGCGCAAAGAGCAACTCGTCCTCGGCGGTGCGTTGCTGAGTGGCCAAGGTATTAAACCACGGCATTGTGGCTCTCACGGTGACCTTTGGCAATCTCATGCGAGGCCAGAGCATTCGGGTCTGTATAGCGGATTGATGAACAGATTCTGGCTCAATCCAGTGCCAAGCTGCCAGGATCTGTGCGAGTTGATCGACCCGCCATATTGGGACGGCCCGATACTGTCCGTTGGAATCGCCGCTGAATTGGAGGGCACGTATCTAACACTCCCCGAAGTCCAAATAGACCTGTACATGACCCTCGTTGATTCGATCCTGCAACAAGGGTCTGAATTCTTCCGCAACACGTTTTGCTCTCCCCACCAGAAGTCGCATGTAAAAGTCAGCCCGTCTGAAGTCGGTCATGTGAGGAAGGTGTGTGTCAGGAGAATCGAAGTAGGGTTCAATTCGAACGACAACTTCCGAATGCTCGTTCCAAGGAAATAGTGGCAAGGTACCGAGTTCAAAGGACATGCTGTTGACATGGACCGAGAACCGATTGCCATCCCATGAAACATTGTTGGGTTGGTCAGCCGTCGGGGACGGAGTATTGGTAGGGACCGTGTTGGAAGCCATCATGAACAGTTGTGAAACGTTGGTCAATGGTAAAATTATAGATTTCAAAAGCTTGAACTGGGATAAGATGGAAATATGCTGACGGAAGTGATGGCGAAGGAGAGAAAAGCAAAAGGGGGAAGGAAAAGAACTTATATGGCCGTTACACGCCTACCTGAAGCAGTTGCTCAGTTTGCCAGCCGGCACATGATATGTGCAGGAGCACAGCCGGAATGGACAACAGGCAGGAGGAATCAAGGAAACATGGACACCAGGACAGAGCTGGAAGTTGTCAAGGAGAACAGCACAGCAGCACGTTGATGGAGGAACATGGTTCAGCGACAGACAAGAAAGTGTAGCACCGTATCAGGGCTACGGCGAGGCATAGGGCTAAGAAGCAGCTCCGGCAAACTTGCTTCGCCATGCTTTAAGGTGCGATCACCCCACCACTAGTGGCCGATTAACGGTGCTTCAGGCACGCTCTCCTCCCCATTGGCTGAGACTCAACCAGCACCGCGGCTCACTCAAAGTGGCTCCAAGGAACATTCAAGAAGTTTTGTGAGAAACAGACAAAGTCGCGGCTGCGCTCAATAAATACAACGTCTCGGATCATCCTAATACGGTTCAGGCAATTGTTTTATTCAAGTTCTTGAATCAGTATCCAAATTCACCAGTTGGCAACTCTTCGCACATAGACATACCCATCCTTGCATTGCTACCAGCATGGCGGGCTCACAAAGCGGTAAGCGTGCTGATCTCCATTGCCCAACGACGGTACCTAACAACCGACCCAGGGAGACCTCGAGTCTATTTCGACATCGAGATTGGCGGAAGGAAAGAAGGCCGCATTGTATTCGAACTTGTAAGTACTTAAATCATGCTCATCCTGTCAACTGCGCACAGCTAACCTCTCGGCGCAGTTCAGCGATGGTACGCCCTCTCGAGCCTGAATCGTTCCGCTATGCAATCTAACACCTTCCTCCAGTTGTTCCCAAAACTGCAGAGAACTTCCGTGCACTATGTACTGGCGAGAAAGGGATCGGCAAGTCCGGCAAGCCACTGAGCTACAAAGGTATTTAAATATTGCGGGAGACGCAGAAGCCGCAGAAGACTGAGACAACGTGGGCAGGTTCAATCTTCCACCGAGTGATCAAATCCTTCATGATCCAAGGTGGTGACTTCACAAACTTCAACGGCACCGGAGGAGAGTCCATCTACGGCGAGAAGTTCGACGACGAAAACTTCGAGTTGAAGCATGACCGACCCTTCCTGTTGTCCATGGCCAACTCTGGGCCAGGTAAGTTTACAACTGTTCCGTTCCTGGTACAAAAGCTAAGCTGACCCAACTATCAGGCACCAATGGCTCGCAATTCTTCATCACGACCGTCCCAACCCCTCATCTCGACGGAAAGCACGTTGTATTTGGCGAGGTCCTCAACGGGAAAAACATCGTCCGCAAGATCGAGAACCTTCCCACACAGTCAGACAAACCGGTCGGCGGCGACGTGGTTGTAGTGGACTGCGGACAGCTAGAGGGTGAAAATTACGAGAAGGCGACTGAGAAAGCTCCCGACGCAACCGGTGATCCATATGAGGACTTCCCCGAGGATCAAGGCCAGGACCTCAAGGGCGAGGAGTACTACAAGATCGCGCTGGACCTCAAGGAATTTGGCAACAAAGCATACAAGGCGGGCGACCTCGAGACAGGCATTGAGAAGTACCAAAAGGCACTGAGATATCTCAACGAATACCCGGCAGCCTCCGAGAACGACCCCAAGGACCTTCAGAGCAATATGGACCACTTACGGTTTACGCTACACAGCAATTCGGCGCTACTGGCCAACAAGTCCAAACGTTATGCGGAAGCACAGAAGTGGGCTTCGTTTGCCATTGATGCCATTCCCAAGGACGCAAAGGACACCGACAAGGCCAAAGCATATTTCCGACGCGGCCAGGCCCGGGTTGCTCTGAAGGATCTGGAGGAAGGACTCAAGGACTTTGAGGAGGCGGCCAAACTGGCTCCTGAGGATGCAGCGATCAAGGCCGAGCTTGCCAAGACGAAGAAGACGTTGCAAGAGAGCATCAAGAAGGAAAAGGAGGCCTACAAGAAGTTCTTTGGGTGAAAAAATAAAGAACGAAAGGCCGGCCGAACTGAGTGCTAAGTTGCGGTTTGCAGTTTGCAGCTCGCAGCGAGTTGTGTCTTCTCGGCTGCTTGTACGAAGTTGAAAGCATGTTCTAATGAAGGACTCTCAGACACTGCATTCTAATGGTGGACGGGCATGGCTGATGATGATGGCATTTCTTTGGCTCATTCTGACCGGATGTGCAAAAGGCGTTTATGCGAGTGGAGGGCTCCCAGTTCACTACTTTGCTGACGGTGGGGGGGGGGGGGTGTTGAAGCAGTAGATCAGCCGCCTGCCTGTACGCCGGTGACACCACTGATGAATAGATGACCACGAATAAAAGGTGCATTCTTGTCCGTTGTATTCGAAGCTTCAGATCTTGAATCCCTTCCACGGCGATTCCAAGTCTATGATTCATAATGCTTGTAGACTAAGCAATAGTAATGTACAGCAAATGCTCATCCTTGAAACTCCGAGGCCAGACTTACTTGAGCACCAAGTACAAAATATACTGTGTAATTCACGATATACACCCATCGACTTCACAGACGGGCGCCCTCCCTCGAGTTCGATACACATACATTACACATGCACCGAATCATCCCCAACAATCGCCACAAAACCTCGCGGGATTTCGGGAGTCGAGAACCTAATTAGTCGGAGCCTGAGCCCGCCGCAACGAGATACATACTTGATTGAGGGAACGGATCGGGACTGGGGCTACCAGCTAGCTGAGTGGCATGGCATGTTTCAGTTGTTCGCGATGCACAGATGCCTGGCTGGATTTTCATTTCACCTCATAGTGCACTGCACTCCATGTCAAGGCTGGCTTCGTCCCCCGGGATTATGATTCCCATCTGCCAGGTTTCCAGTGCTTCTACCGATTTTCATTTCCTCTCTCCACGTAGTCCGTTCTTCCTGAGCGACACCGGGCCCACGGTAGACACTACCATACAGCCCAGTCGCCCAAGACTTGCCTGCTTTGGCCTGCTCACTTTCGTGCTTCTTGTTTTTGGTGGTAGCGGTATACCGGCGTCGATACCACTTCCCATAAGCCAGCAAGTAATACAAACGAAAGGAAAGAAAGGCAAACTTGTCATTCTCCAGGTCCTCGGGATACTCTGCGCCTAGATCGACAGCAGCCGCAATGCCCGAAATGATGGCGACCTCGTGGGCATTGACGAGAGTCCAGGCGGCGGCGAACCGTACACGGCGTTGGCCCTGGAGAAACATCATCCAGGGGACAACGAACAGGTAATGGGTGTAGCTGTGACACAGCTGATGCCACCAATCCTTGCGGATGACTTTTGTGTCGTCGATTTCGTGGTCCGTCCACAGATGCCCGTCGCGATGTTTGTTGAGGTAGATTGTTTGAAAGACATGGTCTTCAAAGGGGACCTTGTCGGGAAACTGGGCTTGGTAGTTTGTGGTGTCGAAGCACATTTCCAGCTTGGATTTGTCCTCGCCGTACATTTTGATGTAGTACATTGGACGGAAATTGGACCGAGCCCACTCGCATCGGGCGGACTGGTCGACATTTGACAAAGATTTGACAGCTAGGGTCTCGTCGTAGAAGTTCTGGTAGTGTTTCTTCATGTAGTCAGAGTCGGTGTGGGTGATGGTGATATCGTCGGAGAATTTGGCGCTGCCCAGAACTTGTCGTTCGCGCCATGTCGAGGTGCGGGAGAGAAGTCGTTTGGCTGTGTCTGCGAGACAGCACAGAACAAGCTCGTCGTAGTGTTCTTCATAGGTCGGGGCGTCCGGGTCGCCGTTGGCTGGGTTGTGTCTGTCGGGTGCTGGTGTGCGGTTTTTGAGCGATACAATGACGCCGTTGGTCTTGTCACGAGCCAACACGGCAACGAGTTCGGTGGATAGGCGGACATTCACGCCGCGAGAGACCAGATCTTTGCGCCATGACTCGTAGAACTCGCTGAAGTTGGGAAAAACCACCATGGGAGGTTGGTTGCTTGCGATGCTGACTTTGTCAAGGGGGTACCACATCCCGTATGTTGGACTGGTGCAGAGCCGCTCGAGCATGATGGTAGGCACATTGGGCGCTTCGTTGCCCGTTCCCAGAAACAAAGCCACCATGGGCAGTGCTACGGTGTGTGTAAACTCTTCCGAGAAGAACCACAGCTTGAAGAACAGATGCATGGGCATCAAAGCGAATAAAAACTCGAACCAGCGCATCACCCGCATTGCGAATACAAACCGTTTCACTTCTCTTTGGTGTCGCGCAATCAGGTCCGTCGGAAACACGTTGGTCCAAAACGTTTCGTTCTTGCCGAACGATACTTGCAGGTTGACCGGGTCGGCGTGGTATCCTTGCCGTGCAAACATGGTCATGGTGTGGTGGAATATGTAGCTGCCGCCCTGGACGCCCTGATTGAACCAACTCGCTCCATGGCGGTCCTTGTCCAGAGGCATGGCGAACGCCTGTCCGCCGCAGTAGTCGACCGCATCGATCAAGGTGATGTCGAACTCGTCGCGTTTCTGGGAGAGGTGGTAGGCTGTCGACATGCTATACGGCGACAAGAACAGTCAGGATCACGCAGTGCAACATTGACGACGTCTTGTGGACGCCAGCGCTCGTTCGTACCCTGCAGCCCCGGCCCCGACGATGAGAACTTTCTTCCTCTTCCTGCCACCATCCTTAGGGGCGAGCGGTTTCTGCGACATGGCGCAACGTGGCTCGCTCGGTCTCTCGTTGAATGAAGGAGCTGTTTTCCTTGGATTAAGCAGAAAACGACAAAGTTAAGACTTTTAAGACTTTCCCAAGTCCCCTGACAGACCGAAGCGAAACGATCAACCGAGATCTTATACCGCAATCTGTTGTCTCTATCTCTGAGGTGCGGTTGGTCCATGACCATTGCACGGGCTCGACGACGTCATGACCTCCCGATTCGATCTGTCAGGTACCAGATCTGTAAGATACCTTATGCAGTGGCAGTACGGGGTGCACCCGGAGGCAGTGAGACGATGAGTTCCAGAGACCATTCATATTGGAAAGTCGACGCATGTCACTCATGTCGTGTCGTCTCTAATGGAGCAACAAGGAGGGAGATACCTATGCTCCCTTGAATTCCTGATGATGACCACTGAAAATGGCGATGCAAGATTGGGCAGGTGACAAGGCGGCATCTTATCTTATCTTCGGCATCCCGTGCAGTGTTGCCCCGCGTGTTCAAGTTGTTCCCTGTTCTCCCCGCAGCGCAGCTTTTGTTTCGTCTTTCGCCGGGCGGAAACAATGTTCGGAAACGTTCCGCCGGTTGAAGCCCTCAACCATTCGTGACTGCGGAGAAGCACGTCAGTATCGCTCTTCGTCTCCCTTTTCATAGGTGCCTCAGACACGCTTTGCTTCCGATCAGCGGCAGCAGCAACAGCAGCAACATATTTAAAAAGCGTCTCGCCTGTCTTATAACTTGTCCCGTCAAGCCAACCCGTCGTCGTCGATACCCTGATACTCCGTTTTCCAATCTTCGTCTCCCAGCTCTATCTTTCTATCCATCCACCATGACAACCAAAGTCGCTCTCGTCACCGCTTCCAGCGCCGGCCTCGGCGCCGCCACAGTCAAAGCGCTGGCCTCACACTTCCGCGTCGTAGTGAACTACCACTCAAGACCAGAAAAGGCCGAACAAGTGATCAAAGAAGCCTCGGCCATCCCCGCGACCTACAACACATCATCCAGTGAACCACGATTCCACGCGATCAAAGCAGACATTTCCCAACGAAGCGAGATCCAACGACTGGTCGCCGAGACGGTGTCGAAAATGGGCCGACTGGACGTCGTGGTCAGCAACGCCGGCTGGACTCGATTGACCAACTTCTTCGATCTCGAACAGCAGGTCAACGAGGAAGACTGGGACCGATGTTTCAACGTCAACGTCAAATCCCACCTGTGGCTTTTGTATGCCGCCAAACCGCATCTCGAGAAGACCGCCGCCGACGAGGGTGTGGGCGGTGCTTTTGTCACTGTGGCAAGTCTGGCTGGTGTCCGACCGAGTGGAAGTTCCTTGCCGTATTCCGTCACCAAAGCTGCAGAGATCCATTTGACGAAGGGTCTTGCTATGATTTGTGGACCTAAAGTCAGATGTAATAGTGTGAGCCCGGGTTTGATGTTGACTGAGTGGTAAGTTTGTTTCTTGACAAAGACGAGTTAGACAGATTACTGACTGTTGTGTAAATAGGGGCAACCAATTCCCAGAGTCCAAAGTCAAGGCGACCACGGAGAAATCGGCGCTCAAGTCTCTCGCCACGCCTGAGGATGTGGCTGAGCAGATCCGCACGCTTGTGCTGAGCAAGTCTATCACTGGACAGAATATTGTCTTGGATTGCGGTATCGCCATTTAGAGAAAAAAAAAAGGTCAAGTCGCTACCGGCCAGGGATCCCTTCATGCCATCCAAGTTGCCCAAGGCAGGAGCCTCGTGACTGTGTTCGAGATCTACTATATTTCAGCTTCGATTCGCATATGCATGTTGGCTATCAGCATCCTCGTGGCCACCGGAGGTCACTTTGCGTAGCGCACGATCCAAGCCCTCGACATGGTTTTTGGACGCATGGTACACGTGGAAGCCGGCAAAATTTGGCACCATAGCACGCCCTTGAAGGAGGTTTTCTGCGATGCGTGCCACCTAGCTCAACGCACTGCATATGGATGTCAGCCAAGGGTTTCGTACTGTGAGACGCCCGAATTGGGGCCCACTGTGGGATGGTGGATGTCTTGTCCCCTTCAGCTTGGGGAGGAGACGGGGACCGGCGCTTGGCTTGATGGCATGATTCTGGAACGTTTTTGGGGCTGTTCTCGTTCTTTTGGGTGGGAACGTGGAACATACGGTGTGCATGTCAATATTGGGGTACTTGGCCCTACGAAAATAGGCAAAATGTAGATGGTCCAGTCAGACACACTGAACAACTACTGTGGAGTTACAAGGAATACCTGTTTTCTCACAAACATGCATGAATAGATTTAAATCGTGGACACTGTGCCAGATACTGTCCCTGTACATGGAGTCCAGCGAAGCCAGGCACGGTAGTATTGTAATAAGCTGCAGTAACTTGTACGCTTTAATGGAGCCCTTAGGCTTCCATCGCTGTATCCACCATATCAAGCCGTCTCAGCGTCTCCAAGGCAATCTTACACCCTCGCTTGACTGCATCCCTGTCTCCCTTGGCCACCAGATCCGACGAGCGGACATTATTCTTGATAAAGAACTGCAAGCGGCGAATGACCTGAGGCGACTCGACAGTACGGCCAAAGACCTTTTCCAACACTGTCGACGCTTTCTTCGAGTTGCTGTTCTTCTCGGCCTCAGTCATAATCACAATCAAGAGCAACTCGACAAACATGGCCGTCTTCTCCTTGACATAAGCAAGATCCAAAACCTTGAGAACGCCCAGCGTCTCTGCACCATCTAGAATGAGATGGGCATATAATCTGGCCAAGTTGGCAATCTCGCCGATTTCGACATCATCTTGTTCGTCTCGTTCATCATTCTCATCATCCAAGTCGCCCGTCTCGCCCATACGGCGAAAGAACCCCCAGAGCGCGAACTGGAAGGCCTTCCGCATCCGTTTGTCCTGGCACAGCCGTTTGGCCACAAGCGTGTAGTAGTGGTTATATGGGTTCTCGCCGGCCGCGCAGCGGAGGAGGACGCGGGGGATTTCTTGTTCCTGCGACCTTTTCAGCCGGAGCTTGAGGAGGCGCATGTATGCGTCTTGACAGTCGACGGCGGACAAGAGAGCCACAAAGATTGATCGTCGCACATCCGTGTTCATCCCGTATTGGCGTGCAAGCGACAGAAGATCGATGTTATTGGCGTCGTCTCCATCGTCGCCGACGGTACTGGTATTGGAATCCTTACCGCCACTGCCACCGCCCTCGTTCAGAGTGAGTGAGGAAGTATTGGCATTGGCATTGTGGTCACGGTCGTTGCCATTGCCCTTCCAACTGGCCCCCACGAGCCACCATTTGCCTTTCTTGTCGCTGTTTTTAATGTCGTCTCTACTGATCCTCAGCGGCTCAGATGCTCGGATGGCAGATGCACGGTTGTTGAGGGATCCTAGCACCTTTCTCATTTGTGTGATGTGTTCGCTGGACAAGCCGGCATTGTTCGTCGCGGCCTTCATCTTGTTGTTTTTGAGGTCGGTGATCGTTTCAATCATGAATTTGGTCCGGACGCTCATTTGCTCGCCCGCAGCTGTCATGCGTGCCGCCTCCTTTTGCATCATTTGCACTATGGCCTTCAGCGACGACGGATCGTCCTGTCGCAATTGCGGCCCGCAGTCGCGGACTAGACGGAGAAGGATTTCCGTGTTGGACTCGCTGAGTTTGGACAGTAGCAGCCGGATATGGTCGAAGATAATGGTGCTGTTGACCATGTGGAAGGTGAACAGGTTGGATAGCAGACTGATTAAATTGAGCGACTCTTTCCCAGCTGCCACATTGCCAGTAGGAGCGTCACCATTACCATGGTATTGCTCGAACCGTTCCACCAGCTGCGAAAGTAGTTCTGCGCCAAAATCCACGCCTACGACTTTGTATACGGCGGCAGCGAACGCAGCGTGAAGAATGACGAACGTGTTCTGTAGAGTTGACTTGTTGCAGAATGTGGTCAGGAGAAGATCAACCAGCACGGTCGTCACGTCTTGTCGTGGGTTGGATTGGTAAATCTTTTCCACTTCGCCCAGGATGGACACCAGGTTGGCTTCGGATAGCTTGTTGAGGTGCCCCTGGACTTGTCGCTTGAGTCGCTCTAATGAAGGTCCTTCGGAGGAGAGCTGTGCTTTCCTCATAGATGGCGGGATGTACTTTGCTGTTGTGGTGTTTGACGACACCGGTGCGACGTATGGATTTTCTCGCACTTTCTTTGGTGGAGGTCGGGAGTCTTCATCATCATCCTCTTCCTCTTCCGCCGCTTCTTCTCTGTCTTCAGTTTCAGAACCGAACCCATCAAAATCATCGTCCTCTTCCGAACCGAAATCCTCATCAGAACCCATTTCTTCGTCAAGATCGTCATCGGATCCGAGTCCATCCATGTCTGCGCTGTCGTATCCCTCTGCGTCAATGCCGTCGAGGCTCTCATCATCAGAGTCTCCACCGCCAAAGTCAATGTCTTCTTCTTCTGCTTCATCATCGCTCTCTTCTGGCTGACCGGAGGCTTTCCGCCTCTTCCTCTCCAGCCACTCTTGTTCTTCGGTCTTCCGCTTGACGCATCGTTCCGCTCCATCCAAGCCCGCAAGTAGCTCGTCCAGACCATCCTCTACAAACGATTTGGGAAGTTTCTTCCTCTTGTTCAATCCAAGCTTCTTTTCCAGCGCACTGATCTCGGCGTCATCTTGCGCCATACGCTCCTTGAATGCCTGAGACGAGGGGTCTAGCACCAACCCCGGCGAAGTCGACCGATGTCGCGACACAGATGACAATTCCGATTCGGGTTCTGACAGTGTCGGCGATGGCTGCCTCGGTCTTTTCAGAATTGACCTCGGTTTTGAGTCCTCCTCCTGCCTCTTGGGCCCGTTTCTTGCCTTCGCCGCGGCCGTCTGGGCAGTTTCCCGCAGGTTATCATCTTCTTCCTCTTCGGAATCATCCTCGTCGAATTCGTCCCTTCGTTGATGAGGTTTCGATCCTCTGATATTGTGTCTGCGCTCTTGTCTCTCGGCCTTACGTTGCTCCTTCCTGTTCTTGACTGCGCCGTGCTGGCGTCTTCCGCCGTGTCGATTCTCATCAAGGCCCAACTCTTTCTGCAAAGCGAACGGCAATTTCAAGCCTTTGCTTGCGCCTGGGTGATGGCGCGACATTTTGCGACTCTTTTCCACTCACAGGGCAGAGCTACACGCACAGTGCACTGCCCACGACCGTGTATGCGTCGTTTGTACTGTGCAACTCTGGGTCCTGTAGAAGGCAAAACTGGGCTCTACATAGAAATTCTTTCGCAATGGCGGAGATAAAACGGCGATAACCCTGCAATGTCACTCGTTATCTTAGCGCGTGTTTTCTCAGGTAGTTCCACTCGAACCTCAATCCAAAACCGATGATACTACCTGGTATCCCACTACAGCCTGACACTGGCCTGGCATGACATACACTCTGTCCTTCACTACCATTACTACCTAGTGATCTGTCCATCCACCACAGCTGAGGTTGAATCATTCGCTGCCCAGTACATAAGGTACCATCTGAGCCACACCGCACAGAGGTGTCTGGGTGTCATCGAACCGAACTTGTCCAACAGTGAACCGCACAAGACACAAAGATGTCGCAACAGCAGCAGCGCATCAGCAACGACGAGGTAAGTCAAACCAGGCCAAATGAAGGGCATTATACGATCCGCCGCGCCCCGACCACCTTTGGTCTTCTATTGTGCTGACCCAAGTCGATCACCCAGTTCCTAAGTCGTCTTACAACCCTCCTCTCCTCAACCCACGCAGAAAGCCATGGCTCCGTATATCTGACTCAAAAACCACTGATCACGAACTCGACAACAACGGAGGCCGCTGAGTCATTATCGTCACAAACTCCACAAATCCTCATTCGAGCCACAAATGGACTTTCGAAATCCCATCGGAAAGCAACATCGTCTTCAAAATCTAATGAAAAAGGAAGTCCAAAAATCAAGTTCGCGACGGTGGTCGATGTCGCAGATCTAGATGCTTTCTATGCGCGGTATGCCGAGGCGTGCAAGAAGGGGATGGAAGGGTTGAGGAAACGGGATAAGAAAAAGGCAAAGGAGAAGGCGAAAGCGAAGAAAAAGGGCGGTAAAAATACTACGACTACTACGACAACTGCTGCTGCTGCTGCTGGGTCATGAGATATCCCAGAAGGCCCGGAGCCTGGCCAGATGCAATGCCTGGTGAAACGAAGCAAGGCGAAGCAGAGGGGTGGCGGGCTACTGCTGCTTGTCCTGACGGAGCGAGGGTCGGTTTCGCCGAGAGTCCAAGTCTCAAACGGATGATGAACGGGTGAGGATTGCGATCGGAATGCATGCATCGGTTCTGTGGCAGGTTCTTTGCTTCATTCCTTGCTACCTACACAGGCAAGGGGCGCCAGTGTCAGGGGACAGAAGAGCCCTGATCTGTCCAGAGGAGATACCTGCCGTACCTGATTGCTGGAAGAAAATCAACAAAAACCCTTGTGCACGACCGTGCTTATGGATGGTATCTCTCTCGAGAGTTTGGATCACAGACGACAGCGAGCGACGGCATGTATGTTCCACTTTGATTTCCTGACAATGCTCGCCAACGGCATGTTGATAGGTCTCTCTTAACCGAGAACCTGAGCGGGACTGCAGTGTGGCATAGAATGGATGGGGTTTGTTGAGCCGCGGAGAGAGCCTCAGAAGGCCATCCGTCTGCCCGTGTTTGGCTGGAACGGCAAGCGAGGGAGTCTGTTGGTCACGACGCATACACGCACATACCTAGCTACAGTATGTGCAGCCACTTCGTTGAGCTGATGACAGTTTCACAAGAAGCCAGAAAGAGGTGCTCAGATCCCAATACGACAGATAATTTTGAAAATATACCAGTATTCTCGTGTCCCATCCATCCTTTAAAGATATATTCACGATTCCATCATTAGCATCATCATGATCGTCATCGCCCCTAGTTACAGCCCGAGATCATATACTGTAGTCGGACCTGCCCACTGCATGTTTCCCAGCCAAGCTCACAATCATTGAAGTGATTCAAAGGAGCCTCAAAACGCCGTCTGCTCTTATATATACAGTTTCATGGTCAGCCAACACCCACCTACTAGTACGACATTCCGCCGTCAATGTTTACCAAAACAGGTTCTGTAAGCTGCAAAAGGCCCAAACTCAATCCAAATCGTAGAGTGAGTCCGTTTCGTCATCCATTCCTTTTCCCTTCACTGGTGCGAACACCGTAGCCGGTTTCATCTCAGCACCTGGTGTCCTGCCGCGGCGGATGGGAACGCCAAAGTCGTCTTCATCCTCATCAGAGGGATGTGGCAGGGCGCTGATCTGGTCCGGGAAGCTCGATCTTCTCCGGAGTTCAAGTTGTTCGGGACGTCGAAACAATTCCCCACTAAGTAAATCACTAACAGTGGCTCCGCCAGCGATTCGAGCCAGAATATGCACGAGAAGAACGACCGCTTCAATCGGCTTGACGAGAGCCACGTTGCAGGCCTTCTGGAGTATTGCAGCTGTGAAATGGCCGCCTTGACCACTAGGTGATGATGGCGGCGGCGGCAAGAACACCGTAGTCGATGGTGGTAAAGGTGATAGAGACCTCTCTCTTCTCGCCTTCAGCCGCTCTCTCAGCCCTTCATTGACCGGTGAAGGCGTTTGCACTTCTGGCCAGGAAGATTCGGATGTAGAGGACCGCCCGAGAGCTGGCGTCGAGGGCGATTTTGATTCTAGCGACTCGCTTGTCGACGGTCTGAGGTCTGCAATAATCTGCTCCGAGGCGGCCGTCACGGTTGATTCCGAGACTTCTCTTTGATGTTGACGGATGCCGGCGGAGAACGCATCATCAACCTGCGGTGCCGATTCCTCAGTGGGAGAACTCGTAGTGTGAAAGGAGTCAGCGCTGGACACGCGGCTGAGGACATCATCAGCCTGTGTTGGATCACTAAAGCTAAGCAATGGAGACTCTGATGTTTCATCCTTTGAGCAGAGGGCATCTTGGTCTTGCTTTCGATCCGGTTCTTGAAAAAAAGGACCTTGGGCTGATTGGGAGCCGTCGTCATGAGGTAGATCTGGTGTGGATGGATTTTGGCACACCGGATCCTCTGACACAACTTGAGAAGATAACCCCAGTCCACCCGTTGGAGGAGGTTCGCTGTCTGTAGGTTTAAGAGCAACTGCATCTGGTTCCTGCGAGCACACACTTTCGCTCCTACTTTCTTTTTCGGCGCCTGCATCACCCGCTGGTTGTGCCAGACTGTTTTCTGGTGGGTCTTGGTGAACATTTTCTGCTACAGTCTCTGCTTGACTTTGTAGACGCTCTATCGGCGCCGCTTGGTTTTCCTTCGTTGGCAACTGGTCAATCGTGCCCTGTAATACTGAAGACTCGGTGTCGTTCTCCTGCGGTTGATGCTGAAGGGCGGCAACTTCGGGACTGACGGGCGAGTCTACGGTTGAGATCGGGGTGACCGTACTGCTATCGATTTCTTGTTTTGAGCCGCCTGCTTCGTTCGGGGTCTCCTCCTGCGTGGCGCCTCTCGGTCCTTCACTAGATGCGAGGCTGGACGGTGTAGCAGGACGGTATTCGCCAGCATCATGTTGTGGTCGGGGAGACGAGCTGCGACTAGTGGTAAATCCGTAGTCCGACCCGCGACGGCCATACGCATAAAGCGGTGTAGGACTAGCTTGCCCTTGTAAACTCCACGCACGAGCGGTTTTCGAGCGCTGTAAGGGCAATGGATCGGTTTTCGGAGTTGTAGACACTGGCTGCTGCTTCGGCTGCCACATCTTTTTCGGTCGGGGTGTGATAGCATCGTCTGGCAAGTCGACGTGAAATGCTCGTTTGAAGGGACACGGCGTTCTCTCGAATCGGAGGACCTTGGTCAAGACCGATTTAAGCTCTTCAACCTTTGCCTTGTCCGCATCGGTCTCAGAAGGGAATTCAAGTCTGCAATATCGGAATTTTCCAATGCGTAGGACGAACTTGGATTCTCCGTCGACGCACCAACACTGAGAATTTCGCATGATGGGGTGGATGACCTTCTGATCTGCCGATTTCAGAAAATGGCTGGACCCACGCACTTTCTCGATTACTAGAGGCCCTGTGGCCGCCAGCGTCTCCGTACGGGATCGCCATGGTAGAGTCTCGATGGTATCAACGGGGTAGTCGGTTTCTGGAAGAGTTTCTCTGCTACTTCGAGGAATTGAGTCGGTCGGAGGGGAAAAGGCGATGATGCGTGCGGAAGGGTGCGAATACAAAATCTTGGAATCGGCGTCGGCTTCGTCGAGACCTGCTCGTTCATGAAGAGACAATGGTCGCGCAGGGACGGTGAAGGACCTGCGGTAGCCTTGAAGCGGTGGCCGGTCGCCATATGAGGGTGAGGCAGCCATACTTCATTTTCAAGGGCCACCGTATTGGATATAAGTGGTTGAGGTGGTTACCAGCGGTGCAATAAAACTCAGTGAATCATGGGCTGTGGCAGCCCAAGCATCGAAGTAGTAAACAAGGCGCCCATAGAGGCCAGGCCTGGTAAACATTGATAGAGCGAGCGCAGTTGGCAGGTGACTGGCACTGGCACTGGCACTCAGGCTGGCAGCAGTGCGCGCGCGCAGTCCACTGACAGCTGCCGTTTGAGAAGGTAAGTTTAGCGGACGCTATTGCTACCTAACCACTTCTGGCATAGTTGCTCACTAAACACTCGATGCTTTCGCTTACTAATCAGGCCGGGTTTGTAGAGACACTGGCAACGTTTCTCTTCGCCTCCACGTCCTTACGATCCTCTCCGAGTCCTGGACGATTGCCCTTCTCTTTTCTTGATCATCCTTGTGAAGTTATGGCATAGTATGCGTCGTCTTCTACAATAGTAAGTCCCTGTAGTCGCAGTCATGATTCTTGATACTGTAGCAATTTATTTTCTACAGTATGGTCTATATACTTTTATGCAGCAGCCAGAGTATGTGCAGTATCCTTGTGGAAACCACCACACCCCTCACAAACAGTTGTCACCGAAAAAATACTGTGCTTCGGGTTATGTCCAACAGATACGCCAGAGCTTCATATGGTCTTTCTGACATAGGCGACGGGTCCAACATAGTGGTGCCTTGCTTGCAAAACGAAGTAAATGGCCGCCAACACCAACACACCGCCATACACTGCAATAGCCCAGTTCATCCCGATCGGCTCCGGGTTCGGCATCGATGGGAAGAACACAAAGATATAGACGATGAAGCAGAAGAGCAGAGAGGCAATATTGATGGGGAGACCGAACTTGCCCAGCGAAAATTTGGACGGAAGTAACGGATGCCCACGGATGCGTTTCCAGGTGATCGTGCCGATGGAAACCATGTAAGATGTGAGGAGAGCGACTGTCCCAATTGACATGATGATGTTGAATGCAACTGCGGAGCCGATGTAGATGCAGTGGAACACACACGCCCAGACGACGGAGACGATAAGCGCGTTTACCGGGACATCGTACCCAGGTGGAACCCGGGCAATCAAGTGATGGTAGGGGACTCCTTTGTCACGAGCAAAAGAAAACATCTGTCGGGATGAGCCAGCCATCGTGGTCAGGTTGGAGCAGATGTTGAGGATGATGATGATGATGGTCAAGCCCGTCGCTCCACCTGCAGATCCTGTGGCGGTGTAAAAGACCTGTATGATGGGGTATCCGGTTGCTGAGGCGATGTCCTCATCAAGGTCACCGAGGGTGTATAGGAATGTTCTGCTGATTGTTAACACGACCGGGTTGGGAACGTGGGAAGGAAGAATACTCACACTAGCATTACGAAGCCAAGGGCACCGTTGACGATGATTGTACCGATCATGGCCCGGGGCAACATTTTGGACGAGTTTTTCAACTCCTCGGCCATGTGTGCGGCAGCATCGCCACCGACCAGGGAACCAGCAGAGGTAATCAGACCGATCAAGCAGGCAAGTCCCACTATGGAAAGTTAACATCGACAGACGCAGAGGGGAATGACCAGATCAAAGGCTTACCACTTCCCCAGTCATTGAGGTCTGTGAATGAAGTCCATACTTCTGAACTCGAAGTCCGCGGAGCCATCACCCAGAGCGGGACCATGATGGCCACAAACCCAGCGATATGAAGGACCAAAATCATACCCTCGACCAGAGGCAAATGCTTGGCCAGAAAGATATTGAAGAAGGCCACACAGATGGTGATGAGCATTGCGATCAATGTCCCATGCCATCTCTGAGGCACATATGAATTCGGGTTGTTCAAAATTATGAGACCCTGGATCAGGGTGCCAGAGACATATGCGCCGATGGTCGTACCTGTCTGGTAGCCGAGGATACCCAGCCAACCGATGAAGTATGACAGGACCTTCTGCACATTGGGAGGTGCGAATTCAGACACCCAGTGGTATTGGCCGCCTGAAACAAAATCAGTGTCAGGTTATCAGCTGTCGACTCAGAGGCAGATCTTACCTGAAGTCGGTGCCATTGAGGCCATCTCCCCCATCGAGACTCCAACCAGAAGAAAACCAATCCATCCGGCGACGAAGGTCCAAATCAGCCCTCCGGGACCGCCGTTTCCCAACCCGAATGCCACGGTTGTCAAAATCGTCTCCCAGGTGTTCATGATAATGAGGGCGAATCCGAGAATCGACACAAAGCTGAAGTTGCGCTGTGGAGGGCTTAGCCAGGTGTCCCTTTGCCCCAAAAACATCACAATTGACTGACCTTGAAGACCTGCTCCTTGCCGAGGCGTGCCATGGCTTTCCTGTCGGCCAAGGTGCCAATCCTGTCATCGACGACGACATCATCCTCCTGGTCGTCGCGGAAGTCGACGGCGTAATCGGCTGATTTGTCCATGGCTGACATGTTGATGGCTGCTGCAAGGCTGCTGCAAGGCTGCTACAAACTTGACAGGATCTCACAAGGAGTGAGGGAAGAGAAAGAACAATATAGGCTCGGGGAACAACAGAAAAAGAGAAAGAAAAGAAAGGGGGCGTTCTTGCTCGGGAGTTGGTGGAGTCGGCAGTCAAAAACGTGGCCCGGTCCAGAAACACCAAGCTCCAAAGAACTCCTAGCGAGCCCCGACCTGCCCTGCAGAGGACCAGAGGTCGCCTGTTGTCTGTAGAGGCAGGGATCAGCCCACGAGGTCTTTACGCGATGCCACTGGTACCTTCGTTGGGAAAGAGTACAGTAGCGGTTTATTCCTGCTTGAACTAAGAGGCTCCCTTTCACTGGAGCACTTATCCACCTACTGGCAAAAAACAGCAGCAACAAAGGGTTGGTCAACCAAAGTCTACCTCTACCAGACCTCGAGGGCGGTAAGTGCTGACTCTCGACTTGGTAACTCCACTTGGGGGCACAGTCTCGACAGGATTGTTCGACCTGTCCTGGGCGCGAACAGTGGCTAGCAGAGTCGGTCGTCAACCTAACCGAAAGGAGACGAAATGTAACATGGACCATGTGGTGAGAGAAACACTTTCCTACAGCCGATGTGACTTGAGTCGGTGGCTAAACCGAAGTGGTATCGTTGACCTGCATGATCCTTGCCAGCTTCACATGGGATGCACCTGTTTGCTTCCGTGTCGAGAAAGTTATATGGACTGGAAGCGACCTGTGGGAACCCCACAAGATTGCTGATCATTTCTTTGGGGCGAATGATTCTGCCAGCCGAGGGGAACGGTTCCTTCGGCGGGTACAATGTTGTAGGGTCTGGCTTCGTGAAAGGGCCAATCATCCACCGGAGGCAACATAGCGTGGAGAATACCCAGGCGCTATGTTCGAGCCCAGAGGCGTTGCTGGTAAATGGCCTGAAGGAACATGATTCATCTGTCTGGCGACAGCGCTGAGAGACTCCGTTGATGTGCTCGGACCGGCGGCAAACTAGGCAGTGAAGGCTTTGACTGACATGTCTAGGGCTCGGAACGTTCCTGATCGTCTCACCCGATATGTTTCTTTTGCGCCGCGAGTGCGTCGCGGAAACAGGGGAAGTGGATCCGCAAAGTGTCAACAACTTTTAGTGCCAACACTAAAGGCTTGCCTTAGAGAAAGTCCAGACATCCTCGGGCGGCCTCTTCCAACGCGGGCTCATGCTTGGCTCATGCTTGTGAGAAGGGGGCTTGCCCTTGTCGCAAATCTCGGTTTAGGAAGAGGGGCCAGGCGCAGGATTGCCCGGGTGGCTCTGTGGCCTGATGCTGGCAAAGCTCCCAGAAACGGAATTAGGACCATAGAACCACGATCACCATCGTGGCATCGGGGACGCAGTCGCAATCACGCTCTATCCACCAGGCACACACCCTCGTCGGGCGGTTCGTTCTCCTGCGCCGTGCCCATGTTCGCATTGGGTACCCCTGCCACCTCCAGGCTCGGCAGGGTTAATGTTGCGATCGTAGCTGACGGTAAGTGAGGACTTAAAGGTTATCTTCGTCCAAGGTTCGATCTACTCTCGGGTTACAAGTACAGATGCCGCACGTCAAGGCTACACTCTACTTGCAACCATACACCTCAAAATCAGAGCCATGGCAGACGCACCGCCCAGCAAACCGCCTGTCTACGGGCCGCGTCTCTATGAGCTGACCGAAAATGACAATCGTGGGATCGTCTTGACAATGGCGATATTGTTTATGGTGTACAGCTTCATGGTGCTTGGGATGCGCCTGGCTGCCAAGTACAAAAGTATGGGTGTGGAGGATTGGATGTCCATTGTTGCAACCGTATGTATATGGCTCTTCAGAGACCTCCAGTATCTTACAGTCCACAGGGCTTCGCCGTGCCACAGTTTATAACTGTCATTGTGGCCACAGTCGATGCCGGCTTCGGGGAGACCTATTCGCTCATTCCTCCTGACAATGCTGGCATGGTCGCACGGGTATGTCCTTTTCCATAATCGACTTTTGAACAGTGTTCCCGTGCTGACGCATAGGAAATGCAGTGTATTCGTGCGAGTGACGTCTTGTTCTTGCTGTCGCTCTGTATCAGCAAGGTTTCGGTCATTTGGTTTGCCCGGCGTCTGTTCGCTTCCGGACAGCATAGCAGACATCTCGCCTGCGAAGTGACGATGGGAGCGAGTGCATTATGGTGTCTCGGATCCATTTTGGGAGTTACGGTGGGATGTGATGCTAGGGAAGTGATACACATTAACGGCAAGACGTGCTCAAGCCTGGTAAGTCGCCGCTCCTGCTCATCGTTGTTGACAGCAAAAGCTAATCTGACCACCAGGTTTCTCGATGGGCTGCTGTCGGAGTTATCGATGCGCTGCTCGAGGTAGTGATGACATCGCTTGGTGTGATGGTGATTGTCCCTCTACAAATGAGTTGGAAAAGAAAGCTGCAGGCGATGACCTGTTTTACACTGCGACTCCCGTAAGGCTCCATCTACTGTGCTTGCCGAAAAAAAGACTGACTTGGAAACAGAATCATTGTGCTTATCGCGATGAACATCAAGTACGTTGCCAACTTCAACCACGCGTCGAATGCCGGGATTGCTCTTATATCTCCCGTACTCTTCCGCCAGTCGGAGCTATTCTACTCTCTTTTGAGTGCGGCTATCCCGTCTCTCAATCAATACCTACGCAAGTTCGACACCAGGAATGCCGCACAGTTTGGTTATACTCCGGACCAATATGCGTACAGTGGACAGGCCTATCAGCTTGAATCCATGTCGAGAAGCAAGAATCTCACTACGACGAGCAATGGAATGGGAGGGGACAACGGCCCTGGCAAGGCGGACGAGGTCTTGGGCGTCAGTACTGGTTTCAACTTTAGCAATGTGGGATATTCGAGATATCAGACGCGGGTTGAAGGGCCAGCCAACGGCAAGAGCCACGATGGCACCTCCAATGACTCGCAGGAGGCCGAGTCGATCGGAAGGTCCAATAGCGAAGAGCATATCATTCGCAAGGACGTTGTGTACGAGGTACGAAGGGAGGATTGAGATGGGGTAGAGGATACGGATACGATTGAACCTCAGGAGCTTGTAGACTAGAGCTGTATAATGAAAAGAGATATCACGACTTTGACCTCCTCTAGTCGGCAAGATGAGCCCGACACAGGCAGTCCCACTACCACAGTAGTAGGACCCATGATTTTCGTGGCGTTCTACACCGTCCCCACTTGTAACACCCTGTTTCCACTCTCAAGCCAAGCCAAGACGGAGGACTGTACATTGCAATCCACATCAGGCGCTGGGGTCCTCCCCCCGAAACCCCTGCCGCATCTCATGAAACCTCCTTCAACCTGTCTTCCACTTCGCCTCTGGCTAGGCTCCTGGACTTTACCTTAAGGCGCATTTTCCTGCCCCCTTCGCGTCGGTGGGCAAACAGTCCTACCTTACTAGGTAGGTACCTAAGGTAGGTATCGTAACTACTGCACCTAACATTGTAGTACAGTAATAGCGTCTGCAGGTCGAACCGCTCTAGAACCACACCACGATACAGTATTCACTCGAAGTGGAGCTTTGCTCGACTAAACCAAAGACTGGTCTCAGTCGTCCACTTTGTCCAATCTACGAAAGGCGATTGTCCCCGAACAACCTACAGACGACAGTATAGCCTAGCAGCTCGGTTGGCAAACATTATTGTCCTCGTGGCTGGGAGACGGGTCTCGGACGCGGCAAGATTCAAGTTGGGTTTGCTAAAGCACCATGATCCCCGTCGCCATGCGGAAGTGAAGTGACCACTGCAGGACCTGATCTGCGCTGTGCTGCAGTGCCTCCAGTCTGGAGCTCGTTCAATTGAGTTGCTGCGAATCCGATATCCCGTACACGTGCCAGTGCCACTGCCCCCCAAGATGCCTGTCAGGCCCGCGAACAAAGATGACATACGGCCTATGGCCAAGGTACTCGCCGCCTCGTTTGGACCGGACCGTCTGTTCCAGGTGATGTTCCCGCACCAGAAAGAACACCCCGATGCCTTTGTGCGAGCGTTCGAAGAGCATCTGTGGCTCTCTTGGTACGATTACAAGAAGATCCTGATGATATCGTATCACGACGACAATGCCGAGCCGGAAGACAAGCAGCAGCAGCAGCAGCAGCGTGCCTCCAGTGAGAGCGATTCGAAAGAAGTCCTATCCTCCAGAAACAGCAGGCAAGTCGTGACAGGAGTGGCAGAGTGGGAGAGAGTAGGGCCTGGCTGGGAATCTATCTACGGCGTTTGGGGACGATGGGATCCTCGTAAGTTACTTAAACTCACCTTTTCCCTCAACAATTTTCTAGGGGGACAAATATCCTGACTTTGTTGCACCAGGTTTATGGATGAAACCGATCCTGGGAGCATTCTACAATTTTCGCCGACGCATATTTCCAAACAGAGCTGCAGCTCAACCTACAGCCCAAAATCCGGCTCCTCTCACCTACTGGAGCTTCGTGACTTCAATCATCCCTTTCACCGCGGCTTTCTTCAGCGCCCCCGCTCGTCAAATACACTGGTCACTGGAAAACCTGGCCGTGCATCCTGATTACCAAGGAAAGGGTTACGGGAGGGAGCTGGTCGAACGTGGTTTGGAGATCTCGAGAACCGACCCCATGGGTGACTTGCCTGCTTGCGTGATTGCCGCAGACGGCAAGGAAGGATTTTACCAGAAGAATGGATTTCCTGAGCTCGTGGGTTGGGCGAGCAGGACGGTGGACGAGGAGGGTCGTGATAATCCGTTGAAGGCCAACGGGGTCGGTGGGGGTGCTGTTCTATGGACGAGATGATCTTAATGTTTGGGTTATCATCTAATCTTGGGCTTTTTGTTTCGCTTTGATCTACAAGGGACATAGACCCGATTAATTGGTCTATTCGCAAGATCGTGTCTGAGAACTTCAACCGAGCCAAGGCAGGGGAGGATACCTGGTACCTTTGAAGTTGTTTTCAGGCGAGGAGCAGCTGAGGCAGCGTTTGGGTCTTCACTTTCCTGAGCCACGAGAGATATCCCTGCTTGAGGTGTCAGGTATGTCATTGGATCTAGAGGTGGAAGAAACTCGCTGGCCTGTTAACATAGACCTGTTTGACTTTGGAGACAGAACAGTGGCCGGATGTTGTTGGTTGATCTCAACGTTGAGGGAAAAACTTGAAGGCATAGTGAGCCTTTTAAAGCAGCGGCACGGGTGCCAATATCGGCGGGATCGTGACAGAAATTTGGGCAAAGCTCAGCCTTGCCGTGTGGTGGGGGCACAGCCTCGAGCCAGGCTGAGAAAGCGCAGCAACTCGAATGACATAATGCTCAGCTTCAAGTTGTGGCACAGCAGCGTGTGGTACGTAGACGCCGCCTTCATGTTCAAGGCACACGACACTGTACAACTACTCAGGTACTTCCGTCTTGTATTCTGTTCTTCTACTTCTACTTTGATAGACAGCTGAAACTCCGGAACCTTTCTGAAAGGCGTCTCCCGCTACCCAGCAAGCAAGCGCCGTCCATTAATTCGATCGGCATCATGTCCAACTTCGACCCCAATGCCATCCTACGCGGCGCTCAGCTCACCTTCGTCGGTGCCAACCGGGCCTTACAAAACCCCGAACTCTTCACCACCACACACTACCGGCAGGCGGCGATAGCAGTCTGTGCAGGGCTGGCCATCCGCATTATTCTCAACATCCCCATCTACGCGGTCAAGTTTATTTTATTGATCACATCGGTCATTGTCAACCTCGACCAAGAGACATGGGACGACAAGCTGGTCAACGGACTGGATTTCATATCCAAATCTGTTCTTCAGATTCCCTTTTTTCTCATGATGGTCATGAGTTCCCTGACACCCACGCTTGACGACCTGTTCATGGACTCTTTAGCCTGGGTCGACAAAACGTACCTTCAGAAACACAAGTCCGACGACCCCTCGGCCCTGCGCGGCCTGTACTACCCAACACTAAGAATGTATTCGACTCATGGCGACCGGGAAGCGAAAGCCAAACGCAGCCCCATCGACGGACTCATCGGTCTGGCTATGAAATATAGCCGCCGCGCGGGGATCTCCCTGGCCATCTACGCATTTACATTCGTGCCCTACATAGGTCCGTTTGTGCTTCCCGCGGCTTCATTCTACACCTTCAACAAGTCTGTCGGACCGGTCCCTGCGGGGATAGTGTTCGCAACCGGTCTAGTGCTGCCCAAGCGGTACATGGTGTCGTTTCTGCAGACCTACTTCTCCAGTCGTAGCCTGATGTCGAGGCTGTTGGAGCCCTATTTCTCCCGCATCCGCTTCTCTAAGCAGCAGAAGAAGGTCTGGTTCATGGATCGCAGCGGCGTGCTCTTTGGGTTCAGCGCTGCCTTTGCAGTCATGGTCAAGGTCCCCTTGCTCGGCGTGCTCATTTATGGCATCGCCGAGGCCAGCACTGCTTATCTAATCACCAAAATCACAGAGCCGCCGCCCCCGCCGGGTCCGGAGACAAAAGTCTTTATCGAGAATGAGGTCCGCTGGAAAAACAAGCATCTACTTCTTAATTTGCCGCTGGATAAGTTGGACGAGTTCAATGCACGCATCTCGGGCGCCGGAAAGGTTACAAAGTCGTCCTCGTCCACGACACAGACTTCGAGGCGTTCATTCTCCTGATATTTTGTGTCCATTTTAAGGGAGCGGCTTGTATGGTTCGTTGTGGGCAAGCAGGAAATGCTTGGTGAGCAGGCGCGGCGAGAAGATGGGTATCTTGGGGCCACCACCCAAGAGGAAGCACCGGATTTCCACCAAGTTTGCAGGTCAGCAGGTCCTTTGTCCGACGAAGACAGGCAAAGGTGAACACGAGAAAGAAAAGCGAGAGGCTACACACTCCTGGCCTCTTTTTAACGGGAAATGCAAACAACAAGAAGCCCAGATGGATCCACTATGTGGAAGTACCATGTTTATAAATATACGATATCATGCAATAGACGAAAGTTTTTCTGGACTCAAGGCATATTCTTTTAAATCCGCTCATCGATCCTTCAAGTCTAGATGCCTGGGCCGTCAAAGTGCTCCCAAGTATAGACCACCTCCAGCGCCGGTATTTTTGGCCTTCGTGCCTCTTAGACAAAGCCATGGTTCAATGAGACTGGCTCAAACAGTGTCTCCAACGGTACAAAATGTCAAACATCCAATAATACAAGCAGAGAGTGGGAGCTCACTTATATTCGTAGAAGCCTCTGCCCGTCTTCTTGCCCAGCCAGCCAGCATCAACATACTGTCTCAACAGGACACTAGGTCTGTACTTGCTGTCACCGAGGCCAGCATGCAGGGTTTCCATGATGGCCAAACAAGTGTCCAGGCCAATGAAGTCAGCCAGAGTAAGAGGACCCATGGGGACATTAGTGCCATTCTTCATGATATTGTCAATATCCTCTTTTGTCCCGATTCCAGATTCCAGACAGATGATGGCTTCATTGATATAAGGCATCAGGATGCGGTTGGCCAGGAATCCCGGCACATCAGCGGAGACGGAGCAGACTTTACCCATCTTTTCGCAGAAAGCCATTGCATTCTTGAGTGTTTCTGGCGAAGTTTGGAGCCCCGCGATGATCTCCACGCCCTTCTGCACAGGCACCGGGTTCATGAAATGCGTCGACACCACCCTCGACGAGGCAGACGTGTCGTTGGCATCCTTTGTCGTCGCCCGCGCAATCTTAGTGATGCTGATGCTCGATGTGTTCGTGGCCAGGATCGCGTGTTTCGGACAGATGTCGGCCAGTTGGGCAAAGATCTGTTCTTTGAGAGATGGAATCTCAGGTACGGCTTCGATGACCATGTCGACATCGGACAGGTCCGATAGCTGGGTTGTCGTCTTCAGTCTGTCCTTGGTGGCCTTGGCCACTTCTTCTGTGATCTTTTGCTTCGATACGTCCTTGGCGAGGAGTTTGTCTGCGAATGCGAGGCCCTTTTCTAGCGACTGTTGCGAGTTGTCGACCAATGTTACTGGCACTTGTGCTTTTTGGGCTGCAACAAGGGCGATTCCAAGACCCTGCGGAACCCGTCAGTTATGTGACATTTTGTGAGAGTTGTATGTGGCTGGTTAAGACATACCATTTGCCCGGCTCCAACAACCCCCAACTTCTTCACTTCAAAGGCTTTGGATGGTGTCGTCGAGAACTGGCGACTGAGCGCGGCCAGCCTCTGCGCGGGCGCGCTGGCCTTCGAGGAGCTGGCCATCAGTCTTGATGAGAACCTCGACAGTGAAGCCATGTGGGAGTACTCGGTCGCGTAGGGAAGGTATTCTCAAGGACGCAGAGCAACAACTCGTAATTGGTAAACGACTCCAATCAACTCTTGTCTGCCAGTGCCAGTGGTATACAAATAATGTACCAACTCCCGCAGACCGGAGTTTCCTCGTGGAAATACGCCGAACGAGGAAACACGGGGCCGAGAATAAGCGCGAAGCAGGTCGGACCGAGGCAATCGATAAGGACCAGCCCGCATCCGCCCGGCTGACTAAGAATCTCCTGACTACGGCGCGTCACCCAACTTTCTTATCTTAAAGCAAAGTGGTGTATCTCCACTTCACCGTACAGGCTTTAATGACAGACGCGTCGAGACGCGTTTCCACGACAAAAGGGCATGTACTAGTAGTAGAGCGCCTCGTGCACATCCGGCACCGATTTGTTCCTCTTCTTCAAGCAATGTGACAATACACTACTAACAAATATGGAGGAGGACAATCCCTTCAGCAAGTCCCAGACTGTGCATCCGGAAGTACGGGCGTACGTCTACAGTCTGGTCAACGCCGTATGTTTTCTTCCGAGCACGATTGGATTTCGTCGAAGTACAGACTTCTAATATGGAGTATAGCTCGGTGGAAGCAGCACTGACGATGACGGCCGGTATGTCCTCGGCGACGACGCACTCGCATGTCTGCGAGATTTAAAGAGGTGGTTGAAACTTTACGACGAGAAGAACAACAAACTCGACGTGGCCCGATGTCTAGCGGAAGCCAAACTTGTGGGCGGAGACCTCATTCCCATCCTGGCTTCGTGGCCCGAAGATGGCAAAGAGAACAAATTGAAGGCCAGAGTGGCGCTGGCGTGCCTGGAGTTACTGGTGCCCCTGACGTGGCCTCTGGAAAATGGAGGAGAGATGACCTTGAACCACCACCGACACACGCCCTACATCCAACAAGCGCAGGTGCTGTACAAGGCTGGGATCCTCGGATGCGAGACAAGCCCCATCCTCCGACAAGTGATCCGAATCGGACTGCCTTCCATCGCCGTGGCCAGAGACGAGAGAACGACTCGCGACGAGGGCATTCTCAAACTGATGTTGTATTTCTTTCGAAATGTCGCCGTCATCGACCAGATCCCCAACCTGCCCAGCCAGGGCTTGGAGAATGAAGTGTCGAGATCCGCGACGATAGAGGCCTTTAGGGACCAGGACGTCTTTGCCTTGTTGCTGACCATGTGCTCCAACATGGGAGACGACTTTAACCATCAGGACGTCATCATCCTCGACATCATTTTCAATCTTATCAAAGGCGTCGACCCAAAACGATTATGGATGACAGAGCAGGAAAGAACGGGCCAAGGGATATCGGACCTCAGTGCCGCTCTTGCTCTAGAGGACAGCATGAATAAAGACGCGAAACGGAATCAGTGGACCAGACACGGCCGCTTCGGCACCATGTTATGGGTCAAGCGGGAAGGCGAGAAGGTGTCGACCGTAACGGGACAAGACAACCTCAAAAGCGATCAAAAGGCCTTTTTCAACATGGACAAATCCAAAAAATGGAGTAAGCCGCAACAGAGGCGCAAAGATATCGACCACACCATCCACGACTTCGACCATACCACGTGGCTCACCAACTCGGCCAGCGAGAAGTTGCGGAATTTTGTCGAGGAGTTTCTCGATTCCGGTTTCAACCCGTTTTTCAGTCACTTGCGCAAAGCAATCCAGCGTGAAGCAGAGCGCTTGCAGGATATCAATTATCGACAATTCTTTTATGCCGTGGCGTGGTTCATGGAGGCGGAGCGTGTGCGCCGGGAAACGAGGAAGAAAGACATCAAATCGGAGAAGATCCGCGCCGAGTTCGAGGACGAGAGCTACGCACTGGTGGCGGCCGTGCTGAATCAAGAGACTTTCATCATGCTCAATCGGTACATGCAGATCTCTTGGGACAACAAAGAGTGGCAAGACTTGAATGCCAGCATGCGGTGTTTCACCCAGATCCTGTTGACGGTCCAGGAAATGGCACAGAGTCCTCTGGAGGAGGACCAGGAAATCGCAGACAACATCCAAAACAACATCTTCTACGAGGAGACGACACATGACCGTATCGTCGGGATCTTGAAGAGCTACAAGGACCAGGGCTTCGGCTATCTTGACGCTTGCACCGAACTGTCGCATGTCTTCCTGCGCATGCTCGAACGGTATTCCAAGGAGAACGCCGACTTGCAGATTCGGTCACGACGGAGAGCCAGGAGAAAGCGGAAAGAAGCCCAAAGGCAAGCTGCACAGCCTGGAGACGACCCGATCATGGACGATGATGAGAAATCCGAAAATGAAGACATTGCCGACGTCATTCAGGTTTCCAAGGAACGCAAGTTTGACTTCAACCGCTTCGCCGCAAAGTTCGCCTCGCAGGCATCGGTAAACACTTTTGTGTCACTTCTCTCGTTTTATCGAGATCTCACTTCTGACCAGCTCAAACGAGCACACCGGTTCTTGTACCGAGTGGCATTCAAGCAGGACCTTGCGGTGCTGCTTTATCGTGTGGATATTGTCGCGCTATTGTACAAAATCGTGAACGGCCCCGATGGTCTTGACAAGAAGAACCCAATGTATAGAGATTACTCTGAGCTCTCTCGCCAGCTGTTCAAGAAAATGTTCAAAAAAATCGATCAAAGACCCGAGCTGGTGGTCGAGATGCTTTTCAGCAAGATCCCGGCAACGCTGTATTACCTTGAATTCGGCCATGAAAAACAGACCATCGCGGCAAGTCGTCCTCCAGTAGACTTGGAGATCAGACCAGCGCCGGGCAGGGATGTCAAGGAGCAGATCGGCATCGTTGTGACTGTACTGTTGAAAGACGGAAAGACTGAGCTTGTCAAGTGGGTGAAGGATGTCCTAGGCAAGGCTTTCGATGAAAGACATTCTTGGGAGGCCGAGGCTGAAGTACGAAGGGCGGCCGCACTTGAAGCAGCACAGAAGGACAACGAGTCTACAACGGACGTTGTTGATATTGGCCAACCCTCCTACATCACCGTGCGTCCCACTTCGGACGATATCAAGACAGCCATGTTCAAGAATGGTCGCCTGCGATTGTTGATGCGCCTCGTCGGCTTTGAGATGCTCGGCGATGAAGACGTACTTGGGGCCAGCTGGATCGTGCCTTCAGGTGTCACTTCGGAAAAGCTGGCAGAGTCAAAGCTTGCAATTGAACGATACGAGTCAACACCATGGCAAGGGGATGATGAGAACGAAGATGCCGAGGATCTGATCCGACGTGCTAGAAATAAGGACAAATCCACCAGAGACAGCGGAGACGACGCATCGGCACCTCGAGATGCCTTTATCGATGACTCAGAAGGCGAGGAGGAGTTCCTGTTTCCCGACAACCCACGGAAGAAAAGAACGGCCAAGAATATCATCGAGGAGCTCAAGGCTCGACGCAAGAAAAGAAAGCGTGGTGACGACGATGAAGACGGGGAAATCGATGAAGCACTCGCTGCACAGAGGAGAGCAGAGCGTGAAAAGGCAGCCAGGGCACGCCGGCTCAAGATCAAAAGTGAAGCTTATATCCGGGACAGTGATGATGAATCCGACGAGGAGAAAGACCGACTCTTCTTTGAAAGGGAAGAGCAGTTGCGGAAGAACCAGGCGGAGAATATTCGCAAACAGATGGCGCTGGATCGAGAGGACCAGGCTTCGAAGACGCAGAAGAAGCGCAAGCTGGCGGCGACGCTGCAAGAAGAGAGCGAGGACGACCTCCTCATGCAGGATATCGACGATGGACACGCCGAGACAGCTTCGAAAACGCAGGAGAAGCGCAGGGAGGTGGCACCGCGGCAAACTCGAAGAATACATGAGGACAGCGATGATGATCTTCTCATTCTGGACATCGACGACGGACACGCCGAGCCAGCTTCGTCGCAGACGCTTCGAAAGTCGGATACGGAAGCCGAGGAAGACGACGAAGATACCCCTTTATCCTCACAGAGTTCGGCTACAGTCAAGCCATCATAGAACAGCACTTTACAACACCGTCACATGAACGAGGACAAACGCTGGATATGAACCCATATACCATGTCAGTCTTGATTCAACGATCGGCTGAGAGACGGCTGTGCGAGAAACTACCTTACCGTTCGAGAGCAGCTTTTCTGGAAGTGACCGGCGAGTTTCCGTCCACACTTCGAGTTTTAGAAATCACTACAATAAGGAACATGCCGTGGTGGAATGGTTGGCATGCCAACTTCTGCCGGTTTCCAGACCTTTTGATCCCTCTTGTACCTCATTCGATTATTCTGTACTTGAACTGCTTTATGATAGATACCCCGTTGCCTGCTTTCGTTGGTCCTGAAAAAGAGGGACGGGCGTCGAAGATATTGAAAGGTGGAATGGCCAAGAGCGGGCTGTGGATGTCGTGCATGATCATGACTCTGGAGATAGCATTATGGAAGATTTTACATGGGAAGGCTGAAGTTTCCTAACCAGCCTTAGTTTCATTGTCTATGATACCTATGAGAAGAGGTGTCCAACCGCCGTTGTACCATGACCCAACAATCAGACTCCTACATGTGCCCGCGCAGCAGCCCTGAATCGTTGGTTTGGCCCACGCGAGTCAGCCTCCTTCGTATGGGATCGGTCGCTGGGCCGAGATGAAGGTTAGTCAGCCGGTAGTACTTCTCGGTTAGTTTTACGTGCCTCCTCATTGGTTGCCTTTGAGGGTTGTTTGTTCTGTTTGTACAACACTGCATACCCCTCGTGAGGACAATCCGGGGAAGACGCCGAGGAAGAGGACCCTCGAGTCTCATGAGCATCTTTTATCTTCGGGGGATCGGTGTCGGCTGGCTTGGTTCTCTTGCTGTGCCTCCTCTTCCTCTCTGTGGGTTGATTTTAATATATTCTTGCATACCTCGTTGGGATTGTTGGTCCTACTACTGGAGTGACACACCATACGATACTAAAAGTTGATTTGTCTGGCCGGTCACAGTTGTACCAAGGTTCTCCCCATATCATTTGTACAGTTTGATCAGAAAGACTATTGCTCGCCAATATGGTTCAGGAGCCCCGTTACCTCGAGTTCGCCCGCTCAGACGAGGCCACCGGCATCGATGGCAAGCCCATGCTCAATCGCTATTCAACCCATCTGACCAGAGGCCATGACTTCCCGGGGGCCCAAGCAATGTTGTACGGCGCCGGAGTCCCCGACAGCCTTACCATGAAAACGGCTCCTCATGTCGGCGTGGCCAGTGTATGGTGGGAAGGCAACCCCTGCAATATGCATCTGCTCGACCTGGGCAAGGAGGTCAAAAAGGCTCTAACCTCGCGCGGCATGCTCGCATGGCAGTACAACACTATCGGAGTCAGCGACGCCATCACCATGGGTAACCAAGGAATGAGGTTCAGTCTGCAAACCCGCGAGATCATCGCGGACTCTGTGGAAACGGTGACATGTGCCCAGGCTCACGATGCAAACATTACCATCCCTGGATGTGATAAGAACATGCCTGGCTGTATCATGGGTATGGCGAGACATAACCGGCCCAGCTTGATGATCTACGGTGGTACCATTGACAAAGGCTATTCCGAAACCCTGCGTAAGCCCATCAATGTTGCGACTTGCTATGAAGCATTTGGGGCATACCACTTCAACACTCTCCGGCAGCCAGACGATGGAGGTGACACGTCGAAGACAAAGGATGAAATCATGGAAGATCTCGAGCGTCATGCCTGTCCTGGTGCAGGAGCGTGTGGCGGCATGTACACGGCCAACACGATGGCCACTGCCATTGAAACCATGGGCCTGTCTTTACCGGGCTCAAGTTCGACTCCGGCCAGCTCACCTGCCAAAATGCGTGAGTGTGCTAAGGCGGCCGATGCGATCAAGATCTGTCTGGAGAAGGACATCACCCCTAAACAGCTACTGACCAAGAAATCCTTTGAGAATGCCTTGGTCATCACAATGGCATTGGGTGGCAGTACCAATGCCGTCCTCCATTTTCTCGCCATGGCAGTCACTGCAGGCGTGGATCTGACGCTCGATGATTTCCAGCGTGTGAGCAACAAGATTCCATTCCTGGCAGACTTGGCGCCCTCTGGCAAATACTATATGGCCGATCTATATGAGATTGGAGGGGTTCCCAGCGTGCAGAAACTGCTCATTGCCGCTGGACTTTTGGATGGCGACATCCCCACAGTTACTGGTAAGACGTTGGCGGAGAACGTTGCCAGCTGGCCCAGTCTGCCGAGCGATCAAGTCATCATCAAGAGTCTGGACAGCCCGATCAAATCCAGTGGTCATATCCAGATCCTTCGCGGCAACTTTGCCCCGGCAGGCGCTGTGGCCAAAATCACAGGCAAGGAAGGTCTTCGATTCACTGGCAAGGCCAGATGTTTCAACAAGGAAGCCGAGCTCAACGACGCACTGAACCGGGGAGCTATCCCACGTGGCGAGAATCTGGTCCTGATCGTCCGCTACGAAGGCCCGAAAGGAGGTCCGGGAATGCCGGAACAACTCAAGGCCAGCGCCGCCATTATGGGCGCAAAACTCACTAATGTCGCTCTAGTCACGGATGGTCGGTACTCTGGTGCCTCGCACGGTTTTATCGTCGGCCATGTGTGTCCTGAGGCTGCCGTGGGCGGACCAATCGCCTTGGTCAAAGACGGCGATGAGATCACTATTGATGCCGAAACGAATACTATCTCGATGGACGTCAGTGATGAAGAACTTGAGCGCCGTCGGAAGGACTGGAAGCCTCCCAAGCCGGTGGTAACGAGAGGTGTCCTGGCAAAGTATGCCGCCTTGGTCGGCGATGCCAGTCACGGCGCTGTTACGGATCTATTTTGAAGTGGCAGTAGGAGACTTGGGTAAGTCGGTGATAGGGACACACAGTAAGCCCGAACGGTGTACACTATGACAGGGCCGTGCAGTTGTCGCAAGATGTTGAATATCGAAACGACACAGTATAAGCGCGACTAACAAGATTACAAAATTGCAGGAAAGGAAAAGCCGGCGATGTGTGGACAGGTATATATATCCACATTCCATATATTCTCATGACTTGAGCCAGTTCCAAACTTACCTTTGCCATCATTCACTGAGAGCTCACGTGGCTGATCTCTTAGGTCCTTGCCACTCACTACCTGTTTTGAATTAGGTGCCTGGTTCTGCCTGTTTTCGGAATATGCTTCTTGCAAAGCCTCATACCAAAAAGCTTAAATATTGATCAGCACGAGGACTTCTTTCAACCCTAGGCTCAACCCCGGACTGCACTCTTTAGTGCTCCATGTGAATCTTTCTTCCGTCAACCCGCATGTGGAATAGGCTGCAGGCTATCATCCCCTTTGGTATATCCCGTCCTATCCCTTCATAGGGGCTTAACGGCAAAGCAGTTGTGCTGCTGCTCCTTACCCCAGCACCAGATCTGGGCCGGTCATCATACCGAAGAAAATCTGTGAATCTACAACCATCACTTCTTTGGTTGGACAGTCACCAATTTGTCTGCCTAGCTGCGAACTCAGCCTCGTCACCATAAAACGCACGCTTTAAAGCCGCTGGGGCTTGATGACCACGCACACCACCAGCGGCTCTCTATTTCGGTCTTGTTATTGATGGATTCATTTGTGTTGAGAGCGTCTTGACGGATCTGAACGGAAAGACTACCTTCTTCTTTCACTTCTTCTCCTCTTCTCTGCCTGACGTTCCTCTTCCTCTCCCGACTGCAACTTCACAATCTGCAAAGTCTACCACCATCCTCCTCTCTTCCAGACCAGACAAAGGCAAAGAACGCTACATCGACATTGTCTGATAAACACGTTCATCAGAATCAGCAGATCATAATCAGTAAGTCACCTATTCCCTTCCTTTAATCCCCTTTTCCTTCTCTACTCTGCTTAATCAAATGATCTCTGACACTGACAAAACTTATATGTGAATTTGAGTTCCTACTGTGACAAGGCTAACCTAACTGTCACTCGTCCAGAAACATCAAAAGGCCAACCAAGGTCTACTCTTCTCCCACCTCCACAACCCGATACCACCACCAACGGAGCAGGGGCCTCCCTTCTCTCCGCTCCCCTTCCTCCCCATCCTCCTGCTTTGCCTCAAGATGCCAGGAGCGCTCCGCACCGTTGGTGCCCTCACCATGGCCGCCTTTGTGCTTCTGGTCGCCGCCGCCGCCATCGCTGGGGTTGTGGCCGCTGCCTCCCAGATCAGTTTGTTCATAACGAGGGGGATTTGGCTGTTGCTTGGGCGGAAGCCTCTGTTTTGAAAGAGCCATATGCGTCTGAGAGTATATCTCCCAGCTTTGACGATGTGACGAGAGACAGAAACAGAACCCTGGTGTCACTCATTGTTTCTGCGGTCGCCTCCTCGTTGCTATGCTATGCACTGACTTATTACCCTTGCTCCAGCATCCGGTCCTCTCTGAGCCCGAGAAGCAGGAGCGGTGGCTCCGGCGGCTCTGGGAGCCCCTCCCGTCCTTCTTTGCTCAGGTGCGCTCCGTCATTCTTCTACTTCGTCCTGCGTCCCGATGACATCTGCATCGTCTCTATCCTGGTTCAGATTACCTTGCGAACGGAGTGTGAAGCAGCAGTAGCGGCGCAGGCATTCTCCGTTATCCTCCTTTTCTCTTCTTTCTCACACGATTGCGCAATACTTCTTGGTGTGTAAATAATTCAATGCTTCTGAGAAGCTAACATGTATTCTCTGCATGGCAGTGCCAGTGCCTCTCCCTCACTCACCAATGTTGCTCTAAAAAGCTTTGGATGGGGCTCCGTCCTTCCCGACGAACAGAACAGACAATCCAACGAGCAGGTGGCCGGATCAGCGGACTTGCGGGTGGGACCAGAGCTGCCAACAGTGGTTTAGCAGCGAGGAAGAGAGGACGCTTTGCTTGCTTGTTCTTGCTTGCTTCGGAGGCGGGCACCTGAGATACTCCAGCATCAGAGTTCTGTCCATTCACTTAACATTGTCTCATCTCATCTCGTCTGGACATCCGCTGCAGTGTGTCGCCCGCCAGTGGCAATTCCACCCGTTTCGTTTGATCGACATCGCCTCCCTTGGTTCTGACTTCTGTTGCGGACCCGGTGCCCTCTGCTGTCCCATTGACTACCTCCGTTGCCATTGTCGTCGCTCTTCTGTTGTGGTATCGTATCGTCGGTATCGTCATCATTATCATTGCCGTTGCGCAAAGGCTGTCCGCAGCCCGCCTCTGGCTGCCATGGTGTGGACAACCTCGCTCGGATTGAGCGGCAGCGGCTTGTTGTAGTCGACCCCGTTTTGATCTTTGTGACTGCGGAGATCCGGTCGAACGAGCCATCAAATGCCAGTGCAGCTGCACAGGGCGCCTTTCTCCTTGGGCGGAGTCGAGAAAGTACAATAGTGACCGTAGGAAGTATTACTAGCAGCTACAGCAAGTGATGCTTTGCTGATCACTGGCAGTGCACAATGTCAAGTAAGGTATCTCATTGTAGCCGCTTCGCTTCCTGGGTATCAATTCAATCAATAGTACATAACATACAACGAGTCACGTCCTGTATTCACGACGGTGACCGCAGGCCTCATCTCATGGGCGCAATGCAAGCAGAAAGTACCATGTACCTCGTCATTTCCGATCAAGGACCCTTCCCAGCACCGCCAGTCATAAACCGTCTAGCGGTCCAAGCACTTCCATGTTCCAAATATTCTTCCCTCGTGACGCCGTATTCTCTAACCGTTGCCGGAAACCGACTAGCCAGCCTTGCCCCGCCGAGCCAAGTGGACGTGATGGGATCATTCATCTTGCGCACCCGAACCATCCATTCAGTCTTGACCCTCATGCGCAGCTCGGCCTGGATGCGCTCGACAAAGCCTGGAATCTTGGCGTTCCCGCCCACCACCAGCACGTTGCTCAGCATTGTGGCCTGGACCAGCGGAGGCAGCACCGAGAGCGATTGCATGACAATATCGGGGATTCCGGGCTGTTTCGAGCCAATGTCACCCGGAGAAAATAGGATTTCTGGGACGGTGAAGCGCTCGTTGGCCAGTGTCATTGAGATCTCGGCATCGCTTTGACCTGCAAGCATGGCTGTTTGCTTGCGCTTGCGTGCCGCTAGTGTCGGGTCGTAAGGGCGACTGAAGCCTCGTAAGATGTTTATGCCGTCGGGAAGAATGTAATCTAAACGAACGTCGATCTTCTGACTGTCTTCGGACGACAGAGCATTCGGGTCGCGATGAACAGCTTTCCTGTTTCCCTTCCAGGTCTGTTCGAGATGACGGTTGAAATCCTCGCTGACAAAACACACATCCTCTTTGATGTCGTTGACGATCTTAGTGTCTTGATGTAGATCGAAGTGCCGTACGGAAATAACTTCTTTAAGCAGATTGGTCAAGTGCTTGCCTCCAAAGTCGAGGCGGCGGATGGCTCGATGGAGCGGCCGACCTTTGAACAGTGGCGTAATGGTAGTGTGGCTGTACCCGCTGTCGATGACCAGGAGGCACTCCATGGGCTGCTGCTGGTCGCCTGATTCGGTGGCAGCCGGGTGGACTTGTTCTTCTTCAAAGAGAGGATGGAGATCATTATAGGCGTTAAGTGACGGGCCTACTCGAATTGGTCAACACACTGCACACGATCGCTTCTACACTGCTAGTAGATCTTCTGAAGCCCTACCTACCAATCACCCTGGAGTAGCCACCAAACCCCCATTCTTCCATGATGATCTCGTCGGCATTCTTCTGTAAAGCCGGCATGGTATTCGGTGGCTCGGTGAAGATGAGGGTCGTGTTCGCCGGGTCCGCAACAAAAACATCCTTCGTCGCCGTCCGCTCATCGAAGAAGGTTTGATCCCAGATTTCCTTTTGTGCCTCCCAGCTCACAACCTGGCCGTTCTCCACCGGCCTCCGGAACAGTGCCTCGCTCCAATGTGTGATTTCCTCCGTGTGCGCCCCAACGTATATCTTTTTGTCGCGAGTTCGGACGAGCGTGTTGGGGAGGGTACGGCATTTCGGCAGTGCTTCGGTATCTGCCACTGCTTCCGAGGGAGCGAAGCCTGCTTTGATGCTGTAACCTCCATTGTCGAGAACGAAGGTGGTGGACGGCAGCCCGGGAACGCTTCGCGCAGAAGCTCTTGAACCGCGTGGCATCGTGGCACTCTTATTTTCACGTCATTGTGGTCCTCTGGACCTCCGACACGGGAAGGGACGAGGAAAGGGTGGCGGTCTGCAAAACGGTTGCGTGAACGGTAGATTCGGAGTTCATACAATTGTTGTCGAACTGCGCCGGCCATAATCTTGAATAGTAGGATACAGAGAATCACAGAACCTCATGATGAAAGGCCTGGACACACGCTCATGGTTTCCTAATTGGTCAGCCTTGACCACCTGCATTTCTCACGCTAGTACTTTGCAACTTCATCGTTCAAGAAGTGGACCTTGAGCTCCACAAGACGATCGGATTTTCGGGGTCGAGCATAACGAGCCCGAAGAATGCGCAGGCACGCTGAAAGGTAATACTCTACAACGATGATGGCCCTTCCACGCTTTGCAGGATGAAGTACAGCCACTGCCAACCTGCTTGCCGGGCGCCTCGTATGGTATTACTTTCCCAAAAACATGGAGAGCATTCTGTGTGGCATCATGATGACAGGTAAGTCTGTTCTACAGTATGGTCACAAGATGATGCCAACGCTTCAAGGGCGGCCACAAAGAATCTGGGTAATAAGTGGTAAAAAGTTGTCAATTTGATGCCTTATCTTTTGCAAATACACAATTCCTCTCGCAATCGACCATAGGATTGAGAAAACAGCGCTTCCCGTTCGCTCAGCGGTACTTAAGCTCAATGCCGGTCAGTTAGTACTAAAGTGGGTGACCATTTGGGAATCCTGACTGTCGATTGTTTTTGCATTTTTGTATTCTGCCCTTTCCAAGGCAGGACCAGTTGGTTCAGCATCGGAGAGATACACGGCCACATCCAGAGCGCTCGGTTGCATCGCAATGCAGAATTAAAACAGCAGGCACGTGCTCCAATTGTGGCAAGAAGTTGAAATGATATCGGACGCTGGCACCGCCCAGTGTCACGAAGACACAGCGTGTGATGTGCACCAAGAATGATCGCAGCGATGAGCATGTGTATGTCAACGACCTCGACACGTCCACTGGTTTCATGGTGAGACAGCGACTGGCATTTCATTATCAAGGTATGAACATCGTCTAGCCACCAACATACGTCTTATTTTGTGAGATTTCCTTCCTGAAGGTTTTGAGGCAGTCAACCACCCATTGCCTACCCAGATCTATGATTACGCCACGAGCAAGTTCACATTATCACGGTACCTTGCCAGCATAACATGGTGATTTATTTTATACACACGTCTTCGCCATGTTCACCCTCAATCAGCTTACCCACCACCGATCATTTGACCTTCGGAAAGCTTGTCCTAGTTGCTTCGCTTGCCTGCGACTCGCTTACCTCCGGCTTCAACTGGTCGGTGATATTGCGCTCATCCTTCCAAGCGGCAGCAACAAACTTTGTATGGCTTCCCCGGGCCACGATTTCGTTGTTTTTGTTCATAAACCTGACCGCAGTATACGCGAGTGTCTTTCCAACTGTGGGGAAGACGATCAGATCGGTCAGCTGAAACTAAAAATGGAAGGGCCTCCTACATTTATCACAGACCACTTCACCCTTGAGCAGGTCGCCTACTTTTCCGCCCGAGTTCAAGTAGGTCACGCTCAGATCCGTTGAAACACCTGTCGAATAAAGGCCGCGAGAAGCGAGAGCAAGGGATCCGCTGGTGTCGACTATCGTCGCAAGGGTCGCACCGTGTAATATGCCTAATCGGTTCGTGTGTTGCTTCTCAATGGGTAGTTCGAAGTTGACTTTGCCGGGCTCGGCGGCTGTTATTTTCAACTAGACCACCAGAAAGAGTTAGAAAAAGAGAAGTGCTTCGACCCAGTCTGCCTCAGGAGTTGGAACAAAATATGTACTTACGCCGTCAATCAACCTGTTGGATGATGGTCATTGATTAGCGAACCAAACTTGTTCAGGGTCCGGTGACGCTTACCGCGGCTCCACGCCCGAAGTGGCACGAAACGACTCCCATACCTGAATCGTCAGGATCTATTTCGCCGATTGTTCGTGGTAGTTCAACATACCGATCGCACGAACTTCAATGCCGCCATGGTTGTCTCAGGATTGAATTCCGGCCACTCTTCGGCCTATCAACTGCTCAGGTCCCAGACTCCGCGGCAGAAGAACGGCAAGCCTCACGCCTTATCGTCCGGTACAAAAGAAATACTGCGGCGAAGGAAGAAGGAGGAGGCAGAGCTGCACGGACTCCTAGTATGTCGTCCTCAGTCATGATTGTCACGCCGCGATGGCAGCATTGGAAGTTACTTGCTTCTATTGCTGCGTGAATGCTTCTCCGTACTATGACGAGACGGCTTAGTAAGCCCGAGTCCAGCGATCTTATCGCCACCAAGTGGTAGTATTTTGATGGAATTCCTCTTCTACCATTCCTTCAGGTTGTTCTTGGCGGTACAAAACCCTCCCCATCCCTCCCTTTCTGCGAGATGCAGCTCCTCTTTGGGATACCGGATGGCTTCCTGTAACCGGGCATCGTAGGCATGATGTCGTTCCAGGTATAGACATATTGCCTGCCCTTGAAGGATGGCTCGAGCAGAATTCCACCACCGTCCCCGACATATTTTGGCGAACCAGTATGCAAGCATGAGCATGGCCCATGGATCTTTCATCTCAAGCAACGCTTTGAAACCTGGGTCAACGTAGCCAATGAAGGCGAGGAACTTGAACCAGGTAGAGTCATCACAATCGAGGTGAAGCACGGTTGCCATATATCGTACGGTTCTGCGGTAGGGGTTGACCCTTGCTGGTGCGAGAATATCCTCACCACCATCTGGATCATCTTCACAGAGGTGGTCGAACACACAAGGTCTGCGTTCTCTGGCCTCAATGTCTTCGATGTGGTTCCGGGAATATAGGTGGCCCAGGGCTCGAAAGACACTACCTGTCCGGAGTGGGTTGGCCAGCCTCCACACAGCTTTTTTCCCGTCACTCAGGTTCAACCAGTTAAAGTCGCCATCCCCCAGAGGCCAGATCTCCTCTATCGAGGTTGCCTCTAGGAGAGCAAAGGTGATGACGCCAAGTAGAGTCGCGGCTACAATCAGTGCGTCGCGGTCTTCATCTCGTACAGGGTTTGAGAGCTTATACTGCAACGCGCTCACCCCTTGGGTCATGTGGTACAGCTCTGTCGGGCTGCGTTTGGAAGTCGCCAGTCCCATTAGGTACCGATCCTGGGCCATGGTCATTGTTTGGATAATGTGCATGACAAACCGATGTTGACAGGCGACCTCGACTATTTCCTTTTGAAAGTGATAGCATGTCCCCCTGGTGCCGAGACTGAGAACCGTCCGTGTTTGGAATCTATACATCCGAGCCAGGTCGGAGTAGTCAAACTGGCCCGTCGCGTATATGCTGGACATGGCAGGGCTCGTGTCCATTTGGAGGGACGCGTTGATGGTTTCGAGAATGGGTCCGTTTCCTGACAGAGTGGATTTCTCAAGGGTGGCATCATTGATGCAGCCGACCTCTCGAACACCAGCCCGCGGCTCGAGGTCAGGTACGTCCGGACCATAGTTACATATAACCCCGAAATCGATACACTTTCTGCACTCGGGCTTCTTCTCGTCGCATTTGACCCGGCGAAGCTTGCAATTGCGACAGCCGAGTCTTGACTTAGAGTGTGCTTTGCGTTTGCGACTCGGCACCTCTTCACCCTCCAGAGGGTCTCTGGTTTTCATGGAAATGGTCATGCTTTGATCATTGAGACGATCTGCACTTTTCATTCGCGGCTTGGATTGCCTCGGACGGCCACAAATAGTTTGTATGAAGCAATACGAGTGAAGGTAAGACTGTCATTGTGAGCGTCAAGAAGGAGGTTCTGGTTCATCTACAAGAGGTCAGAAGCGTGAAATCAGTCTCGGAGTTTATGACGTTGGTCCGTGTCCGGCAGTCATGCTCAGAGAACTGGATACCACTACTGCATGGGCCTATAGCAGAGTTGAACTGGAGGATCTCTCTTCTCATTCGATGATGACTGTGGCTCGGGCAGGACACGCTAACCCTTGCTCGTATTTCACGTTCTCAGGCAGCAGCCAAAGGTCATGACGGTGAGAAGAAAGGATTGAGGTTTGTATGAGTAGGGACGGACCATTCAAGACCTGATGCCGGGATGATCTGGGCCACTGTCAAGAATGTACAGTGTTGTATTGTTTGTTCTGCGCAGAGAAGTATGAATGTGAGATGAAAGCCCATATTCGTCTTCCGCTAGAAGCGGCGCCCAAGTCCAGGTCTGAAGCAGCGTGATAAGTTGTCCTAACTGGAAAGTATCCAATATCTCTTGGCATCGACATCTGCCTCAACTACCTACCTTGATACTACTACGGGCACCGCATGTGCTGTTTCTATCCGACTTTAAGATCAAGTCACCCGTCGTGTGCTGCCTCCAACATTGATTGATTCCCTCAACTATGCTTTGGCTAACCTGGACGTCTCCATAACTGCTTGGATGGACGTAGAGGTTACAGTTGCTGTCGCTCGCCGCCGTCGCTGGCATTTCGAGTCCTGATCCCGACCGTGGCCGCGTCGCTCACGCTTCAACAATGGCAGATACAACGCTTCAGTCATGGGAGTACTTGGAAACTCTTCCAGGAACGCAGTTTTACCGGCTATACCGCAGCCCGGCATCTGCACTGGCGATTTTCCGCAAGCGGCTGACGAGTCTGGCCAAGTCGTTCGTCATGATGCTTGTATACATGCCTGCACCAGTACCGGTGAAACAACTGGAGCTTTTTGTCAAGGACACAAGCCGCGGAGAGCGGGAATACGCCATTGACCTGCTTCACCGCTACCACATCTTCAAGGATGTTACCTACAACGGCGCAAAGGCGTACGCTTTGACCCCGGACTTTGCAAAGTCACTACGGCGCGCGTTGACCGGTGCAGGTGACAGCCGGTCTTTCGGACAAGTGGCCACCAACGTCCCGGAGGACCAAAAAGTGACCATTGCACAACTGGACGAGTACGCTCGGCAACGATGGGAAGGCATCTTGGGATACATGGTGGGGTCGTCGTCCATTCTGCTGGAGAGCGGGACGACGGAGAACCAGGCCTCGATCCAGCCGTCGCCGGGCGTCATTGAGCTGCTCAAGGCGGGCCACCTGATCGAATTAACTGGAACGTACAGTCGGGGGCAAGCGGCCAAGATCACCAAGGAAGGATTCGCCTTTGTGCTGCAAGACATAAACACGCAGATTTGGGCCTTATTGTTTCTCTACGTCGACAACGCAGAGGTATTTGAAATGGACAAGGTCGATGTCCTGTCATTTTTGTTCTTCGTGTCATCCCTCGAACTGGGCCTGGCATATTCCACCGCACCTCTCGACGAGACCCAGTCACGATGTCTGTCGGACCTGGTCTCCTTCGGTATAGTGTACCAGCCACTATTGGAGGACGGCACGCCCGTCGACTACTTTTACCCGACACGCCTAGCAACGACCTTGACCTCTGATTCGAGTACCACCCTCTCCGCCACAAACACGACGCTCGCCTCTTCCCTGTCAACGAAATCAGCACACTCATCCTCCTCCTCATCAGCCGGCGCAGGCAAAGGCTTCATCATTGTCGAAACAAACTATCGACTCTACGCATACACATCATCGCCACTTCAAATTGCTTTGCTATCTTTGTTCGTCAACCTGCGATCCCGCCACCCCAATTTGGTCACGGGCAAAATGAGCAAGTCGTCCGTCCAGCGCGCCATCCAAGCCGGCATCACCGCCGACCAGATCATCTCGTACCTCACCTCCCATGCACACCCGCAGATGCGCCGCCACGCACAGGCCGAACAGGCCCGCAACGCCGACCCCAATCGCGTCGTGCCCATCTTGCCCGCCACCATTCTCGACCAGATCCACCTGTGGCAGCTGGAACGTGATCGTATGACCACCACCCCGGGCTTCCTGTTGAAGGATTTCCCCAACCAAGCCGACTATGAAGCCCCCTGTCGCTATGCCGATGAGATCGGTGTCCTGGTCTGGAAGAATGACAAGAAACGCATGTTCTTCGTCAACAGGATCGAAGGGGTTCGCGCTTTCATGGCTGAACGCCGCGCAAATGCCCAAGGCTGATGATGGCACATACACATATATCGTATCGAAACCGTAAGCACGAGCGCGACGTCTCGAAGGCTGAGAAAACCACACACTCTACATACAGTACAACCCGCGTTGATGTCAGCCGTGTCTGCCACCGTCCTGCAAGTCACAGCACTGCCTAGGAGAGTCCACCCCCTCCACCCTTTACGAAGATGTACGTGCAGGAGAAGGGGGGAAAGCAGCTCGCACCTACACCGAACAAATGTAGCAGCCAATGGAGCAGGCGGAAGGAGACGGAAACTGGAAGCAGGGTCGGGTCCGGCGCTCGAAACGGCGGCAAACAGGCATTGTGCTGTCCCGGCCGAAACGAGCTTACTCTCGTCGAGGCAGTCCGTCTTCACCACACCTCGTGATGGATGCCTTCCCCAAACCCAGCCAATTTACGGCGCAGAGACCATGGAAATGTCTCTTAAAGCCTATTACTGAGAGAAGGAGGGGAAACGTCATGTTCAAGGGGCGTCAACATTGAGCTAAGGGGAGCAGAAGTGGATGTGTGCTCCTCTACTTTTATTTTTATCCGCCCACAATCTGGGCCTTTTCCCTCGATCCTTTGCACACCGCACACCCGCCGACCTCCATGATCTTGTCCTTCAAAAGCCTTGCGTTTGTGACTTTAGGTCCAACCGACCTGAGGAAGCGGGTCTCGTCAAAGCCAGCATCGTTGTCCTGCTGCTCCTTCTGTGCAGGCTGCGGTAGGAGCGTCTCGTCACCTTCGGCCTCCGGGCCATGTAACAGATGAGAGACGTGGTAGATATGCCCACAGGCAAATCCAACAAGAGTCTCTGTTTCTTCCTGGTGGAAAGCCCTATGACACGAGGCGCAATGTCCGGATTGGAGTTCCGGTTCTGCGGGTTGCTGCTCTACTCGCTGCTGCTGTTGTTGCTGCTCCTCAGCCGCAGTACCACCTATCGATGGGGTCACTTGTACCTTTTGACGATGATGATAATGATGACTCGGCGGTGGCGCAACGTCGAATTTAATTCCTTTCCTCCGCCCTCGACGCAATATATCCATGGCATCCGCGACCTCGCTGCTCAGGACGCGGGCGACGCCCGAGCTGATGCTGTCCTGCAGGTCATATTCGCGGATCATTTTCTTCAAGCCGTCTTTCAGGCCCTCGACCTCCAAGCCAGACGGGATTCTCTTGACCAACGTGATCGGGTCGATGGCGGTGCCGACCTCAGCCAACAGGCCAGAAATAAAGCGCGGGCGTGACATGCTATATTCCAGTAGATCGTCCCACAACCCTTGATCGTCCTGCTCCTTTGCGAAGGCGATGGCTTTGGAAACATCCTTGAGTTCGTTGATAATCAAAAACAATGCCTTTTTCATCTGACCGGTCTTGCTTAAGAGATAGACCAGCTCTTCAATGTAATGCTTTTGCTCGCATATCTTGACGGCCTCCTCGAATGTGTATGCCGTGGACGTCTGCAGGAATTCCATCAGAAGATCGCGCCCGTACTCGGCAAATAGTTCGACGGCAATATCGGCGAATTGCTCGACCAGCTGTTTGCCGGCGTCTGCAACCAAAGATGTGACGGCGGCGGAGTGACCGACACGAGGAAGGGCAGAGGTGTTTTGCGTACCATCGCCCCGCCAGAGAGCCTTGAGGTAGAAGTACAGGAATCGTCGCAGTCGAGGGGTGTCCAGCTGCGCGACGACTTCGTCCGGCTCAACCACTCCTGCGGTTGCTTCGTCCACAAGAACCTTGATAGGATCCGAGGCCAGCTCCTCCAGCTCCTCGATAGAAGCGGATTCCAGTTGAGAAGGCGAGATGCGAAGCATGACAAACTCGGCAACATCGTCAGCTACCGCGTTGACCAAATGATGCTCCTTGATCAGCGACATAGCTGTGTCTGCATCCTGAAGGCTGATGTAGCATTTTAAGGCTTCATCGTAGTGCCCATCTGCAAGGTACAACTTGGCCAGGCAGTCTTGAAGGATTCGCCAATCTTTGGACCCTTTGGCCACACCGCGGCCGCGAAGTTGGTCTTCAATTGCGGTTGTAATGCTGCCGATCTCAAACAGATCCGATGGCCAATGGTCAAGCAACTCTTTAAAGCGTACTCTGTCGGTCTCGACATAATGTCCAAGGATTAGTTCAAAGATCGAGGATGGTAGTGGAGGTGTCAACTCCAGTGTAGGTACGTGAGGCGAAATCTCGTCGAATTTTTTGTTCTCGATGAAGATCCAGATCCAATGTTCCCATCGGCTGGTGGTGTTGAGCACTTTGGCAGCTACTTCACCGGCTTCGGCCCACTGGTTTGCATCGATCAATTGTTTGAGCCACAGCTCGCCTACGCGGCGCTTTTCTTTCTCAGCAGCCGAGTACTTTGGTTTTGCTTTGTTCTGCGCAGAGCTGGTGATTGAGGCAGAGTCCGCAAAGAACTCGGCAAGCGTAGCCTCTTGCCGTGCCTTTGTTGGACTAGCGGGAGTGATTGAGCTGGACCTTGCAAGGGAGCTTGTCTTTGATGGAGTAGGCGGTGACGAGGACTCTGAAGGTTCTGCCGTGGTTCCAGCTGCCTCGGGATGTTGGTCGACCAGTTCCCAGGCTTCTTTGTATTTCTTGACACTAAGCAACCACTGCAGCCGATCATTGAGGTTGCGTCTGACCGCCACAATACAATCGTACGGGCTGCAGATGAAAATCTTCATGTTCTGAGCAGTTACCACGCCGTTGGTGTCTTCACTGGGATGGGGCTCGCTAGACCCAAACCCCGGAAGCCAGCCTGTGAGATAGTGCCGGTCTCGAGTGCTTCCCGTACGTTCGGGGCCGCTCATACCACTCCTGGTACTCTCAGCGCCGCTAAACAGCCGATTTGCGCCCAGCATTCGAGGCCCATACATTGTGGCATCCCACATGCCTTGGCCGACCGTCTCGACTCCAGTATACAGACTCGTGCCCATGGTGCTCATGCCGGAGCCTATTGTGCCAAGGTACCCTTTCTGAGCAAGTGCTGCAGGTATTCGGACCGGAGGGAGCACGGAAAGATGATAGTCCGAAGATGAAAGTGTCTCAAATCGACTCATGGTTAGGGTGTCGGTGTCGACTTCTTCCTTGGTATTAATGTCCACCAAACGCAACTCCGGCTCTAATGCATTGTGTCGGGCGCGCCGTCCTCGTTTGGATCCTTCGTTACCCTGGGATGGTGACTTGTCCTTTTTCTCCATATATGCAAGCACTAAAAGCAGACTCGGGGTATAAAGCGAAACTCCAGATATTGTACAGTCATCAAATCGTATACTAAGTCAGCGTCAGCGAACGGTCCCAAACCCTACCCTCCGAAAACACCAAAGACTCACATCGTAGCGACCTCTGCGCGACCAATTTTGTTGTCACTTCCACTCTCGGCAGATCCAGGATAGACTTTGAGAAGCCATATCGAATCACCCCAACCTACCAAGATTTCCTCCACTCTGGCTTTGACGGGCGCGCCGTTGGCTGGGGATGATATGGCACCGTTAGGAGAATGGTCATCGTCATTTTCCAGATTGTCTCGATCAATCCACTCTGCCCGAGCTTTCCATACTCCAGCCATCTCCTCCCAGCCTGCGCGGTTGGGCCGGTCAATGTGGCTCATTCGTTTCCATTCAAGACCGGCTTCGGCAGTTTCCAAGCTCAAATTCGACCTCATAATCTTGATTCCCTGTTCGTTAACCCAGAGAACATATTTACCAGAGAGGGACCATTTGATCGTGTTGATAATACCCTCGCCACTGTGCAACACTCTATCAGACCCGGTGTTGTGTCCGAGACCAATGGCCCCTAGCCAGCCAGATGCCGCCGCTGCGGCTCCGGTTGTGGTTGCGTTGACGCTCTTGCCTGCCTGTCCACCGGTGGTCAAGACGAGGCTTCCAGCTTGTCCTCCTGATAGGTAACTCCGGTCCGATTTGTATTCTGGCGAAAGGGCCACACTTTGCACGGGTCTTCCGAAGTTGCGAAGCTGGACATCCCGGTGGTCCACCAACGACGCAATACACACATTCCCGTCGATTGATGAGGTTGCTATATAAATCTGATTGGCAGGAATGTTGGGCACCGGCGGCTGTTGCTGTTGCTGCTGCTTCCACTTGGGTGTCGGTGAGCTTGCAGGCGACTGCTCCTTTGTAGAGGCTGTCGATGCCGCAAATCTTTGCGCTAAGTCGGGTCGAAGGCTGGGTAAGGGAGGCGTATATGGAGAGATCGAGATGGAAGATACACTCGCTGTATGCGCGTGATATGTACGCAGTGGAGCGAAGGATGGCAGGGTGAAAACGTGCTATTCAATTGTCAGCGATACACCCTGGTCGGGCGCAGGTTGAAGAGCAACCCACGATATTTCCATTATGAGTTCCCACGATCTAGAAGAGCCAGAACACGTTAGACCACATCCCACACGACTGTTTGCAGTGAAGTAGGTAAGTCAACTTGCCATCTTATCCCCGGCCACCAGGAACGTGCTTGTAGCGTCTCCATTGCGATATATCGGGCTCAGATTCCTGGTCAATGTAGCATATTTCAATCGTGGCTCTTCTTCCTCCTCGTCTTCTTCCTCCTCGTCAGCATTGTCCTCATCTTCATCTTCGTCACCGTCCTCCTCGGTCTCATCGTCGGTCGGCTCTAATACTGGGGGAGCTGCGGGATGCCCTGGCTCGACACGCGGGTCTTCGCCGTGGCCTGGCTCGGACGAGCCATCTCCAGCCGCCATCCAGACAGAGAATGTTCAAAGTCGCGTCATCAGTCGGTGTACGCTTTCCGGACGCTCACATGCGGGACGATGGGCATCTGTACAGTACCTGAGGCTAGTACTCCAGCGAACCAAAGTACAGTCCCAATGTGACCAACATCAAAGCGGCATATCGTGCATGAACCCTCCACAGTAATCTGGCTCACATAATGCTCCGGCAGATCAAATGGGTTTCCCGCCGCAGTGCGTCTCCAATGCTGAAAGTTTGGAGCTGGACTCCGAGTCTTGGATGGTTTATGAAAATAAAATCAACCAAATCGACCCTGATTCCTGACCGGCGGCCGTCCAACACGCTGCGCACTGACTGCCATGCGGCCCTCTGCCGTGCGTCCGACGCTGTGTCTAGGAACCCAATATGTCTGCTCGACATGTCGACGGGCAGGACACGAGACCCTGCGCCAACCTGGGTTCCGGCCATTACACGCATCTCCGATTTTCCAGGGTCCACGCCGGCGAGAATTCTTCTCGTCGAACCCGGCCCTGTTCAGCCAGACGGCGCAGAGAAGAGACGGTGAACAAAGACCAACTGAAACTATCACTCCGCCTTCTCCTTCGCCGGCACCTGCCACAAACGGCACAGGCACAAGTGCCGTTGTGCAGTCTTCGTCTTCGAAACGCAAGACCGCTAGGTCACCGGGGACCAAGACATCATTGCGGCGGGTCGGACTGGAAGCGCAGCGGACAAAAGCGGGGAACCTGGTTCGATCCTCAGGCTCAGGCTCTGGTCGAGAACAAGAAGACTCGGTGACGTCCAAGATCGTCACAGCATACGCGGTAGCCGAGCAATTCGACTTGAACAAAGTGGTCGAAATCCTACGGAACAAGGGGTACGAACCCGACCCGCTGGGGACAGGACTGTTCCCGCAGGTTCTGCACGTGCAGGTACCCATCTCGTCCATCTATCGATCGACGAATCCGGGAGCCAGAGACCTATCGTCCACCGAGGTCGGGGATGTCTTCATTTTCCCCTCTGGGACCGTGGTGACATGGGCGCTGCCCGAAGGGTTCACCTCGTACTTTGCAACCCGAACTCTCCTTCCCGCCGCGATCAACCCGCACCAGGAACCCATCGAGACCGAAGACCTAGATTACATCGAAGACCCTAATCGAGAACACAGCACGATTCGCGGCGACACCATCATCTTGGGAACCAAGCGACCCGACCACTCCTCTGAAAATCACGGCGGGGGTGACGACCACCAGGGACACGAATCGCAATACCAGACGGTCGACACGGTGCTCACCAAGATTGCCTTTTCCTCCGGCTTCGCGCGCAGCACCAAGCTGGCTGTCCTCGAGACAAACTTGTCGACCTATCTCGCCTCCACGGCTGACATCCCCATGCTCCTGTCCAAAGGCTCCCGGCTGCCATTTAAGCTTTCACAGCGCTTCATCCTGCGCAAGACCGGCCAACTGCTCCTGCTGCGCGCCCAGCTGAATCTCTATTCCGAGTTGACTGACTCGCTGCCCGATCTGTTCTGGGACTCGCGCCATGAACTGAACCTCGAGAACTACTATGACCAGGTCGGTCGAGCGCTCGACGTCGGCATCCGAATCAAAGTCCTCAATGAGAAGATGGACTATGCCGCCGAGATCGCCTCTGTGCTCCGAGAGCGGCTGAGCGAGAAGCATGGTTTGTTCTTAGAGTGGATGATCATCGTGCTCATTGCCGTAGAGGTCGGCTTCGAAGTCTTACGGCTGTGGAAGGAAGGGTTTTGGGAAGAGGTCTGGGAGAAAAGAAAGAAGCATGAAGACCAAAATGGCCATGAAAGGATTCTTAATGAGAATGAGACCTCGTGATATGAAAAGAAAAGAGTGTACAATCTATATAGAATGGTGTTTAGTTTGGTTCAGGTCAAAAGGCGGCCACTTTGGTTGTCTCTCACGGGTGCGATTTTATATCAATTGTTTCCACTCTGGCTGAATTCTTCCCTCCGGACTTCATGACAGTACAATTCAAACTAGTAGCTAGTGCAGACATTGCACAGCTCTAGATAAATATATAACAAAAGGCATAGAGCATGACCCAGAGATGCCCATTAACAGCATCACAAAGTGCTGAGGGGCGTACCGAATACACAAAGCAACATTACATAGACATAAGCTCCTCACAGCAGCCAGGGGGGTTGAGCGAGAAGCCGAAGATTGACCGAGAATCTCAGCCTTGCGCTAGCGGCCCTCTCTACCATGTGGAGCAAAGATGCATAACATCTTGTAGGAGACATCTACATTGTACAGTCCACAAACAGTGGAAAAAAAGAATCAGATGCCGAAGTGACATGAGGTGAATGTGAAGTCACATCAGTGTTGTCTCATACACGGCTCAGAGGACCAAGACAGCGCCTTAATCTCCTGGTTGGTGACTGCTGAGTAAAGGTACCACGGGTGGAAGTAAATGGCCCACTGATGGAAGTACAGTGGTAGAACAGAACTACGCTGCTCATCATCATAGGCTTCGAATGCTACAGACTACTACCACTTCAACTAGAGTTTCCCCCAGAAGCAAGGAGATGGAGCGGAAGACATAATTGCAAAAGCAGTTTTGTGATTTGATTAGCTACCTATTAAGGTTCCTTGACCCTGAGATCAATTGCCACCTAATGTGACGTGGAACCAGTATTAGAAGCAATAGCAAAGGGATTCAAGACCTGATCCAACCCAAGGTGTACCTGACACCGATGACCTATGGCTTCATCTTGCCGAACCAAATGGCCTAGCTTGAAGAAAACACAGATCCAGTTTCTGGTGCCCTTTGATTGGTGGTCGAATCTGTCTGTCTTTCATTAAACCAGCTAGCAGTGACTCTTTTTCGATCTCCAACTCGAGATGGTATGTCTGTCACCATTGCAAATGCCAATGAATGCATGTATGGTACATGGCAGACATAGCTGCAATGAGTGTCGGGGTATGTACAAGCCCGCGAACCTAGGCCAGAGCCAAGGCAGCCACAAGGCCGAGCAATCCGACATTGACACCCACTGTGCCACCACCATTGTTGGGAGCAAGTGGAACCCCGGTGCTAGAGGTTGGAGGGACCGAACCATTAGTCGAGGTGGTGGACACGGTGGTATGGGTTGCAGTCGAAGACGTCTCGACAACAGTGCTTGACTTGGGTGTCTCGACAGGAGTACTGGCCTTGGAGGTAGGGACTGTGCTACTCTCAACCGCGGTAGTGGAGGTGACTGGAGTAGTGCCAACAGATGGAGTGGTCACCGGAATGCCAGGGGTCTCAGCTGGAGTCTCGGTGGCGGTACCAGTAGAGCTCTCAGTGGGAGTTTGGGCAGTAGTACCAGTGGCGGTCTCTGTATTGGCGGTATTGACAGTCGCGACAGTGGTGGAGACAGTAGAAACGGTTGAGACAGTGGCGACAGTGCTACCAGAGGTTTCTGGGGTTGGGACAGGAGTCAAAGTCGCAGTGCCGACCTCGACGGAAGTAGTGCCATAACCGACAGGAGTCTCAGTGGAGAAGTAGGTGGATGCGACAGGTGGGAGTCCGTACGGAGCGCAGCTCAGGGCGGTAGTAGTAACGGTAACGGTGTCTGAGTCAGAAAATAAAGTTAGTAACTCGCCGAAAACGCATTACATTCTGGCCACTTACCACGTGGAATGAGTTTGACGAGTTCCTTGATTTCGTGAACCGCAAGAGGATAATCCCGAGCTGTGCAATTTGTCAGTTTCCAAAGCTTGAGGGTTAAAATGTGGGAGGGTCAGAACTTACCTTGCAAGACAGCGATGACCTTGTCTTCGAAGTCTCCAGAGACGGAAGCCACGGCTATTCTTTGGTCAGCAACAGGAAGGAACAGCGGATCTCAGTGAGTTTCAACATACCGAAGCCGAGTGCTGCCAAGACAGCGACCATGAGGCCGAAAACACCTGCGATCTTCATGATGAATGACCGAAGGGAAGTAGTGGTTTGGAGGATAGAATGCTCTGAGTAAGAGTAACGAGTATCCAAGTCCGAGGTGTCTGGGTCCAAAAGAGTTGCAACCTAGAGGCTTGAAGGAACTTGGTGGTAGAGTAAGAGAGGTAATTCGGTGGAAGTAGGTAAGTGAGATGAAGGAGTGAGGATGCGAGGCAGAAATTTATAGCAGTGAAGGAGAGTCGCCAGATCGACCCCGGCCACTAGGACCGTTTGGGAAGACCACTGCTCGCAGCCTGATCCTCTGTGATGCTCTGATCAGATCGCAGGGCAAGACAATTGCCGGCCAATCCAGCGCTCCGATCGCTGGACAATTCTCAGGCAGTGCAGTGGTTGATCCAGCGCCGGGCGGGTCACTGGATCACTGGATCACAGGCACTGGCAGTGGTCGATCCAGGACGACAGCGTTGGCGTTGGCGTTGCCGCTGCAGAGCGTTGGGAAGGAAAGTGCGCTTCAGCAACCGGGCACCTGCCGATGAAGGGTTGCAAGCACAAAGGAATTCTGGAGCCCGACGAGCAACCACCATGCATGTACCCGACAAAGACTTCAAAGCACAAACAGGGGGCCACAGGACATTAATGACGAGGAGAGTGAAGCCGACTGCAAGAGGGCTCAGGGATGTCGCTAAGATATGGCAGATGGGCATATGCAGCCTCTGGGAGATGGTGCCTGATATCAAAAGCACCCAGGCAGGACCGAGTCTCTGCCATTCACTGGGCGAATTCAAGGTGGTTGGGGCCCCAGCATCGGCTACCTGCAATGTCTCATCTCTCCTCCCGGACAAGATTGCACAGATCTGTCACACTCCTTTGCCAACCTTTGCGAGCATCTCGCCCACCGACTTACCTGGTGTGAGGATGGCTTTGTCAAATCATGCTGAAGAGAGTGATACCAACGACGTCCAACAGGAAAGCTTAGACAGCAGATGAGCAAATGAGCTTCGACGTCTCTACAAGCGGCCTCATCCGACGCTAAGCTCGGGAGATCGACCGCTAAGGCCTTGGCTTTACTAGCGCCCTCGCTACAGTTTCCCGTCTAGTAATGCCAGTGTTCTCTGGCTTTACAAGTGCTGGAAGTGGACACAAGAACAAGACAGCTGTCAAAGAAGGACATCATGAAGGCAGAAGCCTGTGCTGCCTACAGGGACAGTTGAAACGGAAGGGAGTCACAACAGCTGTCATATTGAACATGAGGACTATGCACAAAAGCTGCTGTGACTATGAAACAACAGAGGACACACGGGGGACACTTCATAACAGAGTACCAGAACCTCGAGAGCGGAATGTGTCGAGGTAGAAGCCATGTCTCTGCGGTTAGAAGGAATAGAGACCCGGAAAAAGACGAATGGATTGCAAGTCGCAAGGCAGTTGACCAGTTGAGATACGATATATCCAATGCGTTTATCTCTGCCCGCCCGCTTCACCATTGGTGCCTTCAAGCGGCAATCTCACCACGATGACCCTTGAAAAGCAAGCTGATTGAGCGTGTACCTCTATGTGTACCTCAGCACTTCTTGTATGGACCATTGAGGCACACCGGGGGACTCGAGGTAGGGGATGGGGATTCAGAAGACGGCAATGGTTTTGGGCGGTCAGTCCAGTCCGTACCTGATCTAAGCATCTCTGGAGCCGTGATGGGAAATTTCTCGCCATGACTGGGAACACAAGCAGGATTACACGGCAGCGAATGTCACACCCTGTAACACCTGGCCCAGACGACTTCTAGATGTTGTGTGGCAGAATGTGACCCGGTCATACCCCAGTCGTGATGCGCTGATGCGTCTATGCGTAGCCGTATCTAGGATGGCCCAGACCATAATATCTCCGGCCTCGAGGAACGTGTGGAGCTCAGAGATCCAACTGCGATCGCGTTTCGTGCACGGTGTCCAGTACTAGTACTTGCGAGCTTCAGCGATCAGGGAAGAGCACAGCGGTTGTTCCGAGCATAGAACATGGGAAAATATCTATGTGAATGAGCAAAAGGGTCAACATCTGATCGCGCTGCAACGGAGTCGCTTGCATGCACCCCTTTTCCTCACTGACTATCGGCATCTTCGTTGCTGGCTACATCACCGCGCGCTGGGATCTCGTCACCAGGCTCTACGAGTTGGCAATCTTTGCCTGGGACCACGGGGTTGTCGTATGTGGCGTCGCCAAATCGCACGCTCGGAGCTGACCAGACTATCAGACGCGAGCCACGAAAGCGTTCGTCCTCATCTCCCTCATTTATGTCATTATCGCAATCCCGTTGGATCGATTAGCAGCGCAGGAGGCAGCAGTTGTGAGTTAGCAGACTGCTCGACGAAGCCCGGCCACTGACTTGGACGTAGCATCCTCGAGTGCCTGCGCATGGTATCTCGGCCCGCGAACAATTGCGTCGGAGGGGTTCATTTTGAGCCTTGACAATATGGTATCATGGTCGAGTACAGCGATGGCATGCTACGAATATTCTGGCCGAACAACCTCACTCGGACAACCACACCCGGTGTGATAGTAGGATGGAAGAACTCGGAACTGGATTTTTTTGTTATAACCGTCTTGGAGGATGTCGAGGTAGGAAACACTCAAGAGCCGGTCAGCACAGGAAAAGCCTCTGATGACGGACGTAGGTCCGCAGCGTCGAGTCGGCTCTTCGAATGGGCACTCTCTTCCGGAACAGTCCTTATCCCGTGGCGAGGATTTTTCAACTTTGCGACAGGTCCACGATGCACGTTCTCGGCACACTCAATCATCCTGATTTGCCGCAGACCTTCGATCCGACGCGACTCTGTGCCTTTACCATCCCCGGCGAGAACAGGCCTTACATTTACTGCCCGGCCAGTGCAGGACTGTCAGTGCAAATCGTTCTGTTCGACCCTCCCAATCCCACCCAAATGCAATACGTCTCGCTCACGCCCATATCTCTGGCCTTGGGTCGAGAACGTTCGTCGGACAGGGCACGGCTATTTTCTCCCGACGAGGTTGAGATACAAGAGGAGCAAGAGCGGGAAAGGGTGACTCAGTTGGTCAAGAAACTTCGGTTCCACACCGTGGTGAGACATCAACCTACAGACAAAGAGCTTGCATTGCATGCGATCCTCCGCCAGATCAACTGTGCGCAAGAAGTTGCCGATTTGTTGCAAAAGAACACGCCGTTGGTGGGACCGCGGAGGAAACGGAGCCTGTCAGTGAGTGAAAGGGTGGTTGAATCGGCACAATCGCTCTACGCGTTCGCGGCTTGTTCGGTCTGGACGTTGTTCATGACGTACGCCTTTCCGACTCTTCTGTATCTTTTCAAGATAGCAATCATCGGCCATCGCATCGTTGCCGAAGGGATATTGCAAATCCTCGAATGGCCATTACCGCTGCAAAGGCTGCAGATTCCAGAAAGTCGTCGACGACCGAGCGGCGGGACCATCGCTCTAAAGGACATTTCGGCCTGTTGCCAGCAAGTGCATCTGCGGCTCCAGCAATTCTCCTACTATCCGACGCAGTATGCACTCCTTCGACGGCGGCATGCGACATGGTCTTCGTTCCCCACCACCAACAGCGACTACATCCGGTTCTACAACTCGTTATGGCTAGTTGCGAACGACGTCATCATCGGCATCGCCCTGGGAAGCTTTTTGAACGACAACGCGCAGGCGACGTCGCAATTTGTCCGAGGAGTGCTCGACGGCTACACCATTGAGGGACTCAAGCGGATGATCCGGTGGCTCATGTCGTTTCCCGGAGGTTTGAAACTAAACACGGAGCTCGCGGCCTTTCTGGGCGATTTGTTTCTATGGGTGATTGAGTATTGGTCTTCGACGACGGTCATGCTTGTCCTACCCCGGCTGCCTATGATAGTGTACTTGATTGCATGTTCATCATTCGCCGGGGCCAGCATGCCGATAGCCATCTTTTCCGATCTGTTGAGTCTGATGACGATCCACATTTATTCGTTCTATGTCGCAAGCGCCCGCATCTTCAACTGGCAGCTCACCATCATCATCAGCCTGTTCCACCTGTTCCGGGGTAAGAAGCGCAACGTGCTGCGCAACCGCATCGACAACTGCGACTACGACCTGGACCAATTGCTCTTGGGTACCATTTTGTTTACATTGTTGTTCTTTTTGCTGCCGACCGTGGTGGTCTTTTACTTGACTTTTGCGTCGGCTCGAATGGCAATCATCTCGCTGAAAGCCACCCTCGACACCTGTCTGGCTTGTCTCAACCATTTTCCTTTATTTGCGCTGATGCTCCGCATCAAGGACAGCAAGCGGTTACCCGGAGGTGTTCATTTCGAGCTTTTGGACGCCGAGCAGTACAGACTTCCGGACCAACAGCAGCAGCAGCAGCAGCAGCAAGTCGAGAATGCAACCACTAGTATCGTGGATGATCAAGCAGACCAAGAACAAGCCCAGACCCAAGCCCAACCTCAATCAGAAGCAGAAGATGACGACGAAGAAAAAACAGATGATGAAGAAGAGGAGGACGACAAACCAAAACCAAACAAAGTCAACAACATGAACACCGAACAGCAACGACACGACGACGACGACGACAAATCCGCGTCCCGTTCCAGTTCCAGTTCTTCCGAGGTAGAAAGTATGCACAGCACCAGCTCTGTCGCATCATACATCCGTCTCTCATCCACACCCCTCTCCCTCCGACACATCTTCGAACAATACTTCCAACTGTGGGCCCGCATCCGGCAACACTATTTATCCCCAAAAGTGATCCTCCGACTTCTCACGGGCCGGTTTGTCCCACCCCTCGGCCGCAGCGAGATGTATGGCTTGCAGTATTCTGTTCTTCCGAGGGAGAGGGCTACGGTTTCGGAGGTATGGAAGATTTTGAGTGCTACTAGTAGTAGTGAAACCAACTCTACTACTGGTACCTCCGGCAGCAATTCAGCGGCACACCGTACAAGTACAAGAAGTGGCTTCGACTTCTCGGCCCAGTACCCTTGGACGAACGGGAATGGACATGCGGAAAAGGGTTGACCTGATCTGACTTGACTTGACAAGACGGAAAAAACGAAAATTCCCAAAACAAAGCAAAGCTCTGACTACTCTACTGGTACCCTCGGAGGTACCCAGGTATATATAATTGGTAGTTCAAGTTGGTTGTGGTTGTTAGATACTACAGTATAACCATGCCAGTGTGCCGAGCGATGTACTACTAGTGTCGGTGATCACTGCAGTACAAGTACTATTGTCCCGTCAGCATCTGATTGAATACCCCAAAAACAAAATAACATCAATAATTTGTCAATTCCAAATACTCATTCAAGCCGGAACTCCGAATTATTTTTATTCTACCGGTGCTGAGTAGTCCCATCTATATTTTTCCTGCCAACACCGTGACCCGGTCCAAGGAAAAAGGCACGGACTAGACTCCAAGAACAAATGGCCGCTGCTGTTCAAGACCCTTCGCTTTACAGCCATGGGGGGGCAGATCGAGTCGAGACTTGCTCGGTTCGAAACCAAGGCAACGCTTTTGCCGCTGCTTTGACAAATCCCCCATGACAGACCGGCAGGCAGATAGTAGACAGACACTTTGGAGTCCAATTTTGTAAATTAAAAATGTCCAAGAATGTCAAGCCAATCCTGGGAGCTGATTTTATCGAGAACAAACACTTCTGTCTGTTTACTTTCTCCCCTTTGGTTTTGCTTGCCTCTACTGGCACAGGACCAAGGATTAATGGGGCAAGAAGTACAGCAACTTGTTCAAGCCATCATAATATTTTTTCCCTTTCAGCTCAAATCTTCCTCATCTTTGACCACCTGGTACTTGGCCGATTGCGAATCCAGTAATCTCTGTCCGGTTGTCGGGGCAGGCTTGTCGACCCTGAGAATCCAGCACAGAATATCCTCGGCCGGCAACAAGAAGAACCAGACCTTGTTGCACAGCAGGGACAAGGTGGTGGTAAACATGGCGACCACGGCATCGAGCCAGTAATGGTTTGCGGTGGCAACAATGACCGTCAAGACCAAAAGAGGGTAACAGATGCCTGCGACGAGGAAAAAGATCTGCGTGAAGATGGACTTGCGTGGCTCGTTGCGGCCGCGTGACCGTCGAAAGATGCCAGAATGGTAGATAAAGGTAGATCCAACACAGAAAGCGTAGGTGAAATGAAGACTCGGCATGGCCGCGAGTTGGTTGACGTAGTTGCCGCCCACCCAGACAGACTCGGCGTTGGCCTGGCGCACGGTGTCGTGGAACCCATATTCCTTCGGCAACAGGCGTGGAGGCATGCACGGGAAGAAGGTGAAGATGAAAAAGGCGGCGAAATTACCTAGCGTCATTGTTCGACGAACAGTGGCGAACGCCGAGTGTGAAGGTGCGGCGTAGTAGTACCATGACAGAAAGCTAATGAAACACAAAAGTTAGCCTAAGGACCTGTAACAGCTGAGAAGGAATTTGGGTTAGTAGGTTGGACATACGCAATTGTACCGGGAATATGGACGAGAGAGTAGATGCGGTTCAAGAACGTCATAACAGAGAGGTGGTTGTTGAGAAACCAGGCCTGAAACTCGCTTTCTTGGATAGGAAACAAGAATCTCAGCCAGGACTTGTGCTCAATGTCGAGAATGAGAATGCCGTGGTCTTGAGCCAGCTCTCGCAGACCAGTGTAGCCAGAAAAGGCGACTTGCGCGATCGCCTTAGTCAAAGTATAAAACAGCAGGTTCAGTGCCCAATAGAACATCTCGATTAGAAAAGGAAACTTGGCGAGAATGCGAGAATGGATGTTGTCGGCGAATCGAGATGAGTTGGGCGTGCGCACTGTCATGCCGCAGCAATTGCGCTTCTTCGGCGGAAACTTTGTCGAGGTAAAGGGATCTGAATCGTTGGAAAGATATGAATCGTCGTCGGCACCAGAGCTGTCGGCAGACCATTCATCTTGTCCACGGTTACCACGCGGAAGGAGAGATCGTGTTGGTGAACGACCCCGACTCGAATCCATGATTCGGTAGCCTCGCCGGCGATTGAATGTGAGAGAAGCTATCATGATCGACACCACAATCTAGAGGAAACAAACATTAGTACTGGAGTCGGACAGAGTAAACCCCGTGGAGCAGGACATGTAACGCACAATTGGTTCCATCCAAGTGTGCGAGGCGAATTGGGCCCCGCCCAAGTTAGGCTTTGCGGCGTCGGCCATGACTGCCGTAGCGTTGGTGAACGCCGGGGTTGAAGCCATTGATGGCGATCTAGGTAAAATGGTGGTAGAAGAGATCGATATTAGGGAAGAGAGTCAAGAATGGCTCATCCGTAACGTGCTGAGGGCGAAGACGGGCAAAAAGTCGAGGCTGTGGATCGTTGGAATGTCGCGTGTCGCTAGGTTCGGAGAATTGGTCACGTGCAGACCCGGTGAGAGGTGGAAGGGTGAAGAGGCGCGGGAAGGCCGTGGGAAAACCCGCCAGGAGTGGTTTATTCAAAGAGCAAAAGGAGTGACAAAGTCGAAAAAGAGCGGCAAGGATATTCGCTCGATTGATGAGCCTGCTCGCAAGATTCTTAACGTCGGATGTCGCGAGATACCTCGCGTGACAGCCGAGATTGAGGTCGTGTGCCTGTAGGAAAATGGTGATTTTGGGCGGACAACGATAGCTTGGCTGGACAAAGCAGAACTTGAAAGCGGACGGATCAAGGGGCGTTTTCGGTGCGAATAATGGACCAAAAAGAAAGAGACCAACAGAAGCAAAAGCCGACGATGCCACAATCTCGCGGGAGGACTCCACGGGGACGACAACGAAGCCCTGATCAATTCTCGATGTGTGCGCAAGTGAGGAAGAAGGAAGAGAAACACAGGAAGACGATGCTAGTAAAAGGCAGGTGAACCAGGGAGTGCCAGGCGTTTGAGATGCCGCGTACGAGGCGCCCGCTAGCAGTACTAGAAATAATCAGTGCAGGCACTGCGGGCGGCGACAATTTCAGCCGGAGGAGCCTCACAAGCCACCCTACAGTACTGGTAGGAGGGGAGGGGAGCCTTTCTAACCCTTCTTCAGCCTCGCTTATAGGCGCTACTGGCCATTAAGTTTAGGGGCCGAGGGGTGCCGGACGCCTCATCGCACAACTAGACTCAGCCTCAAAGTCCGCCTGACGGGCACCTGAAGCGCCCAGCCCACAATCCGGTCTTGACCAAGTGGGCGATGATGTAAGGGGGAGCTGGCTAAGATTTCGGTGTTTATTTGACGGTTCAGCACAAGATTGGCAGCGCACCCCGACTTTTGAGTAGGGGGGCACAGTCTACGTTTCCATGCGCCCCTGACTCGGAGCCTGGATTCTGTTGTGATAACAAACGGGAACAGCTACAGTTGCTATACTGAACCGTTGATAGATGATCGCCACCTGCATTATTATTGCATTGCTGTGGGCGGATTTGGCAAAGACTTGGACGTGCGTGCCTACTAGTACTAGTAACTTCAAGTTTTCGGTCGGAATGGAGGTGCTTCCGAGCCGGAACATAACACTTGCACGGTGCTGTCAACGTTGATATTATTTTTGCCCGGCCACGTATACATCGTCCACAGCGTTTTAAATCGGCTCCCCGACTACTACAACTAGACGACAGCCCCGATACATCGTTGGACCTTTTTTTACTAGTAGTCCTTCCTACATGACATGAGCCATCTTCGACTCAGGCGAATACATGGCCCACGTGTGAGGTGTCTAGACTAGGTAATCATGCATTCTTCTTGCGTGGTATATTTCCTATCAACTCCAATAATGCATAAGAAGTAGGTACTGGTAGGTGTCGTAAGGATATCATATGTCGTGTATCATGCAAGTGACCAAGAATCATTTGGTAACCCATATCTGTCTCTCGTCTCTGTCAAGTAACATTGCCACTTCTACTTCTCCCCTACTCGTCGGCGGACAGAAAGTCTCCCGTGACAAAACGGCGGTTATCTCGAAAGCGACCTTTGCTGCCCTTGCTGCTCGCTCCCTTGCGAGGACTGCGCATCCCGTCATCTCCTGTGGAACGCATGATCATTGGCAGCGCATCCAAGACCTGCTTGTTGCCCTCGAAGTAGTGATTGACGAACCCTCCGCCCAGCAGTCTTCGGATGGCGTTCAGTCGCATCAGCTTCCACCACTTGTCCACCCGCATCTCGCCTTCGCGATGGACTCGAACCACCCTCTTCGATGCGTTGTTGGATTGGAGTCCCAGTTTCGGGTTTTGGACTGTGACCGAGATGCTGGCGAATGATTGATGCAGTAATTTCTTGTCACGCCGGTGCATGGACTTGGTGCTTAACGAGGCCAACGCCGTCACTTTTTCCACCACTTCGTGTGTGTTATGGTAAGCATTGTAGCGCTTCACCAGTCCCGAGTCATCCCTTGCTCCGCCGAGTTCGTCGGACGATCCAACTCCGTTCTCATGCTGCTCTTCCCCCTCGGATGAGACGTCGTCGTCGTCTTCTCGTGGCGTGTAACTTTTCTCGTAAAGTAAAGCGATGTTCTCTCCAGCCGCCACCTGCACCCTGACATCATCGGCATCCAACTGATCCAGGAACGCGGCCACGGCGTCCTCAGACTCATCCTCAACGTCTTCGACCTGAGTAGCCAAGAATCCGTAAGTGTTGAGCGCAGCCGTCACGACTTCCGGGTCGTCGTCGGCACCAATGAAGGATCCATCGCTCGAGGCGATCTCCAGCAGAAACGTCATCATCTCTGAGATCTCTTCCTCTCCAGCTCCGCCAAAGCACAGGCATATCCCTAAAGCGTAAATGCCAGCAGCTTTGACAGGCAAGGATTGCGAGTCCGAAATGCTTCGTTTCAACACTCCAGACACCGTCTCATAAAGGGTATGGTCCGCAAACGTGATTGCAGTCAGCGCCACTGCCCGTAGAGCCAGGGTGGTCTCCTTTTCGCTTGTTTCTGCCTTGATACTTCGACCAAACGCGCTGAGAAGCTCGGGCACGCGCCCATGCAGGACTTCGGCCAGGTAGTGCGATGTCAAGCATCTGACATAGGTGGTCAAGGAATCTTCCCGACTCTTGTTGCTACTCCCCTTCCGTTCCAGAAGATCGGCAATCGCATCGACCAGTTCTTGCCGGATCACCTCGGTGGTCTGTTCATTGAAGTCGTCGCTTTCCAGAAGCGCGTCGATCGAATTGATGCTATAGTGGATGTCATACAATGTAAGTTATGTGCCATGCAAGACGTCTCCGCACACAAGATGCAGGATCTCTCACCTCTGATTGGTATCATCACTGAGATTGCCGTTTCCGCCATCTTCCTCGTCGGAGGCATCTCGGCTCTGTACTCGAGACGCCACCCGAGAATTGGGAGCGGAGTTGGCTCGAGAGCTGGCTCGCGACGACTGTTTTGACTTGGCCTTGTTGGACACTGTCTTGCCGCTCTCAAGAGCTCTTCTGCGCAGATCGTCGTGCATGATGAGAATACGATGCTGGACGTAGGCGCAGATCACAAGGTGGGAATGAAATCGGACTGGTAAGATGGCAGCCTAGTCGTCGGGGTATGGGATTTTGTGGGATTTAGTCGGTAAAGAGCTCGTCACCCTTTGGGCAGCGAGGCACGGTACGAAAGATGGCGAAACGGAAGTCGTCGATATTTCGACATGTGGAGGCTTTATTCACGCTGTCTTGCAGGCTGTGAATCCGGGGGAGGCTCGAGTCAGGCAGACGCCAGAACAATAGCGGTCTGATGCTAATAAAGAGCAGCAGATGGCAATCAGCGGTGAAAGCGGCCGAGAACACATGAGAATGTGGAGGGCGGAATGAGGGCAACAGGCGCCTGTCACCAAGCAAGAGGACCAGTCGTAGTACTGCTAGTAACTGCCTAGATGCACATGGTCAGCATTCGCGGGCCGATCATTGTGCAATACTGTGGGCGAAGGCGGGTGTTAGCACGACTAGCGCAGCTAAGTCACGACAATAACAGCGGACATTAACTACGACCTGCCATTGATTGGTAGCCATTTAACCAAAGGGAGGCGCTAAGTTCCTAATGGCTGTTCGAACCGGGGTGTCGTCATAGGCAGGTACTTTCGGGGCGGGCGTTCAAGTTCCAAGGTTGGTCGTTTCGGACCAGTCGAGTACAACTGAATAGTGTAAACGCGGAGGAGCATGAATCATGCCACTCTCCTTTCCACTCTCTGCTGACCAATCGCATAGTAACGTGCAGTTTGGATGGGTACCATGTTATCTTTGTCTAACCTCCCTCGTAAAATGACTTCTACCCGGCCAAATAAACCGTAGTGAGCCCGCCCTGACAGCACACAAATGGCTACATGCCAGTGATGAGTGGACAAAGATTCATTTCATCTCAACTTGTGTTTGCAATACTAAAGAGCTGACCGTTCATTCCCAATCCCGCAACCCGCAACCATCACACGCCTGATTCATTCTTGAGATCCAATGGCCTGTCACTCACCCCATATGCTCGATCCCAGTGTCAACGCCACCAAGACCGCCTGTCGTGAAGTGTGCCTAGCTGTTGCTAGACTGGTTGAAATACACATCATCATACTTTGATACAAGTGTTAAGCCGTGGAAAATGGGCCTACTTGCTGCCTCCCTGCTGGGCCTCCATGAAGAAGTCCTCATCTGTCGCATCGAGGATGTCATATTCTTCGTCCGTCAGGAATCCTTCCCGGTCGCTCTCGGAATCCTCGAGTTCCAGGCTTTCGACATCCTCGAGAAGCTCCTGTTCGTCCGTCGTGGTGGTTGGTTCCATGACTGACACGGGTGCTACATCAACACTCTCTGCGCTGACATCGTGGAGACTAGACATGGGAGATTCCTTGTCCAGCTTTGGGAAAATCATTGTGGAGCTGGCCTCTGACTTGTCCTTGTCATTCTTAGCTGTGCCCACTTTGACATCGGCAGTGGTCGAAGGAGACGACGAGTCAGAAGATTCGGGCAAGTCGACCGGAGCAGCACGAACATCAATGTCAACCCAGAGCTTGTGACCGAATGGTAGTCCACCAGGTGTCTTGAGACGCCAATAGGAGATAGCCCGTCCTTCACGAGGCGGCGACTTGAGGAGGACAGTAAAGACAGCAGTCTTTCCTGGTTCGAGACTGGTAGAGAGGAAGTTGCTGCGGTTGGCGGAAGTCATTGCACTGACGCTAGATGGATGATGAATGTCCAAGTTGCGCATGTCATCTCCTCCAATGTAGTACACCGCACAGCCTGCTGGCCAGGCGTCTGGTCCAGGATTGCGGACTGTCCAGGACTGTGACACCAGGTGATTCGGCGCAACTCGAGTACCATCAGGCGTTGAGTCCGAGACAAACCACGCCTGAAGATCATTGCCAACTGGTGGACTCGGCACAGAGTCGTTCACCTTCACGGGCTCCACGGCAGACGGCGCAGTCTCGGTAGGTTGAACTTCCGCCACCGTTTGCACTTGGGTAGCGGCATTTGCCACTATTGAGCGGGTGGTCTCAGTGGCAACGTGCTTGGCCGACGGGCGATCTCCAAGTTGTGTCATATTGTTGCCGCCCTCGGTTTCATGCTGAGTGCTGATGGAAATGTTTCGGATGGGGACCTTGATCTTGATCAAGGGATGCGATGAATTATGCCCATTGTTCGGCAATGCCTCACACCTGGCGCAGAAGTCGGTATCATGGCAAACAGCACATTTGTAGCGATCGCCAGTGATGTACCGCTTTTGGCCAACACACAGTGGTCCGTCACAGTAGATACCGCGGTGGCGTTGCTTGGGAGCACCCAGCATCTGAAGAGGTGTGTAGAGGGGCACAAACCGATGACCCTGGTGGTTTTCGCCAGCAGTTTTGATACAGCCTGAGCAATAGTCGAAGTCGGGGCAAGACAAACACTTGTGCCGGACACCACGGATACTCTGAAGCTTGTTAGTCTGATCGGATTTCTTGATGAATGAGCACACTGGCTTACCTTTTCACAACCATCGCAGATAGCATCGTGGCGAACGCCGCGTCCCGGAGCGCAAAGCTCCTTGATTTCAGGACAGGTCAGGTAAGACATGGTCTCTTGTGCTTTGAATTTGTGGGATGGATCATGCCCGTGTAATTCATCCTGCATGCAGCTCAAGCAAAGGTCGAAATCAGGACAATCCTGGCAAGTTACAAATTCTCGGGCCGGCAATTCTGCGTGGTACGTTAGCAGCTTGAAAGCACAAATATGACACAGGGACGTACGGCTAATGCAAGAGTTACAGGTGCGTTCCCCATCATCTTGCTCGAGAGTGACTGGCGTAACGGTGTCGTCCGAGGAGCCAGTGGGAGCTTCCGGGCACTTCTTCGGCGGTAAGGTCTCCGTAGTGCTAGGCACGACGACGCCGTTACGGATGGTTCTCTTGAGAAGCCAGTGCTCTTCGCCATTGCAGGTGACGCCAGCGTCAACACAAGGTTTGCAGAGATCGAAATCTCCATTTTCACAGATGCCGCAATGATAATGCTCATTAGGTACGGTCATGCCGCAATTGTTGCAGTCAATGCTGTAAGAGGCCGAGGGGAAGTCATCCAACAACGGTAGGGTAGGGAAGCTAAAGACTTTGGAGCCGCGGATCTTGACTGGACCTTTGGGCGGCAACTCATCCGAACCAGTCTGGCTGAGGTCGAAGGCGCCGGGAATGGCACAAGGTAGTGAATATGGGCAGCTCGTCTTGAAAGAATTGAGCGAAGATGCAGTGCCGTTGCCCAATGGCTGAGACAGAACAGTCTCGAGGAAACTGTGTCTCGGCTCAGAGATTATGCCAGTGTTCTTCATATGCTCCGGTAGTTCAATCATCGGGGGTTTCTCAGCGTTCTCCCCTTTCTGCGACTTCGCCGGAGCTTGAACGGTAGCTCTCAAACGTAGCTTGAGCTTAGCTTTGGCGGCTCTATACAATTGCTTGTATATGGCAGGATTGCTACTGTCCAAGGTGATGTAGGTGCCGGCCGAATCGGAGAATCGATCGAAGCGAACTTCCTGCTCATCGGGGATATTGAGCAAGAAACGGAGCTGTAAAGACCGGGTTAGCTAAGTTTCAAGAAGCGGTTCGAAGAGGGTCGGGTTTGCATAAGGGAGGAGGCGATAGTAGTAAGGCTGATGAGCATTGAATACCTTCTGCGGAAGCACGTTGGCTCCGAGGTCGCGAAGAGCGAGTTTGAATCGTCGATTAGTGCCATCGATAATCACTTTGACAGTGATCAGAGTATCAGGTCCCAGGGGAGACGTTTGAGAATGAGGTGTAGCCATACTGGGCGATGAGGCCTAGGCAGGCGGACTCAGGCGAGGCGAACTAGGCACCTGCGGGCAGAGCACACAGAGGCGGCGGCTACAAGAGAGGGACTCCTCAAACTTGAAAGACCATCGACGGCACAAGTACACAGGATGCCTCTGCGCACGGAATAGAATGAGAGGTTGGGGTTATGGAGGATGGGAGATGGAAGAGCAGTTCAAGTTCAGAGACAGAGAGGCGGTCGATAAGGCGGTAGTAGTAGTAGTCGTAGAGATGACGGTCAAGCCGCAGCCTGTTCCGTGGACCGGGCGGGGAAGCAGCAGCACTGCGCAGCACGTGAGCAGGCAACACCGCAACCGCCCCGTCCCACCAATTGACCAATTAGTCCAACCTCGCAGTCAATCCCCCTCGCTAGTGATTGCTGGTGAAATATCAGAAGCTCAAATCACTTCAGTGCGTCCTTCACCGGTTAGTGGTGAGTGCTTCTACACTGTCACGATCGTGGCGAGCCAATTCTCCTCCCAGTGTCCGGACGTCTCAACCGACCTCGAGATCGTCCCCAGGCCGCTCCACTCTGATCTCGTGGGGAAGACAGCCTCGTATCAGTGGCCACCGAATTCGACTCCGCCAATAATAAAGATGTTACACCAGAATCAGACTATGGATTCCGCCTGTTCAAGACCGCATTGACCTACTTCAGCCTTCCCATTATTCCACGCTCCATCGCTGATATTTTGCGACGGGCCTTCGACAACCACGAGATAAGTTAAGCATGAAAAGATCTCAACCCCTCAGATGCAGGACAGAGGACACAGAAAGACCCGCGGTTCCATTGACATTACAATGCTTGCTTGCTCCACTAGATGCAGATTCACTCCATGACCCGCTAGCCAGACCAAGTCAAACCTTTAAGAGACAATAATTGACAAAGTACAGGTCATCCAGATTGAGACGGATAAAACATGCCATTGGGCGCGGAAGTGTAGTAAAAGGCAGTCTGGCCGGGCATCCCATTGGCGATTGGCATAGTAGGCCCATTTGCAGCGCCAGGCATAGTTTGTAGTCCGCCTTGACCTTCGGGCCCAAGCATAGGGGGATTATAGTAATAGACCATGCCGTTCGATTCGTGAGCAAGCGGCAAACTGCCTTCAAGTCCCCCTGCTCCAGGTACGTAGGCAATCGGGTGTGAATGAGAGCCCGGCACAAAACTCGGAGCTAGAGAGGGCGCGTTCATAGGGACGGCGAAAGAGCTTGCGTCGCCCATTGGTGGATAGAAAACTGGGCCAGTACTGTAGGGCGTCGCGAAGTAGGCCGGTCCGCCCATGACCGGGTATGGTTGGAAACCTGGGGCAAAAACCGCGCCTTCCGGTATCTGTGACAAGGGCGCCACGCCAGTCATGCTGGAAACTGTTTGGTGCCCAGATTGGGTTGGTTTTTCGTCGGTGTAAGGGTTGGTGATGTGGGTCGGGACCTGCTGATGGAATGGCTGTTCTTCCTGTGGTTGCGGGGCCTTGAATTGGAAAGACGCTGGGGACTCGATATCTGCAACGGACACTGCCTTTTGAGGCCTGGGCTGATGTATAGGTATTGAGTTGGCATGGTTGGCATACATAGCTGGAGGCTGCACTTGTGCTTCTTGCGCAACCATGCCCAGCTGCCCGTTAACGAGAGGCATTCCACCCGCTGATAAAGAGGGCGTAGGGACGGTAGAGGGCAAACGAACAACAGGCCGCGTACCTTCCACGCCTGGGAAGGCATTCCGTGACATGACCGAATCAGCAGGAGAACGTACAGCATCCCTCGTGGCAGATCCGCCCAGCGAAGATTTCCGGCTCATTGCCACACTCGGGGTATAGGCGCTGCCATACACGCTCGGTCTGCGGCTCCCTTGGAAGCTGTCGCGCCCACGACCACGGTATGTATGTTGATTGGGACGCAAGGCTCGAGGAATGAAAATAAACGACCTCTCAACGCTCGGGAATATGTACCGAGGCGCTGTATCAGGTATCGAGACTCGAACGGGCTTGTCTCGTCGCAGCGGAGGGCGATGCTGTGGGAGCAAAGTGTGCTGCTTCTTGACAACATTTGGTATCGATATTTTCTGGTCCATGCCGGGAAATGAGACTTGGACAGTCACATTTCCGAGCACCGCGGAGAAAGAGAATGATCGATTGGGAGCAGTTGATGTCGGTGCTCTTTGAGCTTGCTGATTGTCTGACCTCGGCACTGTCTTGGAATGCGGCTGCTCTCGCTTCGGCGCCATTTCATGGTCTTCGTGGAGATCGTGTGCCCAAGGTCTGTTGGTGGGCTCGTTGCTATTCATGCCACGCCTGTGTTGAGTTAGCCACTAGACCAGATATATGCTTCGACACATCACAACATACCCTGCATGCATTGGAACACCGGATTCCCGGCCCCTTCCGCGTCCAAAAGTTTTCTGGTTCTGTCCGGACGACCTCGAGTGGCGATCATCGTGAAGAAAGAACCCGCCTCTTGTTGGCACGAAGGCCGGGTTGGCGTTGCGTTGCCTAACATACTCTTGATGCTCTCTTCGACTCCGCTGGGATGCATCCTCATGGCGGGGGGCTTTGGGAGCGACAAACTCGGTATTTGTGGGAGGAGCACTTTCATCTGTGGCACCGAGGGCTTCGGATCGAAGCTCATCCGCTCTTTGCACCTTTGCACCCGCAGCGACCCCAGGCCGATTGACAAGAGCGTCGGCACCTTGTTTCAAGGGAGCTTGTGGTTCTAAAGAGCCCGAAGCTGGCAGGTTACGCTCCAGCCCCTTCTCAACTTGATGTCCAGGATCTTTCCCTGCCACCGAGGGAGGTTTCGCAACTTCGTTTTCGTCGCCACTGGAGTTGCTGGCCTCGCCCTCGGCATCATCCTCATCCTCGTCGTCATCATCTTCCACAGTGCTCAAAGCAGAACCTTCGCTCATGGAATCAGGTTCAAGGTCGTCCACTACAGACTGATCTTCCTCCCCGTCATCTTGGCGCCGTCGTCTGCGAGCAAGAAGGTTTTTCCGGTGTGTCGCAGGCATTGTCCGGGACGTCAGCAAAGGCAATGTGATCTGCGCACAAGGCACTCGCGAAAAAATGGCCGTCAAAATGCAGACATTCGGTTCATGTCGGGGCTTCGCAATTCCTTAGGCGTGGACTCGACGACGGTGCAACGCAGTCAGTGGTTTTCTCCGAACTTCACTTTATGGAAACATCTCGCTGCCCAAGCCGACGCGTGAGCCGCAACTGTGAATATGTACTAGATACCAAGAAGGTTAATAACCTGGCCTCGGCGAAGTAAGAAACGTGGAGTGAACAAAGGTGCTTTAATTCACGCTAGACTGCGGTCTGTTGACGCAGCTTCTATAGATGTGTCCGCCGAGGGCGACACCTCTGGAAGCAGTCTTGCCCCAGACATTCCGTCACGGGGAGGCGCCAAGGCTGGGACCGACCAGTTGTATCGAGATATCCGGGGATTACTAAGCTCTGACGTTGTCTTCACAGTCCTAGTATCACTGTGGTTTCTGTATACTGCTGCACCTGCGCCCTCCTAGTAGGTCAGCTTGTACCTTCAAGTTGTGAATAACCAAATATGTTTGGACAAATACACGGGCAGATCTGGACTGTCCGCCTTAGCAGCTCACTGAAGCTGGTCATAAATATAGGTAGAAACAAGTGAGCTTGTTGGTTCTCCAGTACTGCATGTCTTCCATACAACCATACCCAGGCAAAGATCATCCGAGTCTAGGATCCTCACAGGCCTTCTTCATCTCATTCTTCAAACACCGTTCGTTGACCTTTACTCTCAACGATAGCTCCTGTCAGCTTCTGCACTGTTTCCTCGCCATATCTCCCTCCAGACCGCCTCTTCTTCGCCTTCTCAGGCGCCCGGTGAGATTGTACCGCCGCTGTATTGTCGCTCACTTCTTCAATTGGCTCTTCTTGTTCAGCCCCGTCTTCGTCCGCCGGCTTTGCAGATTTGGCATTCTTTCCGAATCTCTTTTGATATCGGGTTGCTTTGTCTTCAGCAAATTCCATTCTTAGCTTTCTGCCCTTCAGCTTGTTGAGCCAGATCCTCTGCACGGATCTTTTGCTGCTAGATACTCCTTCTCGACCAGCCCTAGGTTCGACCCAGCCTCGCATTGCGAACTCAGCGGATGACAACTGTTCGAAATCAATCCAAGCAAATCCCTTGCATTTCCCGGTATCTTCGAATGTCGCCATGTGAGTATGCACAATCGGTCCACAAGCACCAAAGTGCTCTTCAAGGTCTTCTACCGTGGTGTCGAAGTCCAAATTACCCACAAATATGCGCTTGCTGGGGGGCCGAGCTTCTCCAGCGTCCGCCTTCTTGCTTTCTGGTCTGCCTTCGAAGTCCTTTGCATTCTTGATCAGAACACGACGTCCACCAAGGAGACCTTCACTGAATTCAAGGGCAGTTTGCAAAGTGGCTTCATCTGAAAAGTCGATATAGGCAAATCCTTTGTTCGTGGGTTTCCCAAACTTCGGTTGTCCTTGCGGTAGATGAATCCTTGTTATCTGATCGTTGCGGATAACATTTTTTGAATTCTCGGTGAAGAACTTTAGGAGATCCTCTTTGGTAGTACTGAACGCTAGATTTCCGATCCAGATGCCATAATCAGATCGCTTGTTACTCTCGTGAGCGGCGGCCGGAGGCTTTGCAGATTTCTTTGCCGTGTCAGACTCGGGTTCAGCATCATTTTTGGTAGATGTTTTGGCTCGCTTTGCTTTCCGCAATGCTTTCTTGGATGGAGGCTCTGGTGCATCAACGTCGATCTCGATCTCGGCGGCCTCTATATCTCTTTTACGACTCTTTGGCGTGTCGCCAACTTCAACTGTCTCCACTTCAGTGACACTCATATTGACGGCACGAGTCTGTTCGCCAGAGAAAGATGATAGTGTAGGAGTGGAATATATCTCTGTTGGCATGTGAAGTCGAGGATTATTTTTTTAATTTGTTGCGAGAGTCGAAAATGTAGTCTGCGCTTCCCTCCTATTGGTTCTGCCAGGAATTGGAGACTCAGTTGACATTCAGTGCAAGCCGCAGACGCGCGCGGGCATTCCTCCTTCACTTTAACCATTTCAACTTTCGTCCACCTGGCCTGACCAGTGCCCCTAGTCGACCTTTGATTTCTTGTATCTACGCCACCTCGGTGCCTACTGAAAATGAGCGACGAGAACATGGCTTTGGTAGAACCTGCCGGAGCCACGGCGAGGGTGGATCAACCTAATCTACCATCTGAGCAACCTGCCACATCCAGAAAATCATATAGGTACTGCTGCGTCGCATTTGAAGAAAAGAAAACCCTCGTTTGACTGTCCTTTAGGCGCAAATACCGCAAGATTATGGTATCATTCGAAGAGAAAATGAAAGAAAACACGTCGTTATTCCGAGAAGAGCAGAGGATCATGGATATCTCGCGACGGCTGGCTGAACAGAATGAGTAAGAGCGCGACGTATTGCCGTCTCCTATATTCTAACAAAAAGCTTTTAGTCAGTTGCTTCAACTACTTGCCGACTTGAACTCGTGTCCTCAAGTTCCGCCAACCCTACGTTATGACCTTACCCCTCCAGGGGAGCAGAAGAACGATGTTGACATCCCAAAAATACTCGTTGGTCAGGAAGAAGGACATCTGGAATTACGGAAGGCACGGATTCAGCTCCAGGCTGGAGAGATTGACCAAGCCAGATACCGGGAGCTAGAAGCAACTCTGCTGAAAGCGCCTGCTTTTGCACCTAAACGTTCATACGCATCGCTCCTGTCATTTGCGCCTCCTCCAAGGAAGTCTATCGAGAAAACACCCGAGAACAAGGAGGATATCAGCGGGATCCTATCAATTACACAAGAAGAACAATATCTTCAGGCGTTGGACGCATTTCTTGACGGACTGTCTCCCAATCCTCGAGCACATGCTGCCGGCAGTCTCGGGAGCAGAAGCGTTGAGAGAACTACCGAGCGTGAACGCGAAACACAGCTGAAGAACCCCGTCTCCGTATACAACTGGTTACGGAAGCATCAGCCCCAAGTCTTCCTTCAAGACAATGAACCGAGTTCGGAAAAGCCGTCTCGCGCCGCTGGATCTCGAACTTCCATGAGGAAATCTGCTCATAGAGAGGCTTTTAAGCAGGAACAAGACCTCTACGACGAAGATGGTATCGCAATGGAGCTGGTGTCGTCTTCAAAGGGCAAACGAAAAAGGGATGCAGACGGCGGTTATCGACCTAAAGGGGGCAACTCCAAAGGCACCAAGCGTAAGAAAGAAACCAGGGAGGACACCGGTCGAAGTAAGCGGTCCAAGAAGCAGTCCCTGGACGCTAGATAGATGACTGTGCCGCATCGGCCTCCTCTTATCATCATGCAGCAGACGAATTGTTCTTCCGGGCGTTAGATGGCCCTTGGGGGGATGGCAGGTCCCCATATTGAAGGGCAACGTAAGCCCAGATAGATACCCAGGTAGTGCATCATTATTTGCAGTACATCGGCTATATTTGTTAGTCTGCTGAATACGCCAGTGCCAGTTTCAGTGACCGACGTAAGCTAGAGAAAACGACGTTTTTAATGACTCTCTATCTAGGTGCAGGACGCAGTCCGCGGTGTACAATAATGTTGTGCTAGTACTGTATGTCAGATGTGCGTGCATCGAGGGGCGCTTCATCATAGCTCCCAGCATTACATCCGTGCTCGGAGTCTCCGGCCGCCTTTTGCGCCGTCTCCCGATTGACAGTTATCACGGACAGACACTCGCGTATCGCGCCCCCTGGCTCTTCAAGCGAATTTCCCTTCTTAAAGCTTGAATGTAATTCTGCACGAGGAATATAGACGAGTCCCGGTCAAGCCTCTCCAGCATGGTCTGACTTGAACAACTGCGCAAAAGAGCCGAGATCTTTCTCGATCAACGGTGTGCTCCATGGCTGGATTGGAGCAAATCGAGGTGCACTCGAGGGTAGGCTGGTTCCCGCCCTTGCCTAGACATAATGCGACAATTGCTGACAGGCAGCTGTGCAGAATTACCTCCTACGATGGGTGAACGTCAAACAGGATTACACGATCTCCTGGACGATTCAGCCTCACAAGAAGTCGATCAACTTTGGTTTATTCAAACATCCTGGGCCACAGTCGAACCTACACTCCGGACCCCCTTCGTTACCACCTCCCTCACCTAGTTCGTCGGCGGTCGACGAAGACAAGTCGGACAACGGCTCCACCGCAGTCGAGAAGCTGACCAGCATCGGACTCAAGCAAATACGATGGGTGGGCAAGTGCGAGGCCGACAAAGTGACACAAGGCAGGTATGATGTGCGTCCTGGAGAAGGCGGCAACTATGCCCTGGTTTTTGACAATACCTTTTCGAAAAACACGTCAAAGACTGCAACCATCTTTGTCTTGACGTACCCGACGGCATGTCAATCACAGATTCAGTTCGGAGCTCAGTTCCAGCACACTACGTCAATGGCATCAGCCATGGCAATCGCTTCGGCTTCTGCGCAGGGTTTCCGGAGGAGCCCTAAGCTAATGGCAAAGGATAAGGCATCGGAGGACTCGCTGAGACAATCGTCCATCAGCCAGTCAGGGGCTGGGAGCATTGCTCCTGTGACCGAGAGTCTCAAGCTGGGAGAAAATTCTAGCACGATTCACACTGGTGTCCTACACAAGCGACGACGAAAGAAGCATCAAGGATATGCGAGGCGGTTCTTTTGCCTAGACTTGACCACATCGACGTTGTCCTACTACCGCAACCGAAACTCCTCTGCACTTCGAGGGGCAATTCCCTTGTCTTTGGCGGCCATCGCAGCCCATGCAAAGTCCCGTGAGTTCACCATTGATTCAGGGGCCGAGATCTGGCATCTTAAGGCAAGCAATGAGGCGGAGTTTGAAGAATGGAAGACAGCACTGGAGACTGCTGTGCGGCTTGCGAAAGAGCCCACCACTCCAGGCGACAATCTTAATGTCAATACCTCAAATAACACCAGCGGCGAACGGACGGTGTCCTTTGAAGACCAAGAATGGGCAAGGCTAGAGACACTACTGAGTAAACTCTCGGGTACACGAGATGCTGTGCGCAGGCTCTGCTTGGAGACTCTGGCGAATCCAATACCGCCGCCATCTCCGCGCTTGGGGCCGGCTTCTGCGGGCTCTACCCCTACCGATGGCCCCATGGAGGATTATTTCAAGCAAGATGACAAGCGGTCCTTCTGGAAACGAAAACCTAGTGGCACTGGTGGCCAAACGAACATCTTCAAGCGGAATGTCTCAGGCCAACTGGCAGTCCCAGCCTCTAATGCGGAGCCTGTCCTGCGTAATGGGAATGTGTCTACTCAAATGGCACAGCGACCACGCCTTATTCACGAAGAAAGTATGCACGACCATTGCCGAGCGGTACTTCACGATCTGGACTCGGTTGTTAGTGAGCTTTCGGCCTTTGTGATAGAGCACAAGATCCGCCGCACGGCCACGCCAAAGTCAGCACTTTCTCGCATGAGCATTCAGTCGGTGGAATCAGAACAATACTTCGACGCAGAGGACAATCCGCGGGTGTTTGATATCCACAGTGACACCGAGCATGAGGCTTCCGAAAATAGCGGTGATGAGGATGAATCTTCAGCCTCCAGCAGCGACAGCGGCGAAGACAACCTTGAGGTGGTGAAGCGACGCTCCGGCAGCGTATCTGTGTTTATACCTCCTCGTTCCAAGTCACTAGCACCCTTGCCACTGTCACCGGTGCCCAGACGGACGTCTATCACCGCTCCGACCATCATGCCCCCAAGTTTGATAGGGTTTCTGAGGAAGAATGTGGGCAAGGATCTGTCAACCATCTCCATGCCCGTCTCGGCGAATGAGCCGCTGTCACTTTTGCAGCGAGCGGCGGAGCAACTGGAATATTCGCAGCTTCTAGACCATGCTGCGCAGTCGACGGATGTTTTTGAGCGACTGATGTACGTGACGGCATTCGCTATATCATCACTGTCCAATTCTCGAGTCAAAGAGCGGGCTATCCGGAAGCCCTTCAATCCCATGCTTGGAGAGACGTACGAATTGGTGCGAGAAGACCGTGGGTTCCGCTTTATTGCCGAGAAGGTGTCACACCGACCCGTGCAGCTTGCCTTCCACGCCGAATCTCCTTATTGGATCTTTACTCAGTCCGCGCTGCCGTCGCAAAAGTTTTGGGGCAAGTCGTCGGAAATCATCACGGAGGGTAAGGCTCGGTTGGTTTTGAACCCTACAGGCGAAGTGTATAGTTGGTCGGCGGCGACCTGTTTCCTACGAAATATCATTGCCGGGGAGAAGTATGTGGAGCCTGTGGGTACCATGACCATTGTCAATGAAACATCAGGACACAAGGCCGTGGTGTCGTTTAAAGCCAAAGGGATGTTCTCCGGTCGGAGCGAGGAGGTTGAGGCGCAAACGGTGGACAGCAATGGACAAGAGCTATCCATCGGCTTGACGGGCACGTGGACACACTCGCTTCAACTGAAGGAACCCGGCAAAGTCGGGCGATCAACCATTTGGACAGTCGGCCCGTTGGTGGATGATGCGCCCAAGCACTACGGGATGACGCTCTTTGCGGTCGAGCTGAATGAAATCACACCGATCGAACGGGGCAAACTACCTCCAACCGACAGTCGACTCCGGCCCGATCAACATGCTTTGGAGCAGGGGGATCACGATAAGGCGGAAAAGCTGAAGAATCAGTTGGAAGAGGCGCAACGAGCGCGGAGGAGAGAATTGGAGGCCAGGGGAGAAACGTGGACGCCTCGATGGTTCTCCAAGGTTGAGCTGGAGGACGAAGTGATATGGAAACTCAAGACAGGAAAGGAGGGCTACTGGGAGGAACGCGCTCGAGGCGAGTGGACGGGGGTGGTGCCGGTGCTTCAAGTGGAACAGTAGCAAATTCGCTCCCAATGGTAGCCTCGCGCGTACCGGACGACAAGGAAGTTTGAGATACTGCATGTCCGTCATTCTATCTTTGGTCCCTGCCCTGCGGATGGGGTCTTGTAAGCTGGCGTGGCTGGCACCAGCGGCCAGTGCCAGGGGTGCTCTTTTGCAGTGGTTTGCATTCCTAGTAGTAGTACAATGCGAGAGGCAAGCTTGCTATTACAGTACTTGCACTGGACACTGGCAATGTAGAATTGCCATACCCTGTTCCCTTGTAGGGAAAGAATAATATTAAAGTGGGCTGGCGGAGATTTAAACCGCGCCCTGCAGTGGTACCACTTATTTTTACTGGCCATAGATGGCACTAGCTGGAGATAAGGCTCGATGGGGAATCTTAGCTCGCGGCTTGCCTTGTTAAGACATGCCGGAGCACCCCAGCACCAATAGTATCCTGCGATCGTGCAAATTGTGAGATTCGGCGGACAAGTGGCGCACTGATGTCACGGGCGGGCTTCAGCTCCGGAAAAGAGGCTGCGATGCGAGCCTGGAAAGTTGGACGAATGAACTCTGCAATATTCGCTTCTTTTCCCCAGACTTGGACGGCGCCGCAGGGTTCATCTCTTCCCTTCAAAAGTTCCCTTGCCAGTGACCCTGCAAACCTTTCAACTCAGTTCGTCGCTACAATAATCTATTCCTACTAGAACTACGACTACTTATTCTCTCCTCTTATCAATTGCTGTCCTACCACCAGACATTCATCCTTCCTCTAGCTTTATCCTGTGCCAGTGGCCGTATGCTGAGTTTACTGCCTCCTCAGACCCACGCCTATCCTTGCATACTAGCATCCGTGTCGCAGCCACCATCGTCGTCAACCTCCTCCTCTTCTTCCGCGTGCCTCGTGGTTGCGGGCCCAGGATAGACTTTCTCCTGCCACTACATCCGAGTCCTACCCGCCCGTAACTCGTGGCCTCCGAGTCCGTTCGGACCCCTTCGAACAGCGTCGCATTCATTAGTGCGCGTGCTGAAGCGGCACGAGATTCGCGTAACTTGAGCACGGACAGGAAGCTGGTCACTGCTCCTCCAATCGTTCGAGGACTCAGGCCCGACACCACGGGACTGCAGCACACTTGCGTCCGCAGTCTGCGCATACTCCGCGCGATTTCTTCCTTTTTCACTCGGCATGGACTTGATGGGAATACATAGATAGACTCAGCGCCGGTCCTTCTATCTCTGCCGCCAATACTTCTTCAAAACCCCTCAAGTCTCGATCAAGCACTTTCCACGCGCCGAGCAAACATTCATGTTCGTTCGGGCACAGTTCCACGACTATACGCGTACTTTACTTTCGGTACCTTTACATCAAGCGAGAGCAGTCAAGACGAGCGAACACCATGGTGACTCCCAGGCGCCCTGCTACGTTCGAAAGTAGCCTGGACACTCCTCCAGCAACACCAGCATCGATGTCGGCTGACGATTCCAAAACTCCATCTACTCATATTGCCACCACAATACCAACCCCGCCCACATCTCCCCGAGCGATTCGGAAATCCGCGAACGATTCCAACAACGATACTCCTATCTCTACGCCTCAGGCTCTATCCTCGGCCTCACCTTACCACCAGAGGGGCGGGGCGCTGCGGCGCATCAAGACCGACCTCCCTCAAAATCATACCCCTCCCACGGTATTTCTGGTGCCCAGGTGTCCATTTGAGGTTGAGATCCTCAAGGATGCGCGCGGGCGAGATGCCATCTTTGGCACCGGCGCCTGGAGCATCGTCTACAAAGCCACCACGCGTCCCAAATCCCACCAGTCGACGTCGGAATCTCTGACACCACCGCAGTCCCCAACCGTGAGCACACCTGAACTTGTTGCCGTGAAGAAACCCAACCGGGGCGATGCAACCATTATCCTCCGGAATGAGGCCAAAGTCCTCGCATATTTGCACAGCATGCCAGACAGCGAGCGGTACATCGTCCCATTCTGCGGCATCATGGAAGAGGCGACCTTGGTCCTCCAAGCCATCCCTTTCTCGCTCGAAGGACACATTCGCCAATGTGCATTCACCGCCTCCCGCAATTTTTCGACTCGCACCATGAACGAGCCTGTCATCGGCAGCACTGCCATATGGCTACAGCTTGCTCACCGACTTGTGTCCGCGCTAACGTGGTTGCACTGCGTCGCCGGCGTTGTTCACGGCGACATCAAACCCGGCAACATTCTTCTGTCGAACATGCAAGGAGATGAAGCCGGTCAAAGCCAAAACCAAATCAACGGCGAAGATGTAAAGTTGACTTTCGACCCCCTCTTTGCAGACTTCTCGTCCGCGCAGCTCATCAACGCCCAAGAACCCACGTCCAATACTTTATCGGCCGTGACGAGAGAGTACACTGCACCCGAACTTCTTAAAGCAAGCGTCCTACGGGATCCCGAGTCGACAGCCACCACGGCATCGGATGTCTTCTCGCTTGCTGTGACTCTCCTCGTCGCTGCCATGGGCCAGCTCCTCGTCTACCCTGGCAGCGTATTTCAGCGCCAATTAATGGCCACCCAGGGCTGGATGGTTCTCGACCATGTCAGAAATGGAGACCAGGGCAGCAGAGTGCCTAGGAACGGAGTCGTACAGAAGGTTCTCGAACAGGCAGTTCGAAAGGTCGATGCGGGAAGAGTCGGTGCCCTGCAATGGTTGGATATTGTCGAAAAGGCGATCAGTGCTGAGTCTACGAAAGTTTGATTCATGAATCGAATCCCTGCACCTGAACCATACAGAACAGGGGCTTTGATGTTGTTACAACATCCTCCAACCGGCTGAAGGATGCGGCGAAAATTTGGCCTTGCTTGTTGTGTCGCCTCAACGGAAGAAGAAGAAGAAGAAGGCTATTCTGCTTGTTTGCGTGCTGTACAAGTAACTTCGAGACGATCGCCCCGCATGCGATTCTGATTGTCTGGAGCCAAAACGCTGCCGTTGTCCTTGCATCGGACTTCGGGTTTCACGCACACCCCCGAACAGCTGTTCCCTTGCCATTACCACCAGTTAATGGATGGCATGGGTTTTCCTCTTCCCGCTGGTCCGGCTGGATCCTTTTCTGAACAATTTCGGGTTGGGGGAGGCTGGCGAAAAATCCGAACTGCAGCTACGACTGCAACTCGCACCTGCTGGAGCCGAGCGGACTAGAGATCAAACAAATTCCGGGGACGGAAAAAGGCACGACTTGGACTACTAGTAGCAGCCAGTCACTCACTCCGTTTTGTCCAGATGGCGAAAGTATCACTTTCACTCTCACTCTGCATACGACCCTATCCACCTACCTACGCCGTCTTCTCAAGTGGCGGTGCATGTGCACCACCAGCACTACAGTCCTGCTGGTAACGATTTCGATTTAGAATTCGTTGCCTACCACTTTCCTTTCCAGCCACTGCAGTGGTTGGCCATACTTGGGGTAATGCAAAGCCTTATGATAAGCCCTGCCAAGTCCGGCATAGGATGGGAGAAGCAGCAAAAGACGGTTTTCTGCACTGACTGACGCTACCATACCACGACAATGCCCCCAGACTCACGATGATGATGACGACGACTTGTATTTCTACTCTTTTCGATTCGATTCTTGCGCTTTGGATATCTACTAGTGGGTTATCCGTTGCATCTTTTTCTCAAAGTGCTTTGTTCCCGGTTCAGAGTCCACATCTGGAGGTTATGGTTATGGGATTAACTTGTTGGACAAGTAGGGATTTATCTGTATCCGTCACGGTTACGGTATTTGGCATCGGCATCATCAGCATGGATTATGTCTGTTTCCAAAAATGTATTGTATGAGGGAGGATGAATCAGAACTGTCTGCATGGTCATGCGGAGGGAGTTTGCAGCGCCTGCCGGGCCTGGCCGGGACAATATATGATATCATCCAGAAATATATCTCACTTGTGATGTGGACTATGCATTCATTCCAGTTGTCCAAACCACGTCCTGTAACATATGACAACGATGCGCAGGCATACTGACTAGCACCTGAACAGCCTCGCTCGTTGACTACATACCTAGGCAAGGTAATAACCAGTTCAGCTCAACTGACAAAATCCCTCCTCTCGACCGCACCGCCCATACTCTCACAGAACTCGCCCAGCCTGGTGCCCCACTCGGCCATGCGCTCCTCCATGTACTTTGCATTGTCCTTCTTGTTCTTCTTGGCCAGCAATCCCTTCTGGGCCTCCCAGTCCCAGTACTCGCAGGTCTCGGCGCCGTCGCCGGCGACGATGGGGCGGATCTCGTGCACGCGCTGGGTCTGCAGCAAGAATTTGGGACACGACTTGGTGTTGACCAGCGACCAGACGAGCCGATACACGCCAGACTTGGACAGCGTGTGGGTAGGAGCGCGTGCGATGACATTGCCGCCGACAGCAGCAGCACCGTCTTCGCCCTCGAGCGGGTCGTCCGGCCGCGACACTTCGGTGACGACGACATTCTGTTCGCGCGTCTCGTGGAGGTTCCGAGGTATTTTCGTCCTCATGTGCAATATCATGCGTGTGCCCACTTGGATCCGGACGCTCGGCTCGCCGTACAACGCGTTGATGTGCAGCTGGCGCCGGAACGAGGCGCTCGGAGTACTGCTTTTGCGTCGTGAAGATGAAGGTTTATTCTTGTTCGCGTTCGCGTTCGCGTTCGAAACAGCCAGGGCTGTAGATGTGGTGTTGGCCGGGGCCGGCATCAGGATCGATGGCTGGTCCGGCGATTCGAGCATCACGACGTTGTTGGCGATCGCCGGAGGCTCCTTTCCCGACGCAAGGGACGCCTTGCGCTCTTCCTGGGCTGCTTGATACTTTTGTGCCCCGGACATGCCGTCGATCGAATTGGATCGCGGTGCCTCGCTGCTCGGTGCCCTTTCGGAGATCCGGCTTGCATTGCTGGCGAGTCGCTGGCGCGTCACCGGTGGAGGGACGAATCCTCCTTCGGAGCTCCTACGCCGGGTATCAGCATCTCCACTGTTCGGCGGCGGCGAAAGGCTTCCTCCTGTAGAGGCACGAGCACGGCTGCCTCTTTTTGATGTTGGACTGGGCGGCATGGCCGCTGCGTCTGTAATGTCTGAGTCGAAACTCACTGCAATCGAAGTGTTGCGGACCAGTTCTTCGATCTCGGCGACGGTGGCATCGTCTTCTTCTTCCGGTTGATGCGTAATCGTCACTCGTGGTGCCCACCGGTTCCAGTCTCGCCAGGTCTCGGTATTGCGTAGTGTGCGGAAAACCAGACTGGCAGGCGCATTGATCCGTGTGCAGGCCGACACATAGAATACCACTTCGGACATGGGAATGTCGGGCGTTGAGAAGTCGGATTTTGTTTTGGCCATGGTGGGGTGTTTGTTGGGAATGGAATGAATCGCCTGAATGCTGTTTGTTGCACACTGGTCCACTCCACCACCAGCACCACCATGTAGTTTCCAACAGGTGCCGTCCCTGGGCAAGTGCACCGTCAAACGTGGTTTCTCCTATCCCGCTATAACTGCGACGTCCCTGATGTGCGGTGTGAAGCTATTCAATGGCGGGAAAAACGTGGGAGACTATTCTCGGCCAAGTGGTGCGTGCGAATACTCCTGAATACGAGCGACGATACTGACAGAGAACGAGGTAATAAGCAGGAATGCTTTGCTGTCGAACCCTAGGTGGTTGCGATTTTGTCCATAAAGCAGAGACTGCCAGAGTCAAGTATAATAGAGGTCGCGCGATGTTATGGGTGCGATGTTGCTTGCCTGTTTCCTTCTCCGCAACTCGAAGCTGAGGAAACTCAGACGTCTGGAACTTAGCGCTGAATGATGACCTAAACAGAGCCAAATCAATACACTCTTTGCAGCCCTGGCTCGTAGAGGACAATTCCTTCTAGTCAGAGCAATCGATCAGCCAGGAGATGTTGGTGAAGCAGCAAACGGGGAATCAGGACGAAGCTTCAACACAGAGTACAGTTTGGAGGAAACGTTGTGTCTCTTCATGGAGAATCTGTCGGATAAAGCACGAGATCTGGAGCCAGATTCAGTGGGATAGGTTTGGTCCTGACGCGCACCCATGGTGGGCGACATTGACGTAGACGGTCGAAGAGGCGGAAGAGGCCGAGGGGGTGGAGAAAGGGAAAAACATGGAGCGCAGACAAGTAGAGGAGATGGATGAGTGCCAGTGTGGGGGTTGTTGGCGGGCCGGAGGTTCGATCTAACTTAGTAGTAGCAGCAGTACCTGTAGGCAGACATTGCTGCCTCGTACTAGTACTGGAGAGATACCTGCTATTGTCGGCGCATCTTGTGACCATGCTCATTACTGTACCGCGCAGGCTGCCACGCACCCAGGTGCCACGAACCTAGCTGTAGATTCCGGACGACAGAGACGGGTGCGCTCGTATGCGGCTGCGGCTGGTCTGCATGAGTTTCAGGCTCCCAGTGGGTGACAGGGACATCATGATGATACTAGTAGTTGGCGGAGAGCAACAAGTGACAAAGACTGGTGGAACTTGAAGGGCAAACAGTATCAGGGCAATTTATGACGAGGTCATGTGATAGATATATCAATCCCATGCCTTTATCGTATCGCATCAACGGCGCAGCCTCCAGTTCGTCGCTGCTCACAGGAATCAGGTATCAAGCTGATGGATGAAGAGCAAGAAAAGTACAAGCCAGGAAGACGGGACGGTCGGGCTAATCAGCCGCCCACATACACTGTCGATCCGCACTATTCAACTTTTCGTTTGTATTGACCAGATGGTCCTGCTTTCTCAAGGCCTCACAACACAGTCCGTCGCGGCTAACCGGGCGACGATAAAGACATGCATCAAGACCCGCGGGATAGATATATCGCTGTGAAAAAAGACTTTTCCATCCCGCCAGACATGCTAATTCATAACTGTTGCAGGACCATGGACCGCAAGAATTCACAAATCTGCACAGCCGTCGCCTCAGCATCAGGGCCAGATGGGCGAATCCATTCTGCAATCGTTGCTTTGGCACTGCTCCAAATAACTCCTTTTCCTTCTTCCATGAACCAGCTCAATTGACGAGACTGACGCACCGATCGACAGTACCGAGTGCCATGAGAGGCGAAACAGGAAGCAGCTCATTGGACAGGCGAGTCGTGCCTAGGATCCAAGGCTTCCAAACCATGGTCACTCGTGGCCGCAATCGAAGTAACAGCCATCAAGGGCTACCTCGTTGGTTCGGATATCTGGGTCATGTGGCGTTCGATCCCAGCGGCTGCTGCTCAGAAGGCGAGTCTGGCAGCCAACCTTGCGGTCGCCATTTCACATCAAGCGCCAAACGTGGGACGGCTCGTCAAGAAGGCTAGCGATTTTGTTTATCTGCAATCATCATATTCATACAATCCACTCATATCTTCCACTGCCAAAAGGGGTATCATGAGGATTCGGTAGAAGGCATGACGTCGAATCATTTCCGAGCGGCTTCTCTTTCGACTTCGTACATGAAGTCGAAATACGGCTTGTCGAAGGTGTGCATTCTCACATAGCCGTCTTCACCACCACTGGCGTAACCGATCCCTTGTGGGTGCACAGCAATGCTGTTGAGAGGTCCAAAGTGTCCCCTGATACGGCCGATTTCGTCCTCAAAGATTTTGTGGTAGAATCTAGCCTCGAATTTACCCTGGCGGGCGTCCGTCGTAGTCACGTCCATTGCAGCCTGGCCACCACCCAATATAACGAAGTCTTTCTTGGGCGTAATGGCAGCAGTATTGAGCGGCGTATCCGCCGTGTACGTCTTCAGGATGCTCAAGTCCCGGGACGCCATAAGCTGCTCATGTAATCAGTATACGCTATCCAAATGTGCACCAGCGGATAAAACGAACCTTTGCGGTCTTGTCTTTTCCAGCCGTGATGAAGTAGGTCCTGTCCGGGGCAAATTGAATGTCGTTGATGGTTGTGTCATATTCGTGTGCCTCGACAACCCGCAAATTCTCGCCAGTCTATAACTGGGGTCAGTTGGATCTTCATACCACTGAATGGACCAAATACCTTCGCATCCCACTGTTGCACAGTGCCATCTTCGTGGCAAGAAATGATATATTTGTCCAGATAACTCCAGCCGGCGACCGTAGCTTTGGCATCTTCGCAGGTAATCTTGAGGCTGTGTTCGTCGGTCTGGTCTGTGAGGTCCTCTCCGTAACGAACATCATACACGACAATGGTTCCGAGATAGCCCATTCGTTTTTCCGTCACACCAAGCAGTTGTTTCCCATCTTCGCTGAACTCGACTCGCTTGACCGCAGTGGGGAACTCCCAAGTCTTGACGCATTCGCCCGTCTTAACATTCCACAACTTTATCGTGTTGTCTGCCGCCCCGGAGGCTAAGAGAGTCGTGTCCGGAGACACATCGACGGTCCAAATTGCACCCTGATGGCCATTGTACGTTCCTAATCTTTCTCCATTGCTGGTGTACCACGCGCAGATGACTTTGTCCTTGGCTACCGAAAATAGAAGATCGCCGTCTTTGTTGTACTTGATCTGGTTGATTGACCGCTCCTGAATTCATGGTCAGCGCAATCCGGGATTGATTTTTCTGCAATACTCACGTGGCCTTGCAAGAGAACGGGCCTCATCTTGAGCTTGTTCTCCCTGTGATCAAACCAGGAGAAAACAGTCAAGTATCAGGAGAAATCTTCACAAAGAAAATTAGGGCAATAGGAGTATGGCTGGCAGGATTATGGCTATCTCGACAGGTAACGAGGTTCCAGTTGTGAGGCGATGTGGGAATTTGATGGCCAAGACTGCGCCTGCGCCCGTCGAGTCATGGAGTTTTTCGATCCTTCTCCACATGAGTCGTTGCATCACAATGTTTCACAGTATTACGACCCTGAAAACTTCATCGCAGCCTCGCCCATTGGTTTAATGGTGACTGTACGCATAGATCGAGCTCTGCAAACGTCTTGGTCTTCTGCACGGTCTTGGATGTAGTCGCAGCTCCTGACATGGCCAGCAGATTGTCCAGTGCAAGCCACGCCAAACTTGAAGTCTCTCCTGCAGGTCGCAAATATTTCTCCAAAATTTATCCTCCCCGTCCTCCGAAATCGCCCTTCCAATTCCGGGGTCCTCTTCCTCACAACCGAACACAATCTACTGCCTCAACATTCAGCGGGATTCGTCAGGGCGTCGTTAGACCTGGTAGGGCTGAGGCTTGCCTTCTGATCTCGCCGGATACCTCGATTTCCCACCTACGACCATCGAGGTGTGTGCCCGCTGTAGCATCTTTAATTTCTACCCCGCCATCACAATCTACAACCCGACGAAATTTCTCCAGCACCCCGGCAGCCATGGGGGCAAGCAAGATTGATGGCAAGGCGATCGCCCAAAAGATAAGGGAGCGACTAGCTCAAGAGATACGCGAGAAGCAAAAGGTCAATCCACGCTATAAGCCATGTCTAAAGATCATTCAAGTCGGAGACCGGCCTGACTCGACCACATATGTCCGCATGAAGTTAAAGGCTGCCGAGGAAGCTGGCATTGAATGTGCTCTGATTCATCTCCCTGAGACCATCTCGGAACCAGAGCTGGTGCAGCAGATTACGGACTTTAACAATGATCCAGCTGTCCACGGGATACTGGTCCAGCTGCCATTGCCCAAGCATCTTTCGGAGCACACGATTACTTCAGCCGTGCTGGATGAGAAGGACGTTGATGGGTTCGGAGCTACAAATATCGGAGAGCTTGCAAAGCGAGGTGGAAAGCCGTTCTTCGTTCCATGCACCCCCAAAGGCGTCATGGTTCTTTTGCAAGAGACTGGTATCGAAGTTAAAGGCAAAAACGCTGTCGTCCTTGGCCGTAGTGACATTGTGGGCAGTCCTGTCAGCTACCTCTTGAAGAACGCCGACGCTACCGTCACAGTCTGCCATTCCAAAACCCAGAACCTGAAGGACGTTGTGAAACAAGCAGATATATTGGTTGCTGCCATTGGACAACCTGCCTTTGTCAAGGGAGACTGGCTGAAACCCGGAGCCGTGGTCATCGATGTCGGCACCAACTACATCCCCGACGCATCCAAGAGCTCCGGCCAGCGACTCGTGGGCGATGTTGAATTTGAGTCTGCTGTGGAGGTTGCTTCTTATATCACTCCTGTACCTGGCGGCGTCGGCCCCATGACGGTGGCCATGCTCATGCAAAATGTTGTCGATGCTGCCACTACTTACTTCGAGAAATTGAAGGCCAGGCACATCACACCACTACCGATTAAGCTTCAGAAACCTGTCCCGTCAGACATTGCAATCTCGCGTGCACAGCACCCGCGCCACATTACCCATATTGCCAGTGATGTTGGTATCGCTCCTCACGAGTTGGAGCAGTATGGCCCGCACAAGGCGAAAGTTGACCTATCCCTTTTGTCAAGACTTCAGCACCGTAAGAACGGAAAATACATCCTGGTTAGCGGCATTACACCGACCCCCTTGGGAGAAGGAAAGTCTACAACTACAATGGGTCTTACCCAGGCTCTGGGAGCCCACTTGGGCAGGCTAACGTTCGCCAACGTGCGACAGCCAAGCATGGGCCCAACTTTCGGGATTAAAGGCGGTGCCGCTGGCGGTGGTTACAGCCAGGTTATTCCTATGGATGAGTTCAACCTCCATCTTACGGGTGACATTCATGCCATCACGGCTGCAAACAACCTACTTGCTGCAGCCATTGACACACGCATGTTTCACGAATCGACTCAAAAGGATGGCCCATTGTACAAAAGATTGGTGCCAAGCAAGAAGGGTAAGCGCGAATTCGCGCCTGTCATGTTCCGAAGATTGAAAAAGCTCGGAATCGACAAGACCAACCCTGACGACCTAACGGAGGACGAGATCCGGCGTTTCGCACGGCTAGATATTGATCCTGAATCCATCACCTGGAGGAGAGTGCTTGATGTGAATGACCGACATTTGAGAGGTATCACAATCGGCCAGGCACCCACCGAGAAAGGCCATACGCGACAGACAGCGTTTGATATTTCCGTGGCCAGTGAGTGCATGGCCATCCTTGCTTTGAGCAATGACCTTAGGGACATGCGTGAGCGTTTGGGTCGCATGGTTATTGGCTTTTCCAAATCTGGCGAACCCGTCACCTGCGACGATATTGGTGCCGGTGGTGCCCTGACAGCTCTGATGAAGGATGCTATCAAGCCCAATCTTATGCAGAGCTTGGAGGGGACTCCGGTTTTCGTCCACGCCGGTCCATTCGCCAATATCAGTATCGGCAACAGCTCTGTCCTGGCTGACAAGTTGGCTCTGAAACTCGCCGGAACCGAGCCGGACGAGGACCATGAAGCCAAGGCTGGCTTTGTTGTGACCGAAGCAGGCTTCGACTTCACCATGGGCGGCGAGCGGTTCTTCAACATCAAATGCAGATCCTCGGGTCTTGTCCCTGACGTCGTGGTTGTCGTGGCTACTATTCGCGCATTGAAGGTCCATGGCGGCGGCCCAGAAATCTCGGCAGGAGCACCTCTACCCGAAGCTTACCGCACGGAGAACACTGAAATGCTCCGTGCCGGATGCGTCAATCTGAAGAAACACATTGCCAACGCCAAATCGTACGGAATCCCGGTGGTTGTCGCGATCAACAAGTTCGACACCGACACAGAAGCAGAACTCAAGGTCATTGAAGAAGAGGCTCTGGCCGCCGGAGCTGAAGCCGCTGTCCCGGCAAATCACTGGGCCGAAGGTGGCGCCGGTGCAGTCGACCTCGCGAAGGCCGTGATCGAGGCCTCGTCCAAGCCTAAGGACTTCAAGCTGCTTTACGACCTTGAAGGAAGCGTGCAGGAGCGCATCGAAAAGATCGGAAAGGATATGTATGGCGCAGCCAAGGTGGAGTTCAGCGAATTGGCTCAGAAAAAGGTCGACATGTATACCAAACAAGGGTTCGGCAACCTGCCCATCTGCATTGCAAAGACGCAGTATTCTCTCAGTCATGACCCTGCGCTCAAAGGTGCGCCAACTGGGTTTACAGTTCCTATTCGCGACGTTAGACTTGCTGTTGGTGCTGGATATCTGTATGCTCTGGCTGCCGATATCCAGACTATTCCTGGGCTTCCAACCGCCCCGGGATACTTGAATGTCGACGTGGATCCCGAGACCGGCGAGATTGATGGCCTGTTTTAGACGGAAAGACAAAAATTTACTGGCATGCTTTTGACGACTTTCAACACATATCAACGAGATACCCATTTCAACATTAGAAGGTGGAAATCAAGATTCTTGAATATACATATTTCCGACTCGTAGTGTCTGTCGAGTTCCGGTATTCACTCAGTTCTTCTAGAATGCAGTATCGCGTAAAATGAACAGTGAGAGACGAGCAGCGGAATAGTCGCTGGTCATGAAATCCAGGATTCTTCGTGACATCCTCAAGACCTAAGGGCATGTACAACAGGCGGTTGAGACAGCCAAAGTCCAACCTGGAAGAGATGTTGTTGGGTCAAAGACAAGCAGCACCTCGATTAGGCCAAGCGCCAGACTCGAACCAGGAGACGGTGGCAGCGCCGTCAAACACCTCGCAGCGCCATTGCGTTACGACTCTGTTACGGCCGGTGGGTTTTTATATCTCGTCTGCTGGTTTTTGAGACTCACTCAGACCGCCCATACTACCCAGGTCCGAACCACTACCCGGACTTCGTTCGTGTGGCACTCCTACCAGGAATCAATCCATGGCCACAGCATACTAGGTACCTACCAACCCCACACTGTACTAGGTACAATGTCGCCTCTCTGTCTTACCTAGCGGAACGACCCCGTGGATAACCAATTACTTGTTGCGACTTGTGACACTCCCATCAAATCATTGTTAGCAGTACTGACAGACTACTGTTGTCTGTAACTGTCAGGCTCAAGGTCAGTAGCTAAGGGTGCTGGAGCTTGCGTGGGGAAGGCGTGGGCCACGTCAATTGAACAATGTTACCCACGAGGCAGGATTCACGACGGGGTGGTATTCGAGTGTCGTGTGACTTATGCAGGCGCATGAAGGTCAGTCTGCGATACACTTTTCCTCTTGAAGGAGTCACTCATACAATCCCTTGGCTTATGGTGCCCTTTCAACTCGCAACATCTATGGCCATGCTTTTCACTACCTCAGCCTGCTTCATCCACGCGAATACTTACTACTACCTCGTCCCATGCAGATAAGATGTGATAGGCAGGGGACGCAGCAATGTTCCAACTGTCGTTCACGAGCGACTCAATGTCTCGTGACGCATCTCGACCGGAAGGCGGACAAATTGAAGAGGTAATTTGCCAAATCCCGCTAGGACTGTGGTAGCCGCATTTCGACCTAACTGGCAAATGCTCTGGCATATGCAGAGCCGAATTTCTGAATTCAATAGAGTCACGCATTGATCGAATGGAATCGCTATTACGATCAGCCATCCCGAACCCGCAAGAAGCAGTCAAAAACAGGCCGAAACAGGCTGTCCAAAGACGCGAGGCATCATTGCCCATCGAGAAAGATCTGGCCAACCTGGTCATCAACGAAACAGGAGCGCAAAAATACGTCGGTACGTGAGTGCGCCCTTTGCCTAAGCTTGCTGGTTTTGGTTGACATTGGACTCGGAACAGGCGCGGCTTCTGGATTATCTGTGCTCTCTCCCCGAGGACTGGCCTGGATCGAGAAAAAGACAGGGTCGAGTCGAATGAGAAGCGTTCTGCTGAGGTTCCAACGCGCCGAGCCATTGTGGCCGTCCTACAATGCAGGGTTTCACTGGAACGCGGCAACAACCGCCAACCATGAGCTCCCTTTAAAGGAGGCCGCCATCCACCTAGTGAATCGTAAGTGAACACGAGCCGCAACGACTAATACAGGTATTGCGGAAACACAGATTGACCTTAGTCGAATGCAGATTATTTCGACTTTTTCAACGCTTCCTACCCTCTTGTTGAGAGGCAGGCCTTTTGGGGGTGCTTCGAACGGTACTACTCCGGGGAAACCACACTCAAGAAATCATGGTACGCGCTGTTGAACGCCGTCCTCGCCATAGGGTGCATCACAGCAACAGACGAAGTGTCAACCAACGTGATGATCTGCGATCCTTCTTTCTACAATACAAATATGACAGAAAAAGCATCCAAATACTTGCAAAACGCCTGCTCCGTTCTGGTCCATGTTCTATTCCTGGACATGGACCTCATCGCAGTACAGGCGATACTCGCAATGGTAAGTACCATATCCGTCGTCCCTGATTCTCCTTGTGATCAAGAAGGAGAGTGTGGCTACCTGTGTCAACAAGCAAGTCTAACACTCTGCAGGCTTTCGTCATGCAATCCGTATTGGACGTTGAAGGGATATTCACCCTGGTCGGCACGGCTGCGCGTCTCGCCACCACATTGGGCCTCCATCAATGGCTCGAAGGGTTTGGTCTCACTGAAGCCGAACTCCTACATCGCCAACGTGTATATTGGATCGTGTATATCATGGAAAAAGACTTATCTTGTCGAATCGGCCGCCCTTCCGCCATTGACGACGACGATCTCGAGCTCGAAGCCGCTCTAGACAGAGTCAACAACGACCCGGACATCGCAATTACTTTTACGAGCAAGGCGGACAACCAGAAATTCTACGCCTTCAAGAGCATGTGCTCCCTGGCCGTCATTCAGAGCAAAGTATACCGCGAGTTATATCGTGCGAAATCACGCATCAAGACGGCAGCCGAGCGTCTGGACGCCATCAGCACACTTGACGCCGAACTCCAGGAATGGAAAGACACGTTTCCGCTTGAAATCCGCCCCGAACATCCCATCCAATGTAACCGGAGAACGAAATGCGCCATCGTCGTACTGCACTGTGGCTATTACCACTGTTTATCGGCCATTCACCGCGCAAGTGCCCACCACGAGTTGTGGACGGCCGAAATGAGCAATCCGTTCTGGGATGTCGCCGCCGCTCCGGAGGATTCGCCAATAACTGGATCTGAGTCCCGGTCCAGAGAGAGAGAAGGAGGATGTAATCCCCGGATCCAGTCCTCATATGCACTCTGTCTCGCTGCAGCCCGGTCGATTGTCCACCTCAGCATCGACTTCTTGGACCACTATCCCGACGTGCGCAACAGCTTCATTTGGGTCGCCCCGTACTTTCCCATCTCGGCCCTTTTGGTTCTCTTCACACATATCTTGCAATACCCCTTGGACAAGAGGGTCGATGCCGACCTTGCATTGACAGAAGGCATGTTTGCCGCTTTGACCAATTCCTCAAATATCGATGATACTCCGATCTTGGTTTTTGTCAGGGATTCTGTTGTCGAACTTCTCAACATTGCTCAGGACCATGTCAGAGAGGCTAGGTCGAGGAGGTCTCGGCAAGCCTCTTCTGGTATGAATAGTACTTCATCTACCCAAGAACCACATCAACCCGTATCGACAGGACGGGTTCTCAAGCAGCAGACTCCGAGACAGTTGCAAGCGGAGCCTCAACCACAACCGCAACAGTCGTCGCAGCACCGGCACCCCCATTTCTATCCAGACATGACAAGTACTACTACCTCACCAGGCTTGCCAGCCACAACCGCAACTGCAACTTCCAGTCAGACCTTGGGTCCTTTCCACAACGCTACCACAAACCCGTATAACAACGCGATCGACCCCTCCGCGCCCTCAAATATTTCTCAACAGCAGCCCAACTTGAACCCCAATATTGGCAACCCCTTCAACCCTCCCACGACGCTCGGCGCCGAGCCAGAGCCTTTCTCGTCCGCTCAGGAGGCGACCAACTTTTCCGACCTTCTTTTCCCCACCACTGGCATGTCACTTGAACAACAAAATACGAATACGCTCATGGACGACCCCTTTTACTTTTTGCAGTACGGTGATTGGGACTGGAGCCAATAATGCAGAAGTAACTTCAACTCGTCCACTGGCATGGTGGCTGCAGATTTGTGGAAGGAAAAGTACTCTACTCTTGCAGATTTTGCTTAAAGTACCGAGCGAGGGAGCAGGTCAGATGAACAGTATGTATGGGCTTTATGGGCTTCACATACATCATCTCGACGATCATGGATTGTTTCGTTCCGAGGACTAACTAGGGACTTAGTCTCATCCTAGTAGTCCTGTAGATCGTTCGGCATGATGCACTGCATGACGACGTGCAGTCGGGCTCTCAGGCAAAATACTGTACTAATACCTCCGGTTAGGCCACAGACAAGATAACATAGTACTCCACTCGAACCGCTTAAGCCTCCTCGTAAGCACATATGAAACGGGTACTCGATCTGGAACAAGTGCAGTGGTTTGTAGTGAGCAGGGTTCTCGGTCATAAGCAGCGCTATCTGACGTTTCAGCGCGTTCACTTCCAAAGGTCACATCACATCGGAGAAAGAGCAGGCCAGAAACAATCAAAAACTTGCTGCTTGATTTTTTTCACTCGCTTGAGCAGGTTGCATCCGCATTCGCTTCTCGGATTATTGCTGCTCCTTTCAGCGAATCCGTATTCTCATTACCATCGCCATATGCATGCATAGACGCTTTCTCATGGTGTTCTATCGATGGTCCCGACCCCGAAAACAAGAAACCCCCTCACCTTCATTTCCAACGAACGCATTTTCATCCGCTCAGCAGCTCATTCCCGCTCTATCAAGGCTTAGGAACATGAAGTGTCTTGCTGACCATAAGGCATCCATTGATGATGAAAAGAAGAGCGACGGGGTGGAACTCGAGCGCGGTGCCGGACAAGGCCGTACCCAGCGGTATAGAATTGTGGATCAAACCCGTGTAGGTCCATGTCGCCATAATCGCCGAGGTGGTAAGGCAAGCAAATGGGATGGGAGTGCCTTCGAAATATTTTGATTTTCCTGTCTTGTCTTTGGGAAGCATGGCGACCGTCACATTGAACCTGGCCAGTCTCGTCAGGCCACAGAGCACGTAGAAGCTGAGAAACAACTGGTCGACGCCTGTGCGAAAGCCTATGGCGAATCCCGCGGCGGCAGGGGCCACTCCGAACGACACCTGTAACAATTTCAACAAGCGTCAGAGATCATATATTCTGCCACAAGAACCTCCGCCCAACATGTAAGGGTTTCTGATCAATCGATTGTTGTTATGCATACCAGATCAGCCAACGAATCCAGCTCCTGCCCCATCAATGAGGACTTTTTCCTCCAACGTGCGACTTTACCGTCGAAGAAGTCGAAGAACAGGCCGAATGGCATCAGCGCGAATGCGAACCAAAGGTTGCTGAGGTCTTGAGGGTCGCCCAGGCAGTATCGCATTGAGGAGAGGATGGACATGACTATATCCAACAATAGGTAGTCTCGTTAGTTGGCGCATACCACACAGATGGAGAGACTCTAGGGCCAGAGGTACGTACATCCGCAAAAGCCTGTTGGTTCAGTCATTCGTCAGCAATCTGTTCCACTTGAGATTGCAGGGGAAGTACTGGTGTCTGTTACCATTCATCTCGGTGATCAGGTCGGCCAAGTGCAGTGCTCTGAGTTGTGATTCCCGTTAGCCACGAAACAATACCGCCGTATGTGGACGTGTTGGTACTGAGAGTAAATATATACCTAATCATGCTGAAATGGCCGCTGTCTTGAGCAAGTAGCATGGCTTGCTTCTCTTGACTATTGTTCGTCGGCTGCACCGACGTCTCTTTCTCGCCCGCATTGGTCGCTCCAGTTCTTCGCGACATGGTGGGTAACCTCAGCTTGGATCTCTTGGAGCAGGCGACAGAGCCGGAGTCAATTGAGAATGTGGGATATGTTGGCTGGTATAACGTGCAAGATGTTGTCCGGCGAGGGTTGGTGTATGGTAACTGGCCTATGCACGACTACGTGAATGGTGCAAGTTGGATTGATGGAGAGACGCAACCAAGGTTAAAGGTCGACTCCTTGTATTGTAGGATCGGAATGATTGAATGTTGATTTGATTGTTGGAGAAACCTGAACAAGGCGCAGCCACGTCGGTCACAATCGTTGGCAGGCTTGATGACGAGCCACATTCACTGTCGTCATGGTGCATGTTTGCTTACTTAATGTCTGGGATCTACTAGTCACGTGAGTCAAAGGGAGTGTCAATGTGGTCACGTGCCCTGCACAAATTCACCCTAGAATGGCTGCGCAGAGTCACAATTGAAGAAGTATGCCATGTTGTAAAAGACATTCAAGGACATTTTTGGAAAGGAAAGCAGCGGGAAGCCGACGAGACGGTCCCGCTGCAACTTGATAAACCAATTCTGTTATCCCAGTGTAGCATTTCCCCCACCCAGCCTCAACCGTAGTTTTTTGATGGGTATCCTCCTGAACGCCAAAACAATGCTGCAGCGAAGACATTCGACTATCCAAGTCACAATGCCTAAAATCTGCCCCGTCCTCGGGGGGCCCCTCTTGAGCCACCGAAGCCACTGCCGCCTCGGGAGAAACCACCTCCACGAGCACCGCCTCTAGGAGCGCCTCGACCGCCGCCGAAAGAACCGAACGAACCTCTTCCTCGTGGAGCGCCACGACCTCGGGGGGCACCTCTACCACCGCCTCGGGGAGCGCCTCGGGCACCAGCTGGTTTCTTGACTCTTGCTGTACCTGGCGGTGGTTTGGGTTTGGGCAGAAATCTGTAGACATTTAGCACCTCCGTTCTCTGCAAGAAGGCCATAACCACTCACTTCTCCAGTGGTAAAAGTTTGTCTCCTCCAATGTAGAATTTATCACCCGCTTTGAAAGAGGTAGCCTGGATGCCTTCTTGCGGTTTGATCGTGAAGTAGACCTGGTTGATCGGGCCCAGGATCTCATCCACTTTTCCTATCGTCGTCTGATCTTGTCAAAAACCATGTACACCAGGCTCTAGCCAAAAGATTTACGCACCTTGTTCTCGAGATAGATAGGTGCGTTGAAGTAAGGGATCTTTGCGTTGACGGATTCGCAGACCATTTCACCTTCGGTTGCGTGCATAAACTTTCCCATTTCTGCATAACAAAAATCAGCCAACAGAACAAACAGTAGAATACCGTCATTCAGACTCACCAAAGACTTGGGCAGGGGGCCCAAAGTTCTGCTGTTGGAAACCACCACGACCTGCGCATCACCACCATTGTTAGCCCATTTTGGCGCAGGGAAATTGTTGTGCGCGGACGGAGACTTCTCATTTACCTCCGCCTCTTCCTCCAAACGATCCTCTTCCTCTATCACCACCTCGAAACCCACCACGACCGCGCGAATCGCCTCGGAACGACATTGTTGCGGGTTCGGGACGAAAAGGGTGTTTTGTTGGCTTTTGCAAGACCAACTGTTCGCAGAAAGGACTTGGAGACAAAAATTATTTCATTCGCTGCTACCTTCGATGTTCCGAGCTGCGTTTCGCGGGCAGAATTTCGGAAAACACGTGATCGACACTTCAAATCGACACCGTACCCACACCGGGACGGCCACATTACTACAGTTCCACCACAATTATTGCACGACCCTGCCCCGATCCTTTATCATGAGCCATCAGAAGAAAGTCAGCTTGAATCCGCATGATCTCTGGGGCGTATTGAAAGGCGCAAGTATGACGGAAAACGGTACAGCGGGAGGCCCAACTGAGTCATCGGCACCCGCCCCTGAATCTCAGACCTCAAAAAGACCAACTAGCCCAACTTCAAGCAAAAAGATCCCCAATAGACCCAAAAACATGTCTACAAAGGCCGCTCCTGAGGGTGCTGCCAAATCCCAAGCCCCAGCATCCTTACCTGACTTCATCGTCGAACGCAACAAACTGTTCGATGAGCTCAAGAAAAAGCACGATGAGGAACTCGCCCGTAAGGAGAAATCCCCCATCCAGATCAAACTGGTCGCGGCTCCGGGTCAAGAAACCACAATCGAGGGCAAAGCTTGGGAAACTACTCCCGGCCAACTACTAAAGAATGTCCCCAAAGAGCGCGCTGGGCAGATTGTGGTGGCCAAGGTTGACGACAAGCTGTGGGATCTCGACCGACCGCTTGAAAAGGACAGCAAAGTGTCTTATCTCACCTTCGACGACCCAGAAGGCCGAGACGTGTTCTGGCACTCGTCGGCTCACGTCCTAGGCGAATGTGCCGAGCACGAGTACGGATGTCGACTGTCTCACGGTCCCCCGACAGCAATGGGCTTCTTCTACGACATGGCGCTTGAACCAGGTCGGTCTGTCCGCGAGGCGGAATGGCCATCGCTCGAGAACCGGGCCAAGAAATTCGCCAAGGAAAAGCAGGCCTTCGAACGGCTCGAGGTGTCCAAGGACGACCTGCGCAAGATGTTCGGCTACAGCAAATACAAGATGCACTACATTGAGAAGTTCATCCCGGACGGCGAGTCATCAACAGTGTACCGCAACGGCACGCTGGTGGATCTGTGCCAGGGCCCGCACATCCAGAACACGCGGAAAATCGAGTCGTTCAAGATCATGAAGAACAGCTCGGCGTATTTCCTGGGCGACCAGAACAACGACTCTCTGCAGCGGATCCACGGCGTGGCATTCCCGAGCAAACAGCAACTAAAAGAATGGGAGCATTTCCTCGAGGAAGCCAAGAAGCGCGACCACCAAGTCATCGGGCAACAGCAGAAGCTGTTCATGTTCAACAAACTGTCGCCGGGGTCGCCCTTTTTGTTGCCGCACGGCACCCGGATCTTCAACGCCCTTCAACAGATGCTGCGTGAGCAGTACTGGGAACGTGGGTACCAAGAGGTGCAGACGCCCAACATGTACGATGTCGAGCTGTGGAAGACCTCAGGCCACTGGCAGCACTACCAAGACGACATGTTCCGAGTGGTGGTCAAGGACGATGTAGCGGAGCCGATGCCACTAGCGGACCAAAAGCCCGATGGCAAGCCCGTGGCCGATCTAAAAGAAAAGGACAAGGACAAGGGTGTCTTTGCCCTGAAGCCCATGAATTGTCCTGGCCACTGCATCATGTTCCGTGACGAGGAGCGCTCGTACCGCGAACTGCCATGGCGAGTGGCCGATTTTGGCGTGCTGCACCGCAATGAAGCCTCCGGTGCGTTGTCGGGCTTGACCCGTGTGCGCAAGTTCCAGCAGGACGACACGCATATTTTCTGCACCAACGAACAAGTCCAGAGCGAGATTGAGGGCCTGTTCGACTTCATGCAACACGTCTACGGTCTGTTCGGTTTCCCCTTCAAATTCAAGCTGTCCACCCGCCCCGAGGGTTACATGGGCACGCTTGCCGAATGGGACGCGGCCGAAGAGCGACTGAAGCAGGCGCTCCAAAACTTCCGCGGCGATGACTGGGAGCTCAACGAAGGCGACGGCGCCTTCTACGGGCCCAAGATCGACATTACCATCTCCGACGCCCTCAAGCGCGAGTACCAGTGCGCCACCATCCAGCTCGACTTCCAGGGCCCGCAGAACTTTAAGCTCGAGTACCGCACCGGCGAGAGCACCGAGGCCGTAGCAGCCTCCGCTGCTGCTGCCGAGGACAAGGAGAAGCAGCAGGAGCGCGATGCAAAGGGTCTCGCTCCCGGCATGGCTCGTCCCGTCATGATCCACCGCGCCATCATCGGCTCCTTTGAACGCTTCATTGCCATCCTGTGCGAGCATTTCGGTGGCAAATGGCCTTTCTGGCTGTCTCCGCGACAGATCCTCGTGATTCCCGTCATGAAGGCCGCCGAGGACTATGTCCGTGAGATCCAGGCCATCTTCCACAAGGCCAGAATGTACGTCGACATCGACGTCAGTGGCAATACTTTGCAGAAGAAGATTCGGTCTGGCCAGTTGGCCCAATACAATTTCATTTTTGGTAGGTTAAACAACCAAAGCCTTTCTGATTAGTACTAACCGTTTTTCTTGCAGTCGTTGGCGCCAAAGAACAGGAATCCCGTACCGTCAACATCCGCAACCGTGACGACCCGGCCACCCAGAAGATGGGCGAACTCATTCCCCTCGAGAAGGCGTTGGAGCGACTCGTCAGGTTGCGCGACGAGAGGAGGTTGGAGAACAAGATCGATATGACCCACTAGAGAGCCAATCCAATCTGCGTCAAATGTATTGGGGGTTGGGGATTGCACCGTCAGTATCAGGGCTGGTTTCATGACCGCGTCCAATCCAGCCAGCCAGTCAAATCTGGTCGGATTGTTTCATCGTTCGTGCTTTTCGGGGATTTTCTTTCCTCTTTCCGCTCGTGGTGGGTGTTGAGCCTGGATGTCAAGACGTGTTGTCACCGTGAAGCATATAAAGGGTACTGTCCAGACTTGACCCAACATGGGGAATGGACAAGTTAAACGGGAACAAAACGACGTAGAAAAAGATGGGTGCAATCTACACGTCTAGTGGTGTTGAAAAGAAGCCAAAATGGCTGTGTTCTACGTAGGTTACACACTGTTCAGGCCGAGTTCCTTCTCATACGTCAATGGGAAATACGCTCTGTAGCTATAGAAGTTCTACAACTATTTGCATCAACGAAGAATATCGATGAAGCCATGGATCGAGACGAGGAAATCAAAGTTCATCCAAAATTCAAAGACGCACAATGTTCAATTGTTACCATTTTCCCATGAACGGTTCCTTACACACCTCAGGCAGGGCGCCGAAGAAAAACACCAGCCTAGAAACCAGCACAAAAGACATAACAGATCGCACCAGCCCAAGCTATGCGGCCTGCTCAGGTGTTTCGCCTTCTGCAACAACCGCCACAGGAAGACCACGACTGGGACTTTGTAAAACCAACGCCTCATGCCGCCTCGCACGCATAAAGTCCGAAACCGCCCGGATGAGAATGAACCAACCAACAATCATCAGAATATACGATATCCAATCCGCGCCGGTGAAGCCGCCCATTCCGCTCTTGGAGTCATTGGAGCCATCGACCGCACCAGGGTCGAAATTGTGACTGTTTGGATCCGGTGGCGACGTGCTCGAAAACTGTCCGGGGTTGCCGGTATCTTGATTGCTATCGCTCGAACCACTCATGTAGAAGCCGTATTGGACTAGGGTCAAACCCAGGCCGGCTCGGCTGCCATGTTTGGCTGCATGCGTCGTGTGAAGGAGGTATGTGAGGAGGAAACCGACGAGTTGGAATGACATGGAGATCATGCCGTTCCAAACAAACGAAAACACTGAGCCTACGGGTAGACCGTCGACGTAGACTTCGTCGGAAGACATGCCGGGGGCCAAAATCGTCGTTTCCCAGTATGGAGGAGTTGCGTCGGCAGCTGCTTGTTCATATGACTAAAGAAGGAGTTAATGTTAGGTTCATCACAAGAGGGGGGCAACAATTGACTGACTGGAGGCTTTTCATCGACCGGCTCCCCTCGTTCGGGTTTGGCAGATAAGTTGGCAAAAACACCGTCCATCGGCCGGGCGGGTGCTGGCATGGGTCTGAATACAGGCGTTTCTGTAACTCGCCGCTCAACTGCAGGCGCTTGACGAGCATCGGGCGCAGAGGGCGGCGATGGCGAGGCATCTTGTCTCACCGCCGCTGTGTCCGCTCTCAGTAACCTTTGTCTGTCATCGCCATCGTTTTCGCCATCTGACCCCTCTCCGTCGTCGAAGGTGTCTGCCAAATCTTGATCGGCTGTGTCGGGTAAGGGATCCTGGGCTAGGAGGCGGCGCGACGACGGGGAGGATGCTCGAGATCGGAATGAAGGGGGAGGTGAAGATGGAACGCCGTGAGGATGGTCGGGAGAATCAACTTCGTCATCGTGCGAATTTACCTAAAACCTACAGTCAGAGATGCCATACTGATGTTGTGATTGTAGGTGGGAGTAGAATGTGTCAGCCTGGGACGAGGAGGGTACATACCGCTTCATATCGCTGGGGGCCCATTTGCGAAGACCTGCTGCTGCAGGAGCACCCTCTCTGAAGAACACAAAAGGTGAACGCTCTGAAGGAAATAAAGGTAGCGACAAAGAGTGATGTGGGATTAGGGATTAGGGAATTCAAGGATTGTGGTGGGAAAGGTGTGGAAGGATGTCGTCGTAGCCGACGTTCGACCAGGCAGGGATGCAGCACTACTGGTCTGGTAGTAGTCACCTATGGTAGGGGCAGTAGTAGTACGTGGAAGGCCATGTCCAACTTTCAGGCGGTGGAGGGTTCCAGTTCCATGTTCCCCGGCACTCGCCACTCGGCATTCCGCAGTCATCAGCCTCAATGCGTCAGTGGAATTGTACTCCGCCGTATACTGCTAGTCTTAATCGATCCTAGTTCAGTATAGATGGCATGCACTAGCTTGATCAGTTCTAGCCGCATCTTATCCAGTCCCGGCGTCATCCAAATTAATTGTGCATCTGTTTGGCTGCTCCACGGGCTCAGATCAGAGAAATCTCCATGCGCCTGGTATCTCTGCCAACAACAACGGGAAGCTGATTGTCTTTCTTCGATCGACCTCAAACATCACATCATGGCAACCGCACAATCGGTAATGACCTCCCTGCGGCGGACCATGTGAGCAAAGCTGACGCGTTTGTCTAGGTCGCCGTAAAGCACTGGGCTCGGATCATCAAGCGATGGCCTGTCGACCGAGTCCGTCCAGAATATGTCTCCTTTCAAAAAGTCATGCAGGATCGCCTCCAGAAGGCCACCTCCCCAGCCGCTGCCGCGGATAATGCGAAAACAAACGAAGCTCAACCCGCCAGTCCTCCTCGGTGGGACGAAGCAAAGGAAATGCGACAGGTCAACGTCCTATACTCGCTGCTCGAAGACCGATATTTCAAAGCCTATCCTATCCCGACGAAGTTGCGGCACCCCCGAAGCATGCCCACTTACTATGACGATGTGCTTAAAGAAATGGACGAAGCTCCGAGTCGGACATGGTTCCAGTCCCTGATGAACAGGATTAAGGGGTCTTTGCGGTTTAAATGAACGAGGCCAGCTCCTCTTTTAGCCCATGTCAACAAATGCCCAACCGCCTCAGGTATTTAGGCGTCTGGTCCCAGTCCCCTGCGCTGGCTGCGTTGGGAAGGACGACACTACAGTTTGGTCGTTCCGGCAAGGCAAATCACAGCTCCACTTTGATCTGTCGGTTTATACGGTCAGAAAGGGATATGATCTTGGAGAGCAAGACTATCATTCTGGCGAGAATCTGGAGGTGTCACAGCTGTACGACCTACTGGTGGCGATCGACCGCCCGGCGATAATGCTTCCCAACACCGCCAGAGGCTGCAGTTCGGAGGTCGTTCAAGCTCAATGCGTCAAATCCTGGAGCGCGAAGCCACACATACTGTCAATGTGCACGCCACGACATTGGGTGAAGCGCGAGCCTGAGACGGGGAATGCCCAAATGGGTGGCTGTGCGCATCTCATCGTGTGTGCATTGGGAGGTGGCCATACCATGAACGGGGCACAGGACCGCACGTTGTAACGGGATATTACTGACGTCCGGAAGATGGGGGTTGAGTGGTGTACTCTCTGGGATGAACCTGGGGAGAGACCTTTATTGTAATAATGTACTTTATATCTGGAATGTATTATACAACAGTACAACTAGAGCAGCCGATAGACAACCGCGGAGTATGGTTGACGCACTGGCAGTGGATTGCAAAACTCTCCCCTCATCAATCGCGCTCCACCGTGGATTGAGCCGCGGCTAAATATATAATTCAGGATGCTGTAATATCAAAAGGTCCGTCTACAAGGTGTACATCACTATCAACAGGACACACACGAAGTCACTCCTTTCATTTCTTCGCCTGTCTGACTAGTAGCCCTCTTGCCTACCCTGTCTATCTTCTCCTCAAACTCCTCGGTCCCATTCTGGTCTGCCTAGGGATTAATTCATCTTCTCCAACAGCTGTGGTCCCACCATGTCGAGACCCAGCACCGTCAACCCAGTGGAATACACGTACGGGGCGCCCAACACAGGCTCGACGGCGCACTCGATACCGTACCCGGAACCTATCTCAGCAGTGAGACACCACATCGCGGGGATCCTGGTGACGGTGTTTGGACTTAATGAGCTACCACCGGGGACGAGCGACATTGCAGTTCTATGGCTTCTTCACCCACGTCTCCAGACACAGGCATGCATGGCCCCCTTTGCAGCGCACCTGATCAGTGAATGGAACAAGCACCGATCGTCAGTCAACAACAGCAACTCCAAAAAAGGCTTGATCGCCGTCTCCTTCGACCAGCGCAACCACGGCAGCCGCAAGGTCAGCGACATGGCCAACGAGGCGTGGCGCACGGGCAACGAACACCACGCCCCCGACATGTTCAGCTGCTACGCCGGCACAGCGGTCGACACGTCGGTGCTGCTTGACTACCTGCCAGGCTATATCTTTCCGGAGCCGTCGGACCCGCGCCGGATCGTGCAGAATCTGGTGCTGGGAGTCAGTCTCGGCGGCCACGCGGCATGGCACTGTGTGATGCAGGACCCGCGCATCAGCGCCGCCATCGTCACCATCGGATGTCCCGACTATGCCCGTCTGATGAGCGACCGTGCTCGCCTGAGCAAGCGGAAGTCCTGGCTCGACGGCCAGGGCTCCAATTTCTTTGGGTCGGCGGATTTCCCGCCCTCGCTGGTCGAGGCGGTTCAGAAATACGATCCCGCCGGCCTACTTTGGTCGACTTTGAAAAGTGCTACTGGGACAGATAGGAGACCGTATCAGGAACACTTGTACGACGGCGACCAGATGACGGCTGAAGAGAAACAAAAACTCATGCCCCTGATGGTCAGGTGTTTTGGAAACAAACGCGTTTTAAACCTCGCCGGTGGCAGCGACAAGTTGGTCAATTACTCTCACAGCAAGCCCTTTTTGGATTGGTTGAAGAAGGCTATTGGCAGAAACGGCTGGTTCGAGGGCGGTGGCTTGTATTTGGAGGATATTGTCTACCCTGGTGTCGGACATGACGTGCCGCCAGAAATGGTTACCGCCATGGTCAAATTTGTCAACGACACATTGCAGAATGAGCAGGTTGTCACTCATGCAAAACTGGGTAGTAAGATGTGATACTGTAAATATAACTACGAGTACAAAGAAGGGAAGGCTAAAGAGCGTGTCAGATGAAACTGAGGTCGATTGACTGCTGAACAGTGCAGTTACCTTGAACATCGTGATATTCAGGCCCGATAAACCAACTGTTGTAGCTTTCCGTGAGCATAACTCCATGGTGGTTCCCGAGCACAGTATTATTGTTCTTTTCTTTTCGGCTTCAAGTTTGTGTTTTGCGCTGTCAATGACATTGTCATTGTAAGGGCGTACGCTGACGACCACTCCGCCGGGAGTGGAGACGGGGCGAGATACGAGATACCGGCCGATCATTGTTGATATCAGTACAACTTTCACCAGTATTCATCGCGATATTTCGCCGTGTGCTTAGGGTCGACCTATATATATAAATAAACATACTCGCCCTCGTCTACCGATCAATCGTCTTCGAGGCTTATTCGGAACTCGAACCAGCAGGGCTGTGCCGAGGTTGGCTGGCTTCAGCAGAGGCACCCTTGGTCCACACAAGTATTTACCTATTGTGCTACGACTACTTCTCGCTTTTGGTATACTGTACCATTGTCAGTCTGTGGGAGGGAGCCAAGTGAGAATTCAGAAGCACACGGTCCGGTCGGAACATACCACACGGAGCATACTGATGTGAAGGTTCCCATTTGTGTTTATCTATTTATCTATCCACGTTACTCATCTTCGGCCCGAGATTGCGAACTACCATAGGAGAGTGCTGGGGAAGGCATTCTGTGATATCGCGACTGCACAGAGCATAGGAGTCCAGTCATTGCGGTTTATTCGACATTTTGAATATCTACATCATTGATGTTCAAGACTACCGGGAGGGTTATCAGTGTGCAACTTCAAGCGCCGACTTACCCGTGGAGTCAAATACAGCCATCAAGCAACTTGAACAGAACGACGAGCCTCACAGCCTTGGCTAGGCTGACCATATTTCTCCCTACGTTGACCAGATCCAGAACAATCTGCACACCAACAAAGAGGACCTGGTCTTTGGTTCAAAACACAAGGCCGAACGAGGCCCCTTTTCAAAGCAGCAGCACATCAACACTTTCACCCGCGTTTCACCAGCATCAGCATCAGCACTACTTCAGCACCTTACTCTCGAGATCTTCTTCCACCTCCCAATCCAAAATGGTGGCCAACCTGAACCTCAACGGCCATTCGGCGTCCTTCCACTCCTCACCACCGCCTTTACCGCCCGGCAAAAGCAAACACCACATTGTGATGCTGGAATCAATCCACTGCGCACCGCCCACATTCGACTTCCCACACACGATGGACACACACCTGCGCACCACGCCAGCCCAAGTGGCGGAACGCATCCGAGACGCCACGATAGTGATTGCATGCGTCGTGCCCGTGACGCCCGCCGACATGGACCAGGCTCCCCACCTGGACATTTTGGCGGTCATGGCCGTCGGGATCGGCTGGGTCGACAAGGCCGACTGCGCACGTCGAGGAGTCACTGTCACCAACTGCATCGCGGGCAACGTGGACGCCGTGTCCGAGCACTTTCTGGGTCTGTATTTCGCCGCTCGGAAGAACTTGGTCCGCGCACATCGGGCAGTAACTCAAACGCACGATTGGAAGGAAAAGGGGACTTTGACAAAGACGCTTTTCAGCTCCGACACCTCACCGAAGAACCAAACCGAAAATCAAAATCAAGATCAAGATCAAGATCAAGTATCGGCTCGTGGCGGTGGTGGTGCCAGTGGTCCACCCATGGGCTGTGGTCAAGAAGTGCTAGGGATCATGGGTTACGGGGCTCTCGGGAAGAGGATCGAAAAGTTAGCCAAGGCAGTTGGCTTTGGCGAGGTTTTGATCAGTGAGCGAAAACATGGACACGGGCACAAGGATATTCGACAAGGCCGCACCCCATTCACCGAGACCCTCCGCCGCGCAACCACAATCTGCATCTGTCTCCCCAAAGAACCAGACACAGTCGACTTGATTGCTGAAAAGGAATTACGCCAAATGCGACCTGATGCCTGTCTGATCAATTTGGCCCGTGGTGGCATTGTCAACGAAGCAGCTCTGGCAAAGGCCCTGAGAGAGCACTGGATAGCATGTGCTGCGACGGACGTTTTAGAGGTTGAACCGGCCTTTCCAGGTTCGAGTCCATTGGTTCCGGAGGAAGGCGGTGAGGAGGTGCCGAATTTGACGATTTGTGAGTTTCACCAAGACCAGATGCCAGTGCCCTGTTATCCATAAGTCGACTCCATTCTTCTTGTTCTCCTCCAATCTACAATGCTGACTTTTGATCATTTCCAGCCCCCCATATAGCATGGTACACACAATCCACCATCGAAAACTACAAACGTCTCCTGAAACAGGGTATCGAAGGCTGGGTTGCGGGGACACTACAGCATGGTCCGGACAAGGTTGACGAGGTGGTTGTTGTGCATGGTGGTAAGGTTTGGAGATGAGACCTAATACTGAGCAAAGGGGAGTAGGTACTATATCAGCGAAGAGAAGTAGATCTTACTGTATATATCTTGGATCAAATTCTAGACAAATGCCAGTGGGAGGTGCCTAGGAATCTATCTAGGTACAGTATCTAGTGGATTTTGGCTGTATTGGCAGCGAATGCCATTCGAAAAATTAAAGACATACCGTGCATGTATGGTCTATAAACGAGTGCGGAGCACCTACTAATGTGGAAGGTACCAGCATTTATTAATAGCCTCAATTTGACATCGAAGCTCAAACCAGTTTTGTCTTTTAATGCTCGCAACAAATTAATCTACTCATTCATTGATGGGGATCTGCTGCTGCTGCTTGACCGAGTAAAATCGAACTCATACATCCATTCGAGCCTTGTTGGCCCACTGGCAGGCCATGCCTCTGCGCATATCCATATTCATGCCCACGCCCATGCATGTTTCGAGAGTGACTGCCTCTAATAGCCCTTCTAGACGCTGTCAAAACCGCATTTGTCTACCCAGAAGATCATGGTCTGGACGGACAAAAAACAAGACCCCAGCATGGTAAAATAATCATAACACATCAATGGCTTGGTTCCGCCATCATCATCTCAATCATGCACCTCAGCATCAATCAGCCACCCCACTGTTCGGACTTGTCGTCGTTTACCACATGCCGGAGCACGTGATAGTGTCAATAGGGTATCGTACCGACCATTCATTGGCGGTCGTCAGTCATGGCTGTATCCTGTCCGAGAGCATTTCCCCGAGCAGTCCCTTCACCATGATGAACAGCTGGTTGAGGTTGCTTACTAGGCGTCGGAACAGGTTCCGTACTGCTCATATTCCTCAACTGCTCTGGGCTCGGTCTCAAATTCTCGACAGGAGGGAAAATGGGTGTACCGCTGACGGTTCTCTTCTCCACTGATCCAGGTAGCTTCGAAGCAGCAGGCTGGGACAGAGCTGCCAGAGGAGGTGACATTCGGTTTGATTTCTGCGGAATCATGGGTGTCGGAGCAGCCGGGACCGGTGTCCGCTGCTTTTTGGGAGAAAGACCTGAAAACGGCTGTGTGCTTGGAGTCTGTGCTTGATGAAATTGGTTCGGCCCGCGTGGTGTGGCATGCGGCTGTATCACGCCATTGGGAGTTGCGTGTGCATAGCCGTTCATAGAAGATTCAGTGCTAACCCCTGTACGTTGCTCTGCGTCAGAAGCTTCAAGTTTTTGAGGAATGCCGGCAACGGGTCCAACATCCATATTGCCTTGTGTTGGAGACATGGTCGGACGGTTAATCACTGGAGATGGAAGGCGGCCGGCGTTGTTCATCGACTGACCGTTCACAAGAGGCTGGGATGGTTGACGAGGAGTGCTCTGTGCGGCTGCAAATGATGCCTGATTTTGGACAGTATCCTGGTATTGACGTGCAGTACCACTGGAATCCACGGAACTGCTAGGCGCGGTTTGAGGAGTTGGATGAGGCTGCTTAGTATCCTGATTTCCAGCCGAAGAATGAGAAGAATACGGTTGTTGCTGGGAAGTGGCGTTTGTTTGAGGCCACCCATTTTGAAGTCCCGCAGGCTTGATATCTTGAGGAGGACTGTGAGGATGGCCCGAAGAGGTATGTTGCTTAACATCGGCGTTCTGTGGACGAGATGGAGAAGTGATGGACGGTGCAGGTGGCGACGAATGCGGTTGATAGCCATTGGTAGCTGACGCTTGATTTGGTGACTGGACGCCATCCTGCTGCTCCTGTTTGGGAATCTCAACGCCCGCGAATGTCGACTTCGGTTGCGGCGGACTTGGTGGGACTGGCGACGAGGACGGCCCGACTTTGAACTTGAGAGAGATCTTGGGCTTCTTCGCATCTTCTTCCTTGCGCTTGCAATCGTTGCAGATGAAATGAAAGTCCTCCTTCTCGGCTGCGAGTTTGGATATGCCCAAGCATTTGCTGTGTTGCCAGACATTACATCTCTCGCAAGCGACACTGTGAGAACCATCATCCTGGAAGTTTCATTAGTTATGCAGCCAACCAGTCGCAGAATGGCAACACTCACAAAGTTCTTTCCATGCATGCCACACCCCGAGCAATCAAAAGTCCAATCCTCCTCGGCGTTGAGTTCCTCAAGTTCCTTTTTGTTCTTTTCGATGCGGTCCTGAAGATGTCGACCGGACCCTCGAATTTGACCTTCTTCAATCCGTTTCTGCTCGAGCGAGTCTCTAGCAAGCTCTTCCTCTTTGAGCAGTCGTTTGTATTCTCGGTCCTTGATTCGTTGTTCTCGGGTCATCATTCGATACTGTCTCTCGCGCTCCATCTTCTCCTGTCTTGCTTGTTCACGACGAGCAGCAGCCAATTCTTCCTGTCTCTTGCGTTCGGCTTCTGCTTGTTCCGCCTCTCGTCGTTCTCTTTCCTGTTTGTCTGCAAGTCGGCTAGATCGTTTGGCGCCCACCATCTTCTCCATCATCATGAGCTCGCGCTCACGTCTCTCAATCTTCCGTCGCTGTTTCTCCTCGGCAGCTTCAATGACGGGAATGACCTCTTCGATAAGTCTGTCTCGTAGGGCCTTCTCGTTGGGGTCCTTGGATTTCTTGAGACTTTCGCATAGTTCTTGGTATTCCGAAAGAGTAATGGCGATGCACTCCCATTTGTAACCACCAAACGTGTCGACCTCCCAGCTTTCCTGCTTCTTATCTTCGGTCGCCTGGGTGTCATCGTTGTTATGATCTTGTTGGTCTTCCACGTCCGGTGTCTGAGATTCCAGCTTTAACCGCTTGCTCTCTCTGCGCCTAGCAGCAATGGCCTTTTTGGAGTTGGCTTTGGGTTTCGCTTTCGGAGCGGCGGGCAAAGGAGGGTCAGTGCGTCGATAGAATCGATTATCATCGAGGAGATAATATTGCCGATCATGTCTATCGTAACCGAACTCTTCGATACGCTATTCAGACTGTGGTCAGCTTGAAACGCACCCTGGAAGTCAATTGAAACTTACCCATTCGGTTTGATCCACTTCGCGCGGATGTTCAGGCATCTTCTCTCTAATGCGATCGGGATTCCAGAAGGTCCACACCGTCAATTGGTGCAGGACTCTGATTTTGGTGAAGATGTCAAAGTCGCGAAACCGCTTGGGCTGTTCTTCATCGCCGTAGGGGTTAAGATGTGGTGCTTTTGCCAAGTATTGCCGTCGAGTGTACTCATCCCAGATGTCATAACTGTCTTCAAGTTAGTCATGGAAAGGATATAGCAGGGATGGTAGACTGACTTGAGCCCCCGATGAGACGAGATCCATTTGAGCAGGGTCAGGCCGATTTCTTCAAGCTTTTCGGAATAGCCTGGCTTCAGGCACTCGTTCTCGAAATCCTGAGAGACTTGTTTTAGCGATCCCGCGCACCAAATCTACTCCGCCATGGCTGCAACTGCTGAAGCGCACATGGAGAGCAAGGGGGACTAAACGTACCTCGATGTCAAAATCGTCGTCAATCTTGACGGCCTTGCCGAACATGAAGATGTATTGCATCACGGAGGCAAATTCCCACATGTTCCGTATCCGTTGAAGCAATCCGGGTTCCTGCTTCTTTTCTTCTGGCGGAGACGCCTCCATCTCGTCGCGGGTGCGTTTACGAGGCATGATGGTAGAGCCCGCGGGCGATGGCGAGCGTTTCTATGTCGCAGGGGAAAGAGTTTGCCAGATTACTGCACGCCAGAGGTTCTGACTGAAAGACGCGCTGCACAGCTGTGATACACATGTGTAGGTGGTGGTGGATTGATATTGTGGCAGATGTGGAATTAGGTTGTAGTTGTGCCGTTATTTTGAGCAATGTCGCAGACCAGGACTTTAACATTCACACGCGCAGTTAGAACGCCAGAATCGGGCGAAGCGTGAGGCGCGACGAACTGGCCAAGATCATTTCGGAAATTCGTTGTTCCGCCCGTGACTTGTTAGCGTCCCGTTGCTGCTAACGCTAACTAGTGTACTATGTATATTTCCACGATCGCTGCTATAATAGTAGTGCTAGCGCTTGACAGGGTATATCGTATGGACTTCACTTCGCTCCAAGCCTCCTGTATCTTTGTATAACATAGGCCAATTCAGGGAGATCCTGTCCATCAATTATAAGTAGACAGTAGACTCCCAGACTCCCCGTGGCTCATGGACAACCTCTGTTAACCGAAACCACACAGCAAAGTCCGTGGAGGAGACTTATCTGTAATTGTCCCAACTACGCTCCTGTTCAAGGCATGTGACGGTAAAACCGCCACATTGTCTGACTTGATTTCAAGGCCATGGATTCAACCGGGCAGAAACAGGAGACAGGATCCGACTTTGTCTTTCCCAAAAGTTACAATTTCCCACCATTCTTCAGTCCCCAACCAACGGCATTGACAAGGGAGGCACAGTTGAAGAAATGGTCTATCTTGGTTCAAAGATATTGCAGACACCACCGCATCTTCCAGCTCACCATTATTGATGCGCTGGACACACCGCTCTTCAACAATACCACATTAAAGAAGCGGCTGAGTCTAAAAGATGCCAAGGCGGTCATCGATTATATGGCAAGCAAGGAGGGCGAAGAACGCGCCGAATGGTTAAGTCCGGAAAAGGCCTCAGCCTGGATATGGTGGCGCAAACCCGAGGAATGGGCGACGCTGATCGCAGGCTGGGTGGACGAGACAGGTCAAAAGGGGACTGTGCTGACACTCTACGAACTGGTCCAAGGAGAAACCACAGAAAAGCAGGAATTTTATGGAATGGACATGCAAGTGCTCCGGAAGAGCTTGCAGACTTTGGTGAAGAAAGGCAAGGCTCAAGTATTTGGTGCGGAAGACCAACAGGGAGTCAAGTTCTTTTGATTGTACTCCTGAAAACAACCCAACGGGCTTCATATCAGTTTGGCAGTCGGTGGAGTACTCAAACAACAGAATTTCATCATCGACATCACAGCCAGGACACCAGCTATACCTCGTACCGGTCGGTAGGCAGAATCTGCTGAGACATTGCACTCTCCAGGAGCCAGTCCGTAAGAACGATTCGTGGCACCTTTCGACTTCCTTCAGCCATCTCTCGAAACCGATTCCACATGGGCTTGTTCTCTTTCTTCTCATCGGTCAGCAGATACACCTCATGGTTCACATCGCTGTCTGTGCTGGCATCACTGTCTGCCCGCCCTGAGGGCACTGTTTGACCTTTGCGGTTTCTCCACAACAAACAACGCCCGCCGTTGGCTTCGACAATGGTTTTGAAGGTCTCAAATCCTCCGCCTATGTTTTCCATGCAATAGATAATCCGACCATGAAGAAGTCGGTTCTGGTTTTGTCGAGCCCTCTCCCGAATGGACTTGAGGGATATTCCGAGGCGCTTCTCGGTATCTTTATCCTGCAATAAAAAGTCCTCGGGGTTCAGCAACTTGTTCTCCTTTAGACATGCCTCGATGAAGTCGGTCGTAATGACCATGGGCGCATATGCTAGGGCCGTCACGAACTTCTGTGTGCGAACTATGCGCGGGGCGGCGAGATGCGTGGCTCTTGCTGGTTCCAGCGTGCATATGATCCCTAACCCGCGAAGTTGTTTCTGGAAGAGTCAGAACATCGAGAAATAGCATTTGGAGGCTCAAGAGACTCACCTTGTCGTTATCTTCGATTCTAGGATGGCCAACCCATTTTGTGTAACCTGATATGACCAGGTGCATGAGTGGCGTAGGAGTGCCTCGCTTGACCTTTTTCGATTCAGGCTCGCTGTCCATATCCTTGTCTTGCACCTGCTCTACAGACCGCTTCCGGGCAACAACAAGAACTCGCTCATCGTCCGCCTTTCGTCGGCCACCATACACGACGCCTCCCACCCGTTTCTTTTCTTTCTCGTACAACAGTATGTCGGGTGTCAGCTCATGTAAACGTGCAGATGCAACCTCTTTGGATTTTCTGCTCTTGGTTGTTGAAGGCGTCAGGTTCTCCTTGCCTGTGGGTACGAATCTGCTGGGGGCGGGAGTCTGCAATTGTGCCGCCGAAGCATCTTTAGACGCTTGCTTGCGACTCGATTTCTTGGCCGGCTTGTCTTCTGCTGCAGGTACGGTGTTTTGGTGCACCTGACGCATTGGCGCTGTCTTCTGTGCATCTTTTGTATCTGTTTCATCATCGGAAAGGAAAAACTGCTCAAGCACCCTTCGATCCAATTGAGTGTGGCCCACAACATCACCCAAATTTGTCCGATGCGGGAAATGCGTGTACCTTCCGTCAGTGATACTCTGCATCTTCCAACGCGCATAGCTCTCTTCTAACCACAAATGATTGACAATATGGATTCCCCACTCTTTTGCAGCCGCACACTTTTCGCTTATAACATGTGCAGTAATCAAATGAGTGTTGTCTTGTTTCAAGGTCTTGGTCGCTTCGGCACCGGTTGCGTTGATCAGATTTTCCAGATAAGTCCTCGCTTCGCCGCTGTAGTTGGAGACACTGATTTTCAGAGAGGAAAAGCCTGGGATTCCCTCCCGCGTTACAGGATAGTGTAACAGCCGTCGCAAAGGAGAAGTCCACTCATCCGTCTGGATAAGGAAGTAGAGCCAGGCCAGGTTTCCCACATCTTTTCCTGCTCTTGAAGCAATCTTGTATTCTTTTCCTTCGCGGTATTTACCAATGTACATGTCGGCCTCCTCTACAGAATCGGTCAACTTTCCTCCACTGACGGTAATGATTCCGTCCAAAATGCCACGCAGGTATTCTGAGATGCCGAGATCTCGAGAAAGGAAAACTGTTTTCTTCTTGAAAACCTTGCGTAACTTCCGGGGCGCACCCGCACCCGGCTGCTGTTGAGACGGATCAGGATCCGAAGCTCCCTCCACCGGCGTCTTCCTCTTTCCAGCAGGCGCTTTCTCTGACGGAGGCAACAGAATCTCCGGGTCTGGAAGGTTATAAGGTTGTTCATCAATCTTTCTCCCTAGTTTCAGGCAGTCGTCGACCCAGTGAGGCAGGACAATCTTGACGTTCAGTCGTTTCTTAAGCGCATAGACGCATGTGTCCGAGTCTATGGAAAGCGTGATGATGTGGGTGACTTGACTGGTAAGCTTGGTGGCAAAGAGACCTCCCATGGCAATTATACCGCCAGCAATGGCATCTGAGTCGCCCTGCGGAAGGTCGGCCACACAAGCCACGACATCGGACATGAAGAAGCGTGGATCCGGGTTATATTGACGAGGGTTTTGTAACTTGTCCTTCGCAAGAGAATGTGTAACCCACATAGGTTTGACTACCGGTATGAGGGCGTCACAGCAAGCGTGGTAGTCGGGGAAATCATATGTCGTAGAGATAACATGGGTAATGCCGCGGAGGTCGAGGCTGCCTTCAGGGTAGTTGTCGATGACCACTTCTCCTCCATGCAATTCCAGTTCACTCGACAACTACTTTAATCAGTGCATGTCCACAAGAGTCGCGTTCACCACCCACCGATCCAGCATTCTTGTCCGTCAAGCCTGCAGAGCGGATGATCGCGAAACGGCAATTGGCAAATCGGCCTTGCCGTAGAGGCTCGTCACCGTTCATGTTGGGCGAGGATGAGGTGCCCATGAAGCTCGAGAGGAAGTCCTTGCAGGTGTTGAAGAGCGCGGTAGTCATAGAAAGGCATAGGATGCAAGTACCATCGACATCGATCGCATTTGCCCGACTGGAGACTCGGATGGTGGCACTTCACGCGTCACGGTTCTGGTGAATTATTGTTGCGCGTGTTGGCGCGTCTCTCAAAGTGGCCAAGAGCGCGCCTTGTCATGTGACCACAGCCTTGTCCGCAGTGTTCGTCCAAACTCGGAGGAACCCCTCGTACCTAAACATTGTTCACACAACTTTTCCAGGTATTTTCTACGGTGGTGCGGAGTTCACTATGACAATGAGAGAGGAGTCCGACCCTGATGCCAATTGAGACCAGTCTCTACAATCGCGTCGGCTGTTTTTCGGCAATTCCCAACCAACTGGTCAGTCAAGGTGAGACAACACCTTTGAGCGCCTGCGGATTGGACCTCGGTACTTCCCCAAAATGCGGATCGACAGCAACTGGCGGGACATTTTGTTGACTACCAGTCGCGAAATCCCAATCGCAATATAGAGGTATTGACTATTCTACAAAGACATCTACGCTTATGTTCTCATCTCAGTGACTCGACTTTGCTGCGGTCTCTCGGCCTGTGAACCTACTACCCGCCACCTCTCCCCCCATATCCTCCAACATGTCCTCCTTTCGAATCGTCGAGCATACCATACCAGCGCAACATATCCGAGAATGGCCCCGAGCATTGGCCGAGTCTCAGGAAGACGTGCTCCAGCTGGCAGTGAAGCAATATATACCCAAAGACAATGCACATCCGCGGCCTGGGGATGTAACAATCATCGGGGCGCACGCGAACGGATTCCCCAAGGAGCTGTACGAGCCGCTATGGGACGAGATCCATGCTCGGTTACGAAAGAGCGGCATTCGCATCAGAAGCATATGGATCGCCGACGTCGCCCACCAAGGACACAGCAGTGTCCTGAACGAGCAACTCCTGGGCAATGACCCGAGCTGGTTCGACCACTCGCGGGACTTGCTTCATCTCATCAACCTGAAGAGACACGAGATGCCGCGGCCATTGATAGGCGTTGGCCACTCCATGGGCGGTGCCCAGCTGTACGTGGAAACTGGACCATCACTCTCAGAAAAATACTGACCGCGCGCTTTTGTTTTTGTTTTCCAGGGTCAACCTTGCTTATATGCACCCACGTCTACTCACCACGCTCATCCTAATCGACCCCGTCATTCAGAAATATTCCAGTGTACCACCAGACGTCGGTCCCAGTCCAGCCAGACTATCAACGTTCCGTCGCGACGTCTGGCCTTCGCGGCAAGAGGCGGCCAAAGGCTTCGAATCAAGCAAGTTCTATCAGACATGGGACCCGCGGGTGTTGGACCTCTGGATTCGGTACGGCCTCCGCGACATGCCTACGCTGATACACCCTGAGGATCCGCCCAAAGTGACATTGACCACTCCCTTGCACCAAGAAGTGTTTACGTTTTTGCGTCCCAATTACGAGGGCTACGGGCACAACGGGAAACCGGTCAACCGGAAGACTCACCCGGACCTCAATCCGGCCCTGCCAGGAATATACCCGTTCTATCGCGCCGAGGGGCCTCAAACTTTCTTTCGCCTTCCCGAACTCCGCCCCAGTGTCCTGTACGTCTTTGGCGGCAAGTCCGATGTCGGCACTCCCGAAAACTGCAAGGCCAAGATGGAAACCACGGGCGTCGGTGTCGGCGGTAGCGGAGGCGCACCTGCGGGCCGGGTGAAAAGCGTCTTGTTCGAGGATGTCGGCCATTTGATCGCCATGGAGGCTGTGGATAGAACCGCCGACCATGCCAGCGCATGGATTGCGAGCGAACTGGAGATTTGGAAACGCGATGAAGAAGAGCATAACCGGGTCTGGCAGGCCAAATCCCTCGTCGAGAAGCAGATTGTCGATGAGCAGTGGAAGAAAATGATTGGAGGTCCTCTGCGAAAGCCGAAGCAGACCAAGTTATGATGGATACCACGACATCAGAGCACGAACTCGACCGAGGAGATATTTAGAATGGACTGGAGACCCGAAGCCCAAAGCAGACGTGGATTTTCTTGTCTACTGATATGCCGCCATCTTTCAGCCACGTCAAAACTCGCGTGAGTTTTTGTTTCGTCAAAGTCAGGAATGTGGAATCCGTCGTGCCGGGCATCACATCCCCCTTGGTGGTGGTGACATGTCGCCTATTGGTGGCGGATGGCTTTCTTGACAAGCAATTTATGTGGCTGGCTCGACTGCTGAACATATACAGTACTATCGCCAGATTTTCGACAAGGAACAAGGTTATTTACATTGGATTCATACAACGCCGCATATCATGGACTCCAGGCCAGGAGGTACATAGCTACAAGTAGACCAGACTATAATTGGAAAGTCCAGAGGCTCTGAATCAAAGCAAGCTGTACTATACTTCTGGCAACTCTCATCAATGTTCATTCCTTCGGTCTCTTGTTATTCCGACGCTGATCCAGCTTGGGCTTGTCGCCTTGACTTCCACCAACAAAAGGAGAAAAGCAAAACCCGCACCGTACATCCCCAGACGACCTACCGAATCCAACATTCATATCGTAGCATGATTTAAAAAGAACGGCCAAAGCCTTGCACGCGATGCTGATAGTTTTCATTGCACTTGAAAAAAAAATATTCGTTCAAACACTCATCCGCCGCCCTTTTCTGTCTGGATGTGACCACCGATCCTGGCCCTGGGGCCGGTCCACCTCAGCCGATGGTTCCTGTTCGCGTACAAGCAAGCGCGCTTGTTCATCTCCACAAGGAGCAGGGTGGAGGCCGTCATATCTCCCTTCAGGCATGCCGCCTCTCCTGTAACCGAGGCCCTCCGCCTCATCAATGATATCGACATGGCGGATTGTGCCATCGTCGCCGACGCCGACGGGGGGGGACACCCTGGCGGCCAGAACCCCTAACGCCATAGATGACGCGGTAGTTGCCGAGGCGCTCAGCGATCTCGTCGCCAGTCAGCAGACAGCCGGTATCGCCTAGCTTGTCGACTATGGGACGCAACAGACGAGCCATAGACAGATGGCTGGTGTCCTTGATGATGGCCTTGTTGGCAAACAGAACCACAGCCAGTAACACGACGGCTTGGGCGGTCGGGATGCCGCCGAGGACGGCGGCGGCGTATTTCCATTGGACCTGCAGGATCTGGGCGGGCGCGGGTCCATAGCCCGTGACGTTGAGTCGGGGCCCGTCGGTGTCGAGAGCCGAGATGGCACCGGTGGTGAACTTCATGACCAGCCGGGCCATATCGTCGGACGAGATGTTGCCCGGCGGACTCCACTGCGAGTCGGCCGGATACCGCACAACTTGCAAATTGGCCATGGGCAAGTCGCCGCGGGTGACGACGCCGGACCAGCCGATCGAGCCGGCGAGGATCGTGGCTTGAAGATCCGGGATCTGGTACTGCGACGGGTTGATGTATTCGTGCACATTGTCCACGGGCGACACGTTGACCAAACACGACCAGAACCGCGGCTCCGGCACGTCGTTGGTCATATTGTCCGCCGTCTGGAGCGCGTAAATCTGCGCGCATCGCTCCCCACAGTCCGACGACATGTTGCCCATCCATGTCGTCGCTCCCGTGGCCACGTCCTCGATCCACCATGAGTTGCTGTTGCCCTGATTGTCAACCCATACCACCCCCCACATCAAGTCAGAGTCGTTACTCTGAAACCCCCCGTAGCCCCCGTACGTGACTTCAAACGACTCGCATGACGCCGTCACGTTCACCGTCCGCGACGTGGCCGTTGACTGACTGAACGCTAAGGGGGATCGATCGATAAACCGATACCAGTACATTGATTCGTCGGCGTTGGTGTATACGACTTGCTGCTTCCCGTTGTCGTCATCGAATGTCGTGTTAACCACAGAGTAGTCCTGCCCGGTCACGCCCCATTGGTTTGCGACGGCGGTTTGCGCTAAGACGGACGGAGCACTCTCCGGGTCGTCTCGGTACAGAGCCACGGTTTCCTGGTTGCCAATATAAGTGACGTCGGAAATGCTGACATTGCCTAAGATTTAATAATGGTTAACAAAGTACGGTGCCACAGGATCCACCAAAAAAGTCGGCTTACCATAAGTGAGGCGGACATATTCTGACGACACGTTGATCGAGTATGTCAATCCTACCAGGGCCGTCGAAACCTGAAGGCCGAGGTTAACCAGCAGCCACAGCAGGGCCACCAACTGGGTCTTGTTAGGGTACCATTTCCCGCGCGTCCGGCCAGCCCAAAGCAGTCTCAGTGTGTGAGACTGGCTGTCGCAGTTCATGACGAGCTCAAAGTCCTGGAGGGTCCGATAGCCCGAAGCAAGGAATCTCCACCGCATCATTTGGGCATAGCCCGTCAGGGAGGACGACAAGTTCAGACCGAGGCATAACGAGAAGCCCGTGATCAACGCATTGAAGATGTGCTTGATCGTCGAACTCATCCCAATCAGCTTTGAGAACCCGTACATGCTGCCGGCCATGGCAGCGCAGATAAGCGCGGTAATGGTCCACTGGAAGCTACTGTTGAACAAAAGCCGGGCACGCTGTCGACGCCGATCGAAATATCTGACAGTACTGGATGGAGGCAAGGCTGCCCCATGTTTCTCAGACAGTTCATGCTCCCAAGGCGATGCTGCTGCCGGTACGTTGAAGTGGGAGACACTGAATCCCTTGTTGGCAGACCAAATGGATGATCGAGAGCTAGCATTCCGTCCAGCTGCTGAACAGGTGTTATAGGTTTACCTCGACGACATAGTGCTTGAACAAACCTACCTGGACGAAGACCAGGACCATTTCCGTCGAACCCTCTGTAGGAGGTGTCACCAGGCTGGCCGCCTGACATCTCCCATTGCTGATATCTGAGCGGCTGGTTCTGTGTACTATACGTGCCATCATCTGGACTGTGCAGGTAAGGGATAGGATCGTAGGCGGGATTCCGAATGGTGCTGGAGAAATATGAAGGCTGTTGGGCTTCCGGGTTGGGAGTCGTTTGGGAGTAGTCAAAAGGCCCGAGTGGGATATAGTGAGAGCCTGCCATGGTGTACGTTTGTGCTTCTCGTGTTCACTAAGGTTCACCTCTTCGACTCCAGAAGCGCATCGCCCAAGCGGACGGCGCACAACCAAGGCCACAGCTATCGACCCAACGAGGAAGCAATATTTGGCTGGTGTAATGTCAAGACGTGCGCCGGCAGGGCAGTCCTTTTGAAGACTGCCTCAAGTGCAGCACGTCCACCATGACTAGTAGTAGTAGGTAAATACATCGGACAGCCTCAAGCCTCCCGCAAAGTGTGCCTTGAGAGTTCCACCTACCTGGTCCCTTTGAGGGGTCCCTGTTAGCCATGCATCGGACCTAATTTCTCAAGCACCAATAAGATATGACAAGCTGAAAGGCGTTCGTCCTTAACGAGCATCCGGGGGTCAGTGCCGACAGGCTTGGTATGGGACAAAGCCACATGGTACAGTGCAAGGTGGGAAGCGAAAGTCTTGGCTTTGAAGCGAAGCCTCAGCCCGCAAGAGTGATTCAATCAGAACGGTAACACGGCAATCTCAGTAATGCATTGAATCCTGCCCGTGGATTCTGGAAAAGACAGTAGAGATCGTCTTTCTCCACGGCGGCTACTTACCAAACCTCCCGGTCATTGTTCAACATTCAAGACCTGTGCAAAGGAACCCCAATGTTTAAAGAACCCTCGTTCGGCTCAACTGACAACGACAGACATCTGTGCGTCTGTGGCGCCGCCGAGCTGGACGGTGGTGGTATTTAGAGGACACACTAGAGGGTTGGCATGCAATTGTGTGGATCTTTTGGTCAGCCTCAGCCTGACACGTTCAGCCGTTCGAGAGGTCACACTTCGAAACGCGAACAGTTCTAGAGACAATCTTGTCATGAACATTGTTGACTTCTGCTGAGGGAAAATATTGGCCGATATCACAGTTTGTGAGGACCATTAGATCGAAGTTCGCTTGTGGTTGTGCTGAGATGGAAGAAGCGGAAGTAGCGTGAGACCACCGAACGCGCTTTTCTCGATACTAGTAGTCCAACAAGAACAGGGGCGGAGCAGGACCTAGCTCCGAAGATAGGCGTTTGTTTTGTGCTACACCAGGCTCCCTGTCGTGCTTTGATTTGCGGGAAGCCCGAAAAAGTCATCAGTCAGCCTTACCTACTATTTATTAAGCCCTGGTGCCATGTCATTTTGATTCCTGGTTGGTCGCGCTCGCGAGTTTGGGGACAAAAGTCCCAAATTCCGAATCATGTGATGCACGCGAGAAACCATGACTAAGGTAGTACGGCACTGCGGCACTTCCCGTTTTGGTAAGCCGAAGCCTTGCTACTGTCGGTAAGATCTACAATCTATTTGAGATACATTGTAGATTATGCTTGACATATAGCATACAAGGCAAGACTATGCTGATCCTTAGATCCCTTCCCATGGGTATCAGGGGGACCCGACGTTTCGGCACCCGCCCGTGGAATGATATGTCGTCGCCGTGCACCCGGTACTGCGGCCCTTCATGGCGCTGAGTCATCAATTGACCTCGCTAGTCAATGGCGGACTGAGCTGGGCTGGCAACCTTCCGTGGTGCAGTAGGAGTAGACTGTTAGTCCAGAAGGCATTCTCCCGCGGAACAAGAGACGGATTCAGGATGGTTCAAACCTTGGAGTACAAGACTGTTTGTTGCCATGTCAGAGGAAGGAACATTGCGGGCAAAGATGGATACCCACCAGGTGCGAAAATGTCAATGTGCTGTTTTGCTTTGGCCCACAGCTGCTGCGATAGGACTGCAGTGAGCGGAAGTATATCGGGCTCAAGTGGTCCTGTTCAAAGTGTTCTCAACCATACTCGACTCAGCTTCCAACATCATTTGAGGTGGTCCGGGAACCGTCCTCGGGAGACTTACGTCTGGTCAAGCAGATCTGACCCAGATTTCTTCCGACTCCGACCATTTTGGGCTCGATGTCGTTATTGCTTCTAGAAGCAACATCTTGATTAGTGGCGTAGAGGCGAAAACCCAGCAGGTAAACATGTCTATTCTTGACCGGGACTTCATGACCTAAGCCGCGCAACAGAAGAGCTTCCATAATTCTTGGATTCCCGGCATCATCGTCTGTCTCTGCTGCGATGGCCGGACAAAGCAACTTGGGACCTCACTGGCTCTCCATGGTTTCCACCTGTACTAGTACTAGGATAAACCCCACTGCTGACCCATTGGCAGTCATCGTTGGGCAGATATCAAAGCTTATCATTACCTCAGAATCAGATCAGCTTCAGGCAATAAGAAGGCAAAGCGCAGAACAACAGACACATGTGCAACCTGAGTATCTGATCATCCTAGTCACAGGCGAAGCCATCACAGCCAGGCGTCCATGTTTTGATATTCGTTAGCTTATGGTCGCTGCAGCGGGCAACCATCCTACTAGTACTACATCGACGGCGGTGGTTGATATCGCTAAATTTAGCTCAACATCGCTAACTGTCCAAGTGGCAATCAATCGAAGGCGATTGGTCTATCTCCAGGATAACCGATCTATTTCCCGCTTAGCGTGCAACAAGAGAGCGTGGCTAGAGGACTTTTACACCCACTAGTCCTTTTGAAAAGCACTGCAGTGGCAGTGAAATAGGGGGACCCCACTTCGGCTGTGATTGGTGGCCTTCGCTACCTTTAGCTGCTCATCCCACTATCAAAAAACGGACATCCTAGTACAAGAACGTAATGATGTTGATACTATACTTTTTTCATCACGCTCAAATCTCGCTCCCCCTGGGTACCATCTTCTTTTGGGAGCTCATGGTACTTGGGCATGACTTGTGGTGCAAGTTCAACCTCTACCTTTTATTCCACAAGGTGCAGTGGCTGGGCTGGCTGTCTGTCTCAGCAGCACACCATGCGGCCCAACGCCACAAGCCTTCGGACCCGTTTCTGACCTGTCAGGTCTCGACTCACCTCACGCCCATGTTTAACCGCGACGGACGCGTTCAAAATGCAAGCATGTCTCAGAGAAAGAGTGGCGGGTCGACGCCCAGCAGTGCCTAGGTAGTGCACATGCACGAAATGCATGCAGAAAGCACCCAATCTCGAGCAAAAGATGAGCTTCCCCACAGTTCAACTTTCTCCGGACTTGTACCCAGTGAAATCCGACTGGCTATACTGGTCTTTGGTTTCGATCGATGTGGGTTTGCCAAAGTGCACCTTTGTACGCTTTAGACCAGTCCGGCTCCAGCCACGACGCAGACCGATCTTGCATTTTCACCCCTTCGCGGATAGACATGGAACATGGAACATGGATCTAACGTCCGTCGGGGGCAACCGTGGTCATGAGAGTGTGCAAATGCTACTTTGGTCGTAGTTCAAGTTCACATATATCTTCTTCTCCCTTCCGCCCCCCTTGCTGCAGTGTCCGTCCTTTTTTTCTTTGTGTTACAACAACTCTCCTGTGTACAGTGTTTACTTTAGCTGAGTGTCTCGTGTTTCATTTCTCCTCCGGGCCTGCTGTGTTCTCTCTTTGGTTTTTTCCCTCATCATAATTCGGAACCCTCGTTTGAAAAGACTCCTTCGACAATATATCTCTTTCTCACAATTCGACATAATATATCCTCAAAAAAGCCACCATGCAGTTGACCACCTTGATCCTGGCATCTATTGCCACCATCGCCGCAGCTCAATCTACATCGAGCTCTTCCTGCCCTGGTCAACTGTAAGACCTATCCCCCCCGCACCACCGAGAGCAAAGTGAGAGGTTTTGCATAGCTAACATAACTTGACACAGCACTCTTGATGCTTGCAAATCCTCCATCCAAGGCCAGATCAACTCCTGCGGCCAGACCGACTACTCCTGCCTCTGCACGCAATACGTAAACATGTTGACCTGCTATGCCAACTGCCCGAGCGACCCCAGTGTCGGAACCGTTCAGCAACAGCGAGACCAATACTGCCAGGATGCATCTGTATATGGCAGCACCACTACCTTGGGCACGGCTCCCGCCACGACCGCTGGTTCGACCGCCGCCACCACGACCGGCTCTTCAATTACTGGATTCCACACCGGCTTTGCCAGTGAAACTGGATCCGCTGCCTCTGCGTCCGCATCTGCCACCGCCTCGAGCAAATCCGACAATGCCGCCGCGAGCCTGGAGATGGCTGGTGGTGTTGTGGCTCTGGCAGTGGCTGGGTTGGGATTGGTTTTGTAAAAAAGAAATGGAAAAAGGACACATCCGTTTTGGGTATTCGATTGCAGCGTGGGACAGCATTTCAGCATCGCGTTTGGTTCGGAGAAGGCCGGTAGCTTCCGCTTCTGTTACTGCTGGGAGCGAAGAGAAAAAGGAATGATTAACAAGGGCACTTAATCCATAATATCTTTACCAGACTGCACGCTGCTGCTTCACTTGTTCCGCCGTGACCGCCGCTTCGGAGGCTGCTCCTGTTTGTTGTCGGCAATGTCGGCCTCGGATGCGTCTCGCTTCGATTCTTTCTTCGTGCCTAGTTGGTTACCCGGTTTCCTGTCGCTGCTACCATCGTCCTCTTGACCTTTCTCTTGCTCAGATGCCTCACTGCCTGATGCCTGGTCGGGGCTCTTGAGGGCAGCCTCCAGAGCGTTTCGTTGGGAAGGTTCTAGCACATCCAAGTGTGCGAGGACGTACGACACCTTCTCCAGCTCAACTGCCTTGATGCCCAATTTCTTCAACACTGGTCCAACTGCTCCCAGCAACTGCATGTATTCCTTTTGAGTATACTTGAGTTTCTCGCTCTTCGTTGCCGGGAAGAACCACATGAACATCTCGTCCTGAAAGAACGGGATGTGAACTGGCTCATACACATTCAAGATCAAGGTTCCGGTTGCGGGACCAATGCCAGTGAGTTTACAGACCAAGTCGAGGGCGGCAGATACTGTTGAAGTTGGAGGCTCTTTACCGTCCTCCGACGTCGAGAGTTTCGCCCATGCGAGCTTGGTCTGCGTCTGGACTGAAGCGGGGTCATTCTTCCTCACCAAGGCTGGCAGGAAAGGGCGCGAGTGGCCGTGAGTTCTGGGAAAGGTCAGGAATCGAAGAGGTATAATTGCGAGTTATTTCATGGGAATTAAGTCAACTTGAACGCTTCATGTCGGAGCATAAAATCAATAGCCACAAGGAAGGCCAGGCACTGGGCCAAGCATATATTATCCCAATATTGGGTTCTAAGAAGACCTCAAACAAAGACAAACTGATGAACGACAGGTGCGAGAGCCCGGAACGTGAACTTGAGCGTAGCACCCGTAGAAGACGAGTGTTGTTCGATGGGCAGGTATTAGGACTGCAAACGACCGACGTAGACCAGATCAAGCTTACATCTTCCATTGCACCAACCTCTCAAGAGCCTCCTTCGTCAATGCACCCTCTGCTACGTCGGCAGACGAGCTACCAACATCGTCTTCGTGTTTAGTTTCCGACTTCAGAAGAGCGATAGCACCAGGAAGTCCTTCATAGCGCCATCTGTCACGTTCAATAGCGTCGGAAATCTTTTTCGGGTCTTTCAGCTTGCTCCTATACACCTTCTCTACCAGAGAAGGATATAGACCTAGGGCTTCCCGTATAGCATCATTCGAAAGTGTCGACGGAGGTGAGAGGACCATCCTTACATTCTTCCAAGATCGATTGTTATGGTAGGCAAGCATTCAGGATATCATGATAGTAAGTGTCTAGGAATTTGATGTCTTCCAGTTGTGAAGGAGGATTACCGCCATACATGAGGTCGCGGTCGGACTCTTTGAAGCTGAGAAGTCGGGTCGTCGCACGTGACGGGAGTTTACCGAAGATGTGACAAAATGGGCACCCTACGTGCCAAGTATTGTAAAGACGTCGAGGACCGTCTTTCGGTCTCGACTAGCGTCGTACGCTATCGTATAACCCCTAGAAAGTATATAGTCTAACGAGACCCTAGGCCC